TGAGCCGGGCATCGTGCCGACAATGACCTCCGAGGACTGACAGCGTTTGGAAGGCATCTATGGCAGTCCCATTAGTCGTGTTTGGGAGATGCTCTTGGTTCCGGTCCGCCCAAAAACACCAAGAACACCGACCGATGCTCACCACTTGCGACTAGACTTTTGCCAAGACGTGCGTGCGACTGGGGAACAAAGATAAAATATCCCTACAAGTCAAAGACCTCATACAAAACCAATACTTGAGGAGGTAAAAGACCAGGTTTTACTGGGTCAGACTGGACTTGTAGGGGATGTCTTTTGACTTTGGAGTTTTGTATCAAAGCGGAGTGTCTTTGACATGGGGCCTCTTGTAGTCTTGACATGATGTCTTTTGGATCTCCAAGGGCAAAACACCCCAAACACCACCACATATGGCGCCCAGACGTACGTTGTTTCGGCCACTGTGCGCACCGTCGTCAGCATTGGTATCGCAATAGTTACTGTGCACTGGGTCAAGTCGTTGCTTGGAAGAAACTCGTCCTGATCAACTAGTAACAAGAAGCTACGCACGGTGGAGGACATCGCTACTAGGGTGGAGGTCATCGCTGCGAACGTAACAAGAAGATTGTATCTGATCTCTGCCACATGGTTCCTGTATGTTCCTGTCAGGAATCATCTGGAAAACAGTGCTACTGTGAACATGATGTGACCTGTAATCAAAATGGTCGGTTCACGTAAACGCAATCGGAGGTCGGGAATGGTTGAGTCATGCTGAAATGCCAGTGAGTCATGGCACAGGGGGGGCCACCAATCGATACAAACAGTTTCCTCTATAAGTCTAAAAGGGATGTCAATCGAAACCATGGTCTGGTGGGAGCAGTATTGACTCACATCCAAATTGAGGAGAACAACATGTAACATGAGTCGCATCCCAAGGGCGTGTTAATGATGCTAGGGGGTTTCGGTGCCTGCAATCACTTATATTTTACAATTTTACAAAACATGTTCTTTTGTGACTTCCTCCGACTGCAGAGTAGTCTATAGTGTGTATATCTGGAACATCCCGACGAAACACGTCCGCCGTCCACGTTGACTCGAGACCCAGGTTTTAGAATCAAAACACTGGCGCCAGGGCGAGCGAAACGTTCGCCACATGGCATGCCGAAAGCCTGCGCGGCGCACCGGTGGCGCAGCAGGGGTGGGTGGAGGGTGTTGGAGCTATAGCAGCACAGAGCTGACCTAAAAAGCGGAGTTTCTTCATTTCCAGCTGTTCCTTTTCGAATGCTTTGAGGATTGGTTCAAAAGAGTGTCTGGAAGCGAGTCGGGAGTCCTATCCTCAACTATTGTACAGAGGGCTGCACGGAGTCCAGGAGGGTTTATATGAAAGACCTCGTGAAAGAAGGAAATTGTTCCGGCCTCCCTCAATTACACACCATTCGCCCATAATTGCTTTATAAAGCCAGTCTTGCGGAGCGCGGTCCCCCCCTTCTTCCTTCGTCCCTCCACCCAGTACCCACGCCGCCCCGCGCCGGCGCGGCTCACCTTCGTCACCTACACTGTGTGCGGCACGTATCAGGTGTAGGGACGCTGCTCAAAGAAACGACCTCCGCAGTTCGCGCAGCGTGTGGTCGCCGCCACGACGAAGCCACCGGTGCGGGGGTGGAGATGTTGAAGATAGGGGCCTGCGACGTGAAGCACGTCACGTGGTGGTGGTCTGCCCCAAGTCGTCTCATGTGTAGACAGCCAACGTCCAGCCAGAAGAGTGGCTCCAGATCTCCAAGATAGAGGCTGTTTCTGGGCCCGTCTTTATCTTTCAGGTAACTTTAGAGTTGGGTGCTGCAAGAGTTCCCATTTCAGGAGGATCATCAAATCATCGATCAAATCATCGAAATCATCGATGTAACATGATGGCTTTCCCCATGCTTTCGGGCTAGCCCCCTCTCATCATCTGGCTGTGGGTCAAAACAAGGGGCATTCTGGTTGAGCCCGGATCGAATGCACAGATTCCGCATAATGCGGGACGTCAACTGAAACCATGTTTGGTGGGAGAGGTTTTTTGACCCACGGACCCACTGACATCTCTCATGCACTTTAAGTAAAATTCCATCTATATATATATATATAATATATTGTCTCTACTAGCTTCTTGTTCCTAGTAGTAAGGCCCTTGTTCCTAGTAGCGAGGCCAGGAGCCACTAGTAGCCTCCTTTGCTCCTACCAGCAAATGTGGCCTCTTGGCTCTCTCCCGATCCTAGAAGCAAGGACGCTACTAGGGGCTCCTGGCCGTACTACTAGGAGCAAGAGGACGCTACGAACGGAGCAAAGGGCATCGCTACTAGGAACAAGAAGCTACCATGGGCTCCTGGCCTCGCTACGAACGGAGCAAGGACGCTACTAGAAGCTTCGCCTGAGTGTTCCCAGTCGCCTGCCGTTCCTCGGCAAGGTCTTCCCTAGCAATTGGGTCTTTTGGCCATATGATGTATTAAAAAAAAAAAACCTATACATTTTGTATGACCACTTATAGCCTTATCGTTTTTTAACTCTTTATCGTTTTTCAATGTTTGGAAATCAGTATACAGTCTCTCGTCGTTTCCCAGCTAACCACACATGTCCCTGCCTCCACTGCAAACAAGTCGGTGTCTGTGTGTGTGCGCGCGTACAAATTTTGATGACCTCAATGAAAAATTGATTTTTCAAAATTTCCTTCAAACAGACTCCAAACATCAAGGAAAGCCAGGAACTGAATGAATTAGACCTGGAGAAATAACTAAGAATTAAACATCAACTAGCTACTTTTTTACACTTTTTCTCTCCCCCCGTCTCTATGTCTATTCCCTTTACGGGGAGGGGGAGAGAAAAAGTGTAAAAAAGTAGCTAGTTAATTTTTAATTCTTTGTTATTTCTCCAGGTCTAATTCATTCAGCTCCTGTCTTCCCTTGATGTTTGAAGAGTTTTGAGGCCATTTCTTAAAATTTGGAATTCGTACATGTGGGACATGGTCTTCCCGAGGACTTTTTCGTGTATTCTTGTTATCGTTTTTGTTATCGTTTTGGAACCCCCAACGCTTCACCCATTTTGGTGGCCTTACGGACTCAAACACTTACTCTACAACATATTCTCAAGAATGATTCACATGGGTGCTGTTGACTTGTCGGCCTAACATCCACTGAATTAGAATCCATGCATGTACATGCAACTACTTACTCATATGGATCAGCAAATGTCTACCCATGTCCCAGCGATGCTCAAGGAGCCAAAAAAGAAATCACTCCTGAATGCTTGTATTACACGAAAACCTTGACATGAAACACTCTTGTTTTAAAAAAATGCACCTGAAATCAATAACTGGATTTGACAGCTGTTTGCTTCAAGAACTGAAGGCATTTGAATTTCCAATGCTTCTATTCCCATGTACTGTATTGAATGTGTTACGTGAGTGTTATCGTTGTTTTTTCTCTTTATCGTTTTACAATGAATCAGCCATGGTTTGCTAAAACGGGACCACTGCTTACATTTCTCCTAGGTCCCGTTTTTTTTAAAACATCATATGGGTTTGTATATTGAGACCCCCCTGGACCAATGGGTTGACTGGTCTATTTCCCTTCATTCCAGGGGGTATTTTGCCTGAGGAGGTCTCCCTAAGACTGAGCTACCCCAAATGTGAACCCTCTCCTGCAGCAGCGTAGCCATCCTCTCCAAAAAAATGCTTTGTGTCTCAGCATGACGTGCCGACCGCGCAACAATGCACCTTCCGAGCCACCTCGCCTTATCGCTTCACTTCACACATGTGGATGGTCGGATGGACACAGCATCCAACGCCTGGTTGCGTCGGGGTCGCCAATGTGACGTTCAGTCTCAAAACACCAGGTCAATCTAAAATGGAGGCCCCTGCAGGTGTGAAAAGAACCTTACAAAAAAAGGACGGTCCTAGTTTTGCTAACAGCATCTGACAGCTGATAGCCACTGACACCGATGTTTATGCAACCATAATATGGTTTCTCTCGACAGATCCTTCTAAGGCAACGTTCCAGAAAACCAGGAGTCACACGGAGGGCCTGGGTGCTTTGGCTCGTCGGCTGCCCTGTTTTCCAACTTCGGCACCCCACCATCTGACTCCACTTTCACCGACAGTACAAGTGTTCCCTGCAAGTCAACGACTATACAAAGAATGGTCTTTATGGGATCTGAAAGGGAATTTCCTTTACTTCACTCAGGGAAAGTATAGTCTTTGGACTTCCAGGGCAAGTGTTCTCAAAGTCAGTACAACTTGAAGGAAGACAACTTCCACTGCCTTCCCTAAAAAGTGGAAAGACATCCAATCGACTCTTCTTGGGACCACCGAGTTCCAACACGGACTTCCCGATCGATCGGGGACCACCGAACTGTCGACCGTCCACCTCTGGTCCTTCCCCACGGAGACGGCCCGGATCCTAGTGGATCACGGCATCGTGGGTCACTGGATGCCCCTTGTTGGGGGCGGGTTTCGATCGATCACCACCCACCTGAACACCAACACCAACACCCCGCTCAAAATCACCGGTTCCAGTACTCTAGGTTTAGAGGAAAACACCAACAAAACATATCAAAACCATCAGGTTCCCTGCTCAGGTCAAGCCTCACGTCTCCAAACGCCCACGTCCACACCGAATGAAGTTCCGGAGGAAGCCCGGTCGGAACCCGGGTCGGAACCCGGGTGGTTAGGACCGGCGGATCCAACGGGCCCCACCGCCCTCCATGTGACTCCTGGTTTCTAGCCTGAAGAAGCAAGCCTTTCAGGCTAAGCTTAGCAAGAGAGGCCTTTTCTGATCAGTTTTCCCTTATCCTGACAGTTTTCAAAACAGCTGGATCTTCCTTTTCTTCCTCTGAATCCTGACCAGGTGAATCCCATGATCCCCGTTGCACCACCCGCCGTGCTGTTCCGTGCTGTTCGCCACCCAACAGCCTGTGCCGCTCCGCCGGTCACCGAAGCTCCGCGCCAGTCACACCGGTCAGCTGTGCTGCCCAGGTGCCCCGCCGCGAATTGCTCAGAATGACATTGACTGTTGCTGTCGGAGACCTCAGGGCGAGCGGTGCAAGTCTTTGCGACCCGGTCTGGCCCGGTGGGTGCCGAACACAGGAGTCGGCAGAACCTGGTCCAGGAGGGACCGAAAGACTGGAGTTGGTCAGTTGGTCAGACCAAAACACTAAGGCAGGGAGATCAACAAACGAGGTGTTACTGGGTCGAACTGGACTGGTAGGGCCAACAAAACTGCCAAGCTAACGCGTGAGCCAAGCTAACGCGTTTTCAACGCGTGAAACGCAGACTGATCCCACATGCTTTGAACAATGACACCCGCGGTAGTGGATCCCAACTCCCCGCTTTCGATGCAGCTACCTGGGCCAGGGCGAACACCAAGACACAAGAACGAGAGGATTCAGATCCCACCCATGCAGTTCGGGTCGTTGAAAACACCGATCATCCTGGCCATGCATCTTCCATCCAACTACCCAAACTGGGTGGTGCTGGCCAAGGCTTGGACATGTGAGAAAGCACATGGTGCACATCGGACACACGACACCCAGTCGTCTGAAAACGCACGGGTCTGTCACGAGTCTGTGCGTGCGGCATGGGTCTATCTCCAACAGGCAGCTCAGGATTTCCTGGCTCAGGTGTCGACACATTCGACACACACACAGGCATGCTGAAGCATGTGATCCTATAGGAGTAGATAGAATAATGGGGAAATCCAACAACCACTAGGAAACTGGTTTGAAACTGGTCATGTGTTCAAGTTGGTGCAATTCTACTTTAGCTTGGGGAGCTCTTGCAGGCCGCCCAGCGTGGCTCGACACTGCCCAGGTGGCTCGGGGTTGGGTCAACCGTCAACCCGGGCGGGTAGCAGGGTAGCCCAACTTCACAACATTCTCGTGGTTTTTCATAGAACTTGATCAACGTGTTGCACGCCAATATCCTTAGTTAAAATTGAACCTCAGCCACTGTAAATTATGCAATTATGAACTCAGTTGCACCTGGAGTTGCCTGGGCAAGATCGTTTGCATCGTATGTTGGTACTTGTGCCCCTATCCACGACCAAAAGCACCTAGGAAGGCATGAAACGTTACATTATTTTTAGTTTCGCCTCTATTTTTAGATCGGAACATGCATGGCGCTTGCGCCATGGCAAGCTGGCGACTTGGAGCCACCGATAGGAACCATGGATCGCTGCATGGATTCCAGAGGCCCCCCAAAAGAACGCTCCAAACAAACCATCGACTCTATCCTTTCCCAGATCAGCTGTTTTTCGAGACTTGCGAAGAGTCGAAGACCTCAAAACTGAAGCCTCTGGGCTTCAGCTACGGCTCCTACAGCTCCTCTCTGAAATCATGGGCTAAAAAAGTGGCACGGGGGACCTCGAAAGGATGAACCTGGTCCGAAGACCTCGATTAATGAAACCTACCTGGACCCTCCAGTTCGTACCAGAAAATGGGATATTTGACTCCTAAAAAAATAAACATGGTACTTATACCATCTTATGTCCATTTTCTGAGGAACGAACTGAGACTCCAGGTTGGTCTTGAGAAGCTGAGTCATTGAATTACCGGACCATCAGTGTGGAGTTCTCGGGTGAAGCGGCGTGTCTTTCTCTTCTCCGTGGTGAACTCTTGGGCGTCCCGCGATTCAAGGAACTCTATATCCAGGAATTCCCGTACCCCCTTGGAGATGGGGTGGTCATAGAGTCTAGAGGAAATTCCATCCACCAGAATGAACCCCTTGTACTCCTCTCAGCTACAGCTCTCCTTGTACTCCTCGGACATGCGGCCCTCCTGTGGCACAATGCTTCGATGGACTGGACTCTGGTCTGCAAACGGGAACGGGATTGGGGTTGGTGGGGTGAACCAGCAGGCCATCACTCTTAGGTTCCTTATGCTGTTAGGTTGGAGGCCATCGCTACTAGGGTGGATGCCATCGATATTAATTAGAAACAAAGAAAAAATAAAAATAAGAAAGGTCTAATAGCTTCTTATTACTCAGCAGTAGGGGATTGGTTCCTCCATGGCCGAGGTGACACCTGTTTCAGCCAGAAAGTCTTCGGCGACAAAAGGGATCAGATTGCTGCTGTTGGTGGGGATTTGGTGGGCTGTTGTCTTCATGCAAAGCTTTAGGCTGGCGCTTCAGGAATCTCTACAATCTTCATCAATCTTGAAGATTTCTCAAACCCAGACGCTCCAAACAGCCCTTGGTCCAGACCCCAGACCCCTCCAGAGGATTCGGGTCCAGGGTCGCATCAATTGAATCAATTCGCTCCCAGAAAAAATCCACGGCTCCACGTCTGCTTCGCTGCGGCAACGACACGACCCATGAGACTGGCAGGACTGCTCCATATGTTGGACCCCATGTTTTGGTCCTTGTTCTCAGAACTTGGCTCACTACTGTCCAGGCTGATTCAATAACCCATGCCAAACCCGAGGTCCAACTTCAACCACCCCGGTCGGCCGTTTGGTTCTGGTCGTCTGATGGCAGTCCCCGGTCGTGTCTGGGGAGAGTCACGCCGTTGGCGTCACGCGGTGTGGAGCCCGGAGCTGCCCGGTGTGGAGCCCGGGTCGTGTGGAGCGAGTCGGAACGCCCGAAGCTCAGCTGCCACGTCCGAAGCTCCTCTGCCACTTGCGAAAAACGCATGCTGCTCCAAAAGGCATGCTTACTACGGGAACCCCAAATAGTAACACGTTGGGCATTTCTAATATAAGCAAGAAGCAAGAAGCTACTATAGCTAGTAACAAGGGCATCGCTATTATAGCTATAAACTGCTCCATGGCCGACAGCCCGTCGGACCTGACAACTGGAACCGCGCCTTGGACGCGGGACAACGTCGGTCGGCCAGGAAGGAGCGGATGCCGTTGGCTCGAACGAAGGCGAACGCCTTGCACTTCCCAGGCCTCGGAGGGACTGGGACGGGCGGAGGAAGCCGCGAGGTCTGGAGCGGATGAGGTAGATAGGTGGAAGGTGACTGGTCGACTGTGTCCAGTGGGGTAGCCTCAGGTTGGGATAGACGGGTCCTTTGTCAGGTTACTTCACCTCTGCTGGGAAGGGGCCCAAAAACCTGCCGAAGGCACTGAATGGTAGATTCCTGCCATACCATGGGACTGTTGTAATGTGACTTTGGGAGATTACCGAAGAAATGCTTTCTATTCCTTGCTCTGCTGGAGCGTCAGAGCACAGAATTCAGGGGGTCTTGGAGCACGAGAGATCATCTCAAAAATCCTTCACCGCTGCGCATTCTCCACTGCCACCGTCATTCTTTCTCATTTGTGCTGCTGCGACCACCTGAAGAGAACAGGCCCCACCATCATCGATGGCTGCTCCCAGATGCTCCGTGGATCCGCCCAACTGGTCCAATCATTGGTGACAGACCCCCCAAGTCCCTGACCCGGTCCGGATTTGGAGGTCCGACCCGTCGAGGTTGCGTCTGGGCCTGTAGAAGTCATACCCCAGACACTCCATGTATGGAATATGATATATACATTGACCCCCCTGGCACCACCCCAACTGATCGGCAGTCCTATGGCAGTCCCATGGAGTGTTTGGGATATAGTGGCTACAACACCTGCAGGTCTTCCCCAGGTCCGCCAGACCTGCATCGACGTCCGTCGCCTTTTTGTGGGTTGCGGATGATCTTGGTCTGAAGGGGTGTGGATGATCTGCTGGGCCGTCCCAGTGGCTTCAAGTCAGCTCCATCACTGGAGATGGCATGACAGCAGAAAAGGGCTATAAATTCATTGGGGATCAAGTCTCAGCTCGTTGGAGCCTTAGGGTATGCCATACATGGAGTGTTTGGCACCGGCTCTCGCTCTTAGTCCCCGGACATGGTGCTGAACCTCAGCCGGCGGTCCACGAAGTCGGAGAATTCGGCGAGCGGCTCCCTTCTGCCACGTGAAGTACTATGCAGATGTCGCATGTTGTAGTAAAAGAATTTAAATCAGTGCCTCTTTTCCTCTTGCTCATGCCAAAGGCAGCGCGTTTCCTGTGACTGTCTTAAATCAGTGCTTCCAAATAAACCTCTATACACTGAAGCAAGCTCCATCTAGAATGTTACGCGATAACTGGGATGCTCTTGGGGATCATCAAAAGCCACGTGCTGGTGCTTTCTTCAAAGCTGAAGCACTTTCGTCCAAAGATTATCGCCGGGCTCTAGTGTGGATTTGGCCCTCATGCACTGCAACAGGTAGTGGATGATCAAGAATGGCTAGTAGGGTGACAGCCTTCCAAGAATAGCCACTCCCTACCTTCTGAGGGCTTCAAACTGGACGGGGCGGCATCCCTTGATTCGTGTTGCAACTCTTCCTATTTTGCTGGAACCAGCTCTGGGTAGAGCTTCACCCCCGCTAAACACCCAATCAACCACACAACTTTTCTTGGAACCCTTGAACCACTTCTTGCTTGGCCACCACTAACAACTGGGACAACCTTAAGAACATGCTTTGTTTTTGTATAGCATTAACAAAAAACAACTATAGACTATAGATGTGTAAATCTATATTAATCTTCAAGACAAATGTTTGGGTAATTTGGGGTACAACACTTGAACGCCAATTCCAATGTCTTGGGACTCACGACCCTTCGATCAGATCTTTCCGCCCTCTTCTCTGTGGAGAAACCCAGTTCCATTCGAGAAACTCCGTCAATGAGAGTTCATGAACCTTCACGGTTTCTCTCAACAGCTGTTGTCCCGGTTTTTCTCCACATGGAGCGTAACGAACGGACCGAGCAACGGGAGAACCTTCCGAGCCATGTGCCGGATCCGAACCGATCCCTTTTTGGGGGGTGTGCTGGAGTCGATGCCGTAGAGCTCAGTGGAGAGTGATGGATGTAGGGGGGTTGTACTGGTAATGGTTTCTTTGCAAGTGTTTAAAAAAAAGCTTGGATTCCAAACTACAAAACCGATCAGACCAGCTCAATGAAGCATTCTTCGTCCTGAGGTCCGTCCCGTCCTGAGGTCCTCTCGCCACGGTTTTTGGCCCAGGCACCAAGGGTATCGGCCCATCGCAAGGGCATAGCCCAGCACCCCACACGAGAAGAGATCCTGAACGACTTGGGTGTGTTTGTTCCTGGATCTTCCAACTGTTCAAGTCATGTCAGCCTTTTCATCTAGAGATATCCAGAGAACCAGCCAAGTTAGGCAAACATGACTGCAGAGTTGGAAGATCCAGGTATTTTCATTGGGAGACAATCGAATTCTCGTTTTGGGCTGTTTAGGACACCCGAATTTTAGAGCTTGGGCCAGACTCGAAATGTGTACCCGGACGCTCCTGTTCGTACCTTAGAAAATGGGACGTCTGACCCTATAAACACAGGTACATTGTATACCCATTTTCTGAGGTACGAACTGAGACTCCAGGTTGGTTTTGAGAAGCTGAGTCATTGAATTACTGGACTCGAGAGGCGGCGTGTCTTTCTCCGTGGTGAACACTCCAAAGTATTCAGATAGGAGACCCAAACCAGTCGACTGGGCCTCCACCAGACCGGGCGAAGCGGGTGGATGGCGAGCGGGCGCCAGGCGAAGCGGGTGGATGGCGAGCTCTAAGTGGTCGTCTAGACGGCCACTCTAAGTGAGGCGTCTACCAGCACCCTCCTGGCCAGGCTGTTTGACCTGACCACAGGTGGCTGCCTTCTGGGCACTGGACTTGTCAACACCTAACACCGTCGGGTCCTGTGGATCTGAAAATGCCACAAAAAAAAAGAACGGACTGGAGGAAGCGAACGTGCAAAGTTACGTAGATTCTTATAAGTGGTTCCACTTGGGCCATTCACCTGTTTCACTCAAGCGTTCCTATTGTTGATGGAAGAACTCCTGCCCCACCTGAGAGTTCAGAACCCACACTGCTTGCGGTGTGAGGTCCTACATGGTGTCCAGTGTCTTTCTTCCGTCAATTTGCGGGTCAAGTAGGACCCTCCAAGAAGTAGAACTGCACCAAAAAAACCATTCAAATTCCATCAGTCAACTCCATCAACGGCCATTCTCAAGGCCATGTTGCATGTTTGTTTGGGGAGTGTCTCTTAGCCTTCCCTGGAAGGGACACCTTTTTTGGGGGGGTTCCAACATGGACATGACAAAAGCAACACATCGAGCAAACGTCCACACTAGTGGCCACTGGAGTTCGGTGAGCCAAATCAGACAGCCCTGGCGTGGAGATGTCCCGAAGACTTGCGACAAATCTTACCCACTGTAGAGCAGTTGGGGCAAAGCATAGGAGGACAAATCCAATGGGTATATAACACAGAAAAGGTAAAGATCCTTTCCAGAAGCCACACAGGGGATGTTCTGGGCACCCCGACTTCCTCCAAGTTCGGCCCTGTGTGACTCCTGGTTATGATTCTTCTTCCCATGATTCCCCATCATTCCCATGTCCCCCCCCCAAAAGGCCTGAAAACGATATCACCTCTTTTAACTCATTAATGATTATATCTTCCATTTCCGCTCCGCTCTTCCATTTCTGTCTTCAGGTCCGCTCCATCCTCCATCCTCCCCCCCGCGTGCTCGGTCGCGTTGGTCCGCTCGGCCGAGGGGCCGAGGCCAACGAATCCGACTCACTCAGAAACACCGCTTCACCTGGCAGTAGGTACCGGATCTCGAGGACGGATAGGACGGATGGGACGGGTTGGGAGAGGTACGTAGATTTTTCACCAGCTGGCTGGGTTTAGGGCGAACCGGGGTCGAAGCCTGCTAGAAACCGGAGGTTAAAGCATCGTAAACTCATTGGATAAAGGGATAGAACCGGTCAAGCCAGCCTGGTGAGTTGGTCCGGAAAGCATCAGGCCACAAGGCCACAAAGACAATGAATCCTGAAGTCCTGCATGCTCCATCCAGACCTAGAGGGGATCAAGATGAATTTATTTTTAGATCTTTTAGAGAGTCACTTTGAGAGGAGCCAGTAACGCTCTGTACACTCTGACGAACACATCAAATGGAAGTGGATCGCATGGCCTCTTGGAAGACTACCTTTCTTTGCGGACTCCACAGTGATATACATGGAGTCTCAGTTCGTACCTCAGAAAATGCAAGTACCTGTTTTTTATAGGGAGGGTCAAATATCCCATTTTCTAAGGTACGAACTGGAGGGTCCAGGTAGGTTTCATGGAGTTGTGTCAAATGCAGCTGTTGGGCTGCAAAGTCCTTGCAAAAGGTAATTCGAGAATATAAAGATGGAACCCACGAACCCGAATGGCACCCGTGAAGTGTCACGAAAGAGTCTCCGAGAGTAACAGGATCCCAGCCGATTCGCATCAATCTTCAATAAATCGCTGCGCGATGCAGCGCGATGCAGCGCGATGCAGCGCGATGCTGCCGTGCCGTCTGCGGTGCCTTTCTCTTCAATGGAACCGAAGTCTGACAGCAAGACCTCTCGGAGCAGCTTCCGGACGCGGTTCGTGGCCAAACAAAATGGCTGGACGGCTGAAGCTTCGTTTACAGTTCACCCCAAGAACAGCGCTTTTGCAGTCAGAGCCCAGAACCGGCTTTCTTTGGGGGGGGAATTAAAAGGCACACCTCTTGGAAGACATGGAGAGAGTGGTGAGTGGTGCGCGGCGGGGCTCTACTGAACTTTCATGAACTTTCTTTCTATGTTTAAATGTGATTCTGGGTGGAGATGGTGGTGTGCCGGGCACGTGGGTGGCAGCTGACTTCAGTGTACTTGCCAGCGCGTGATGTTCACAGAGTCTGTGGCGAAAGAAAAAAGAAAGGAGAAAGAATCAGAAAGAAAGAACACAAGAAATGATTACCACAAAAAATACCACCATCTCAGCTTACCATATAAGTGTCCAATCATCCTCCCAGAGGGTAAGTGAAATCTTTAGGGGAAAAAGAAAAAACCTTGCACCAACCTTCGTTGTACACTCCAGGACTCTATGCTCGCATACGCTCGCCAGAAAAAAGAAAGAAACTGAACAAACAACACATGCGATTGCACTGTCGTGGGCCATGACAGCTTACTCTTCGCAACAAGGACGATACACCATGTTCCCATATGAAGGAAAACCCGTGGTTTCGACCATGTTGATTTACAATAGAGTGAACAAGGAGAGCTCTGCCGGCCGGTTCCTCTTTTCCAAACTACCACGTTGCCGCACGCGAGGCACGCGTGGTACTGGAGCGGGAAGACATACAAATAGGGGGGACTTCGAGCCTCCAAAACCCGTGAGGCTGCTGCTTGCCCAACATGACTGAATGATCCGGTTGCAACCTGTGACATGATGCAAATCCAGACGTGTGTGCGGTGTCCTGGGCATTGTTCTCTATATTGTGAACTCTGGGAGAATTGTCTTTAGGGGACCTGAGAGGGAACTTCCTTTACTTCAGTTGGTCAACATATGTCCAACAACCCTCCCAGGCGCCAGCTGAAATCCTACGGCCTACGGAAGAAATCCGCTCTTTACCGCGTCCCCAGGCCCCCCAAACCCACATGGCTTTTCCACACCGGTCTGTCCCGCGTTCGTCCGTTCTGTTCATCGATCAGTCTTCGCCTTGAAGGAGTGGCTCGTGGTCATCTCAGACAGCCAAACGCTCTCCGCACGGATCCTCCCGTGCCTTGGATGGCTCCGCTGCTCGTTGGATGACCCGGGCGATCCGCGGGGGGGTCAGGAGATGAAGGAGATGAAGGTTCTCCCCATCGATCTGCAGGCTGGGCCGACTCGTGAGTCAACTGCAATGGGTACCCCGACTTGCTCCGTTTACAGAAGCACCTAGAAATCCGTGTGACTCACTGAAACTTGGTCTGTGGGGATCTGAGATGATCTGAGGTGACTGGCAACGACTGGCAGTGCCCAGACTGGACCAGTTGGGCTTCGACTCGGCGGCCAGCCAAGCCTGGGGCACCAAAATGATGTACACCAAAGGCAAAGAGAATACCTGGACCCTCCAGTTCGTACCCCAGAAAATGGCACATGACCCTAGAAAAGCACGTACTTGTACCCATTTTCTGAGGTACTTTGAGACTCCAGCTATAGTCAAAAACATCCTCACATGGCCCGGTATTTGGGATACTCTGAGGTCATTGATCCTGCGATGCATTTTTGGTTCTTTTGGTGGTGGGGATTCGCAGAATCATGAAGCATTCTCCACCCGCAGTTCCAAAGGGGTGGCTCACATGGACACGAGGTGAGTGAACAAAAGGAGCACAGGCCAGCACAGGTATCCTCCCTTCAGCACCCCAACATGATCAGAAGTCTCCCAAAGAATCTTCCAGTCACCTCCATCATCGGTTTTTGGGGGTAAAACAGGATGTCGTACCTTCATTTAGAAGACCTGGACCACTGTCACTTATGATGTATTCAGTATAGAGTTTCGTCTCTTCAAAGACCAAGGAGGCTGAGCTCATCTGAGATCCCAGGCGGCTTCTCCAAATCTTTGGCCACTTGCAGCAAAGACCTCCCATCCGTGGCTTCTTCTTAGCCCGGAGCTTCTCCCCCGCAGTCGGAACGCAGTGGAAGGGAGGCTCCCCCAACAGTCGGAACCCCAAACCTCCGACCTCCGGATCTCCTCCGGGGACCACCGACGGCAAGGCGCGGACGACCCGAGGACCGGCAGCTCAACCCGTCCGTGGTCGAAAAAAGCATCCAGAACCCAATGAACAGGTTCTGCTCCTCTCACGAACTCTGCGGAGGAACTCTCACGAACTCCGCGCTGGCCCGCTGTTAAGTCGAAAAGCCGCCAAACCCAATGAACAGAGGTCCAAACATGGTCCAACTCCTCCAGATTTCGCTGAAACCGAGTCTCCTTCCGAGTCTCTGAAACCGTTCCCCTCTTCACCGGACGTGTCGCGTAATACGGTGCGTCTCGCTCGCCACGGCGTGTTTGGGGGTCGCGGACTCGGTGGACGACGCGTCTCTCTTTCGGCCTCAGAATGCGGAGGGCTTCTTCCTCACGGGCAGGTCCAGGTGGTCCCATCTTGGCGCAGTGGTCGAACAGGCATTCCTGGAGCTCCTGGCGGGGACGCGGTGGACGACCGCTGGATGGGAGGGGTGGAGGGATGGAACTGGAGCTGGCAGAAGGGTCAACTGCCACTGAGGGTGAAGACCTCGTCCTTCTCCAGCCACTGAGGGTGAAGGTCTTGTGGGTGTTCATGCTACATGTCGGTGAGTAAACCAGAACACTCCTGCTTAGGCGATCGATCAGAAAACATCACCTTCTCCGTTCTCAGATGTTCCAGCGAGCTTAGCCGCAATCATCTTTCACCTTCTCCGTTCTCAGTGGCTTCCCATTCGCCCCTGGAGGGCTGCGCGGGAGACCAGGTGCCTGGTCGCAGAGCAAGAGGACCTCACCGCTCTGCGCGTCCTGAGAACACGAGCCAGCCAGGCGTGTGCACGAGCCAGCCAGGCGTGTGGCGACAGTTCCCTATAGGGCTCCAAGGGCTCCTGGCCCATATCCTCAGGTTCGGTGGTTAGACCATGTTAGACCCACCAAACCCACCATAACCATCTTCGAAACGGAGGGGGGCGGCCAGGAGCCCAAACGGGCTTTTGAAACCAAACACGGCTCATGGTGACGGACTGACCGACGGACTGATCATGATGCGACTGGCAGACACCTAAATTGACCGATCGGTTGGGTGATTGAAAACAAATGAACCAACGCATACCTATAGAACCCATATGACCTCTTGTTTTGATAGGAACATCACTATGTTTTTGACTCCAAAACAGGGGTCACCCAGAATTATATACAGGCATTGTATTCCAGTCCCATTTCATACATGGAGTGTCTGGGTTTGGTCGCACGGAAATGGAAGTCATCTCAAGTCATATCCAAAAAAAAACCGCCACAGTGACAAATCATGACCAATCGTGCCAAGCAATCCATATGCTAAAGCTATTAGAAACAAGTGCCACGCTAGTAGTAACAGGTGCCTTACTAGTAGTAACAAGAAGCTATTAGAAACAAGTTAGCAGGGGTCTACATTCGCTGTTTCTCGATGACCCCCAGCCAAGCGCGGAGCTCCAGGATGGCCCGGAATGGACCTTTCGATCGTTCCACCGGGCGCCCCACGTGGAAGTCCACGGCCCCCACCAGGCCTGGAAGGCACCCAGAGCAGCATCGCTCTTCGTGAAGTTCACACCTGCCAGTCAGGTACACAAGCCACAAAGGACCCCCCAAATCGCAGGGTTCGTGTCTCACTGACCATTTCAAATGGATGCAAAGGACCAAGCTGAGGTGGAAACTCCACGCCGGAACCCATCAATTTCTCCGTTTAGATTTGTTGTTTTTGTTCCCCGTTGTGGGCAGGCCACAAAGAGTCAACAGGATCGCAGAAATCCAGTCGACGCTAGCCTTCCAAAACTAAACCAAATTGAAATTGACCTATACATGTGTCGAATCGTGCTAGCAGCCATTTTTCTCAATGGTGGGCGACCGGAACTCACTACTTCACTCGCAAGGAAAACCACCACCGAAGTCCATGAGGAGATCGTGGGCGATCGTTGTTTCAGCGATGTCCGACTTCTTCTGACCGTACGCCGTCGGGTACGGACCGGTTTGGTTTACGGGTGATTCGTTGGTAGGTGGCATTTTCACCCGGAGAACGGTGCTATAGGCATTCTACATGAGATAAATATGTATATAGTGCACAGTCGTACGTTTTTCCGGAGACAAGCATGTGAACCTCTGCTGGTCTAGGGTTTCAAGTTATCATCGTGACTTTTGGGCAGTTCCTTTCAGTGCTATAGTAATATTATATAGACTGCATTACTTTTTCAATGGGTACTTCACCCTGAAAAGCTATCCTGAAGTCTACGCTTTCTGGCACTACTCTTCTCCTCTGGAAGAGGACCAACTAAGGCATTTTCTTGGCTCTTTCACCGGTCTTTCTTGCACCTTCTGCCTTCACGTATCTCTTTCCGCTTTGCCCTATTTGCCAACTGGGTCAACAAAGGTCGTTTGGGCTGTCATAGCGTTCGCAGTGCGCAGTCCCAGCTGATCCACAACCCGAGTTTCGCCCAGGTCTTTGTCTGCCAGAAGATGTGAGAACTCACACCTCCCAAAAACTGCTTGGGTCTTGGCATTTGACTTAAAGGACCATGATTTTAGTAGGGATCACACACCACCAATCTCAGCCTTCCTTTTTTCGGACACCTCCCAACTGCCATTCTTCCAACACAGCATGTCATTGCCGCCGCGATTTCCGCGCGGAAAAGAAGCGCGATGCGCCGCCGTCGCATCCGCGTCGCGCTCCCACCGGCCAGTTCCACGTCCGAGACCGGGAGCCCCAACCGCCCGCTTTCTCCAGCAAGAAGATCTCCTGTGGAAAGGGCGGGCTCCGCCCCCGAGCCCCGGCACATGGTGCGTGCCGCACGCAACGGGGCCGGTTCGTCCTGTGGGTTTGGGGGAGAGTTCGAGAGTGTTTGTTTGGTTTGTTCGAAGAGTCCGTTGCGAAAGACTTCGAAGAGTTCGCGAAATGGATGGCTGAAATTGCGCGAATTTGCAGTGCCAAAAGTCTTTAAAATGGTCTCACCAGTGCCCGCAGTTCCTTCTGTGGGTGCAAAAAGCTGTTGCACCATCTTTTCACGCAATGCTTCCTTGTTGTCCTATGGTCAAAACTGGCCATGTCAAAGACTAGTCCAACGCTGCCAAGTGGAACCAAGCTAATTCCTAGCTGGTTCGGAATTAGCACCTCAAAGTTCGGAACGAATGGTGACAATGGGTGTCACCCAGACACGACCCATCAAACTGGCATATGCTCCATATGTTGGATTCAACCACCCCTGGCCTGATCGGTCAATATGCTATAGTCCCATGGAGTGTTTGGGACATGTTCTTCTTCGTTTCATTTCAGGGCGCCCATCCATCCATCCATCCATCCATCCATCCATCCGGGCGTCTGTTTCTTCCCCCCCGGGATCGATCGAGTTCGGTGGAAAACACCGGCGGCAGGTCCTGCAAGTTGGTTTGCGCCTGGATCCTGAGAAAGGCTCCACCCCCCATGTGGTGGATCGGGTGGGGAAGACCAGACGGTTCTTCAGGTCACGTTTTGTAATTGATGACATCAGGCCAATATGCACTGAGTATGTTCACACACCCAAGGTGATTGAGACTCTTGATTGATTGGCAAAAATACGGACCAGGCCTGAAGAGGTCTTACAATTCAAATCAGAGGGTGTTATTAATCAACCTAGATAGACCACCTGTACTTTTGGGTTTCTGGCCAAAAATCCACGCAAACAGCCGCAAATACTGCAATTTTTGCCAATTGGATCCAACGTGCAGAAACATGTTCAACAGAAACCGTATTTTGGGAGCTGATCCAGAAATGCTGTTCCGTGGGCGCTATTGAATCCAACTCAAGAAATGACAGCTAGAACGACATCATCTAGCTTACTGCACTAACAAAACTGCCGAAATGGGCACAGTTTTGTCCAAAAAAATATCAAAACCACCCCGCAAAAAGTGCACACATATTCCACAACAATGCACACATCCACACAAGTGCACACATCGGGATTTCTTAACTTGTGTATGTTTTCATGACCCATTCACAGACTTTTGTGCAACTCGAGTGAGACAGACTTTGTGGCTTGACTTGCAGAATGACTCAAAGAATTGGGGCAGAATATGGACAGTGGACAGTTGGCAAGGAAGACTTGTCACGCTTAGTTCAAGGCGTTCAGTTTCGAAAACGGACAAACCGTGTTTCGTTTCGCGAGTTGAAGTGGTTGGAAGTGCAAAACGTACCAAACAACACTGCACTCTGGGGGGCTCTAGAACTGTCCAAACGGAACTGCTGATTTCCCCCCCAATTTGCAGCGCATGCCGTAAAACCGACGTCTAGACCTCGGGCATCACCCAAGTGACTCGCTCTGAAAGAAGAGAAGTGGAACTTGGGTTATCTCGGGCATCCCTACAGAGGTGAAGTGACCTGAACTAGGACCCTACAAGGGTACCGAACTAGGATAGTCTAGTTCGGGTTCTTCGATAACATCGATTCTGGTGATCGCCCAGCAAGGAGGACATGTTTCGTCGTCCATGCTGACAAACCGTAGAAGCGTAGTGGAGCATAGACACACACATCTGTCAAAGAGACAGACAACAGCCTTGAAGAACTGGTGGACTTAACAGGGCTGCAATGACAAAAGAGGAAACAATTGTGTTCAGTAGACACCCAGTGGATCCCAGTTACCACTATCATAAGGAATCAGGGATTCGTTCGTTCGGTCTATGGTTTGGTCGTCCTTGCCTGGAACCACTGGGACTCCAGCGATTAGAGTGGTTTGCCTGGATGCCCTGGGCATCACTTGATGACCCGAACTCTTGTGACCAATCACGTCAATCACCTCATGTCGATTGCTGTTTGTTTTGACGCCCCGAAGGCATTGAGAGGTTGACATCGTCGTTCAGTTCACCGGCAGGTTGCACCACCGGCATTTGTAGAGGAAAATCATCCTCCAAGCATCCAAGGTCCAGTTGAAAAGCCATTTTCCACTTCCATGATAATTCCAGGGAGTGTAGGTGCACATCCGAAGATGTCTATAGCCTATAACTTTCATTTGTTTGGATTTCGTGGCGTATGTCAAAACGGTGGGAAGAACCCCCCGTTTTGACGCTGGGCAGGTGTCTGAAATCTTCCTTCATACTAGGGGGGGTCGAACTACGGTGGGTTCCGTCCTATTTACCCCGGGTATTGCCACGCCACCTGTCACCCACCTAGAAGAATTCAATCTGTGTCCCCACTCGTGAGATACACTCACCATCCTGAGAGATGGTGCAAGGTCTTCACCCCACAGGTCTTCACCGCTCTCAACTCTTCGATCTCTTCTGCATTCTTCCGCTCAGGTCGCCCGGCCATGTGGCCGCAAATCGCTTCACGGCCACGGTCCTGGCGTCCGGTCCGGTCTGGGAGATCTTCGGAGTGTCTCGGAGTGTCTCGGAGTGTCTCGGAGTCGGAGTGCCCAGTGGATGGCAGCGACCGCCCGTGACAGCGTGAGGTCGGTTTGCTGTGGCTGCTGGTTCTTCCCACCACTCAAGGTAGCTCATACAGTCATAGCTAGGGCCAGTGGGTGTGGGAACGCATTGCTTTAAGGATGTTTGAGGAACAAGTAGGGAACCCTAAGGATTTGAGGGTCCGGAACCCTAAGGATTTGAGGGTCCGGACCCCTAAGGATTTGAGGGTCCAGCCCCTACTTAGGAGGGTCCATGAGCGTCTGGGGAGAAAAAAACAAGTATGGGAATGATGAGGAGTCTGTCTAGCCACTAATGGTTTTTCTTCGATGGTGTACTGTGGACCTGCCCAGACCCTGTAACAATGGATGATGGTGGTGAAACGCCCCTAAAGGAAAGAATCATGGACCTTTTTCTTCAAAGTGACCTTTTCATCCCTGGGCTTGAGGTCACTTATATAGGCCTGGAAAAGGTCACAGACATGTCGACTCCAAAAAAGGTCACGAACTGAAGAAGCTGGGAACATGTTATCATATGTTGATCCGTGGGCAGCGGACTTCGATCACCTTCCGAGTTAGGCAACCAATTAATGGTCCTTACCCAGACGCCACCCGTTCGGACCCGAATCCTTTGGAGGGGTCGGACCCGAATTCGGACTGGGAGGGGTCGGCAGGTCGAACCAATCCCGATCGGTTTTGGTTCGGGACCAGGAAAGGGCCGTCGTTTTCACGGAGCGTCGACGGGTAGATCCACAGCCTGAAGAAGTGAATCGATCCTGCACATTCAAGGAGCTTTCGGCAAAAGGTGTTCATCCTGTAGAGCCACCGCCGCATGGTACCGCTGGATTTTATGGGATCCATGGATACTGTTTTCATGGGAGAAAAGCACCAGCTCGCCGCGGCCAGCGGCTTGCAATCTCCCAAAATCATGTAGGCTGGTCTCCATATTAAGTGTGGTATGTTTCCATCAAGAGTTGTGATGTCATCAGAAGTGGGCAAACAACTATACCTAGTTGATTGGAATGAACAATCCTTGCCCTAACGCCTCATCATTCAAAACAAGAACTGTTGAACACATGTCAAAGGTCACCCAGGAAGAGACCCACATGGAATCTGAGAATGGACCTTCTGAAGGGTATTTTCCTCTACGTACTACCCGACGTGGTCTTGGAGTTCCATGTGGGCCTCTTCTCGGGCGTAACATAGGTTGACCACTGTGACCGGGCGGGTGGAAAACAACGGATTTTGAGGGGCCCCCCCCTTCATGGACATCTCTTTTTGGTCAAAACGCCACTCACCATCGTTCTGCACCTCTTCTCCAAGGTATCGAAATGGATCTCGATTTGACCTCGGACTCATCCAGCCATCCGGGTGGATTGTTTCCTCTGATAGCTTCAGTGATCTGCATGTTTTTTGTATCGGCGGATTACCAGTCCACAAAACCCTCCGATTCGTTTACTTGTCATCGTCTGTGCCTTTGCCTTTGCCTTTTTTGGAAGCGCTCCGCGAATGATGCTCCCTTTGTTGAGTAATCCAAAGCAATACACTATGGGATAAAAATCAAAATAATAATTAGAGGAAGGAAGGAAGGAAGGAAAGAAAGAGAGAATAGAAAGAAAAAGAACCGTTCTTGTCCTTGTTTTGAAGGACATCGGCGTATTGCATCAAAAGTACCGGGTCGTTTGCTTCATCCATGTTGAGGAAAGCAATGACCACATTAGTGAAGGTCGCAAACAGATCACGATCACACTCTTGCCCTTGGTCTCTTTGCGAAAAGGTGGTCATGGCTTTATAGCTCTTGTGTGATGCACGTCACAGCAATTTGATTACCCACCGTGAAAGAACACTACATCATCATGAAAGTTTGTCTTTGTAACTACAATAATCGTAATATATGAGCGTCTGCCAAAACGTACTGTCAAGTAGAGGACATGATTCAGCAAGGGTATCCCTTTTGAGGGCGCCTATCGCTTTTCCAGGTTTTAGCCCAATTCCTGAAAATCACGACCGCTCCTTACTAAATTAGTCATGGCACGTTTTGCCGGTTGCTCATAGCAGAAAAATAATCTTAATACATCTTAAGACCACCAAAAACTATGTCTATATACACTGAACAATTGTGTCTATCTGATGGCAATAGTGGATTGATAGAGGTTGGATAATAAAATGAATGTTCTAGAGTTGCACCAGGATGGCACAAGAAAGTTTTTGTAATGATGAATAGTCATAGAATCGAATGACAAAACCAAGCTTATGTTTATGCTAGTTCACGTTGTGTTAAATGAAATCTCTAAATCAATCATTATTATATGCATGTATGTTTGAAAACAAAAGCAACTATCAAATCTTGGTCTAATATAGTTAATCATATATTTTAAGAATGACACAAATCCAACAATTATTCCACCAGAACAAAAACTGTTAAGTTCCTTTTCATATAGAATTTAGATATTGACAAATGCCGAACTGATGCCAAATACAATGATGCACCTTTAGCACATGTCTGTTACAGCTAGAGTAAACGAAGGTGTGTTTGGACAGTCATGTTAATGTCATCCAGATCGGGACGGCAATAAGTAGAAAAAGGCCATACCATGAATGTAAATGCTCTGCCCAGTTCGTAGTGTTGTCCACAACGTCCGCCTCCTGTGTGTTTTCCTATTTCTTTCCTGGTCTCTCTCCCATTCTCATTCCGGACAAAGAAGGCTTAATGACTCTTGATTAAATAATGACCCCCCCCCAATATTCATGGTTATTCATCAAGGGTCTAGAGTCTACATTAGATCGGAACAAGGTGACCAAACCATGAAAATCCCTAGCCTTCCCATTCAAGAAAAGGACATGACCTGGCTGTGTAGAGTAAAATCGGTCGAATGCTTTGGTAGGCAGCTCGACCCTTAGATCGGTTTGGGCTAAGCTTGGAAGCGACCAATTCACCTGACTCCCAAGGACATCCGCTTCTTCCGGTCATCCGCGTTCTTCCGGGTTCGGGAGAACGAGCCCTCCGAAGGAGTCGAAGTCGAACAAGTCACGGAATGACCAAGGACAGGTCAAACGGAATGACCCAAGTTTTGTCCACACCCTTCAGTTGATCAAACATCCATTTTGGTGGACAAGTGTGGATGTTGAGTGGATGCTTGTCTTGGAACCATTGGCCCAGAAGTCCCTGCGGTGGTGATCGAAACACGTCATAAACATATGCAGTAATTGCGATCGTGTTCAGACTCCCAACCAGGTCAGACTTGGGGACTTGCCCATTCGCAACGGCCCAACTTCTTCCGCCCCATGTCTTCCTCCAAGAAACACGGCCAACTTTTGGATGCAGCACGGAGCACGCGCATCAACTCATACCTGGCAATCCGGAGTTCCGTCCATTTCTCAGCACCCGATGTTCCGACCCGACGTTCGGTCCCTCCAACCGAACGGTCCGGGTCGTGCCTTGCAGACCGACGGATCCGACGAGTGGCGAAAAGCGGCGCAGTGGGACCGAACAACGGAAATGGAGGCACCAGGGAGGTCTAGTCCACCTCCCACGGTTTGAAGCGACCCACTGTGCGACCCACTGTTGTGAGATGTGAGTATATGTTGTGAGATGTTGTATGTATAAAAATAGATAAAAATAGAGAGACCTCGCACTTCAACGCCCAGCCAAGGCCAGAGTGTCTCCCTAATGATGAAAATACACACCCATGTGGTGTGGGGAACATACTTGAGATATCTTGGGATGTGGTTCCTTGTGTCGGCTTTTGGTGCAAACAGTCAGCTCAGCATGGGAAGTTTCTCTGATGAAACACAAAGATACAAAAAGGGGATGGTGCATTCGCCATCAAACTTCGGAGAACTCTCAATCGGTTTTGGCAGGTTGTAATCAAGCGGGTCCTCAATCGCTTGATCGGCTTCTGGGCAGCTTTCCTGCAGCCTGTCCATACTCAAAAAGAAGCTTCTCACTTTTCAACTTGAAAAGCATAATTAGATTTCTGTGCCAGATCGAAGTTCTTGCTCGCAGCACTAAATTACACCACCGTAGGTGGGACAACAACGAAGCATTCCCAAGTCCACTTTTTAAGACATCAACAAGAAGGGAGACAAGAAGGGAGACAAAAGGAAACAGAAGGGAGACAAGACAGACACAATGACCAACAGCTGGAAGACAAATGAATGGAAATGCCACATTGCCAGCGGAAAAGGGCGGACACCAGCAGTGACAGACCTGGGAGACACATGAATAGAAATGCTGCATGGCCAGCGGAAAATGGCGGACAGCAGCAGCGACAGAAAGGGCGGACACATGTCAAGAAAGAATTTAGAACCCCTAACAGTAAACCATGGCCAGCGGAAAAGGGCGGACACCAGCAGTAACAGAAAGGGCGGACACAGCTTAAGAAAGAATTGAGAAACCTTAACAGTAAACTGTTTGGGGAAAACACGACGTTTGACCTAGATCTGGACATCGCCTAGTTGGTTGAGCCCACTGGGGCCACACACCACACGGCCCGACCAACGCACGGCCACTGCCCCAGGGTCCCACCTGGAGGTATCCCAGAAAGGCCACTTAGAAGGACAAATCCTGCTGGGAAATGAGAAGAAAGCTGCTGTGAGTTGAGAAACACCTCTTCCGCCCAAATCATGGTTTCAGTTGACGCCCCTTAGTTAGAGGGGAATCTGCTCAATTGATCCGGGGGTCAACCAGGAAGGTGCAGCCAAATCAGCTGAGCCCTTGGGAGTTGATCAAGGATCTGGATTGAACAATCTGGGGCCTATCCCCGATCCCAATGAAGCTCCTACCAAGAATCCAATGAAGCTAGGAAAAGGCTGGAACCCTGGGCTGGCGGAACCTGCTCAAAGGAGCTTTGCCTATTTTTCATCCTTGCAATGCTCATTTTTACTGGAGAGTCTCAAAAGATCTAAGGTTACAATTGACTGGGCGAGGAGAGTTTTTGAGCCAGGTCCGGTCCAGTTCAGTTCAATAGAGGTCGAAGTTAGTAGAACATGACGTGAAAAAGAAGGCTCCCATGTGTTGCTTTGGGGGGCTGAGACAAATGCTCGGGAAAGTTCGTGACTTGAGCAAGATGTGTTTTGAAGTCGGTGCCAGCTTGTGTCTAGCTAACCAGCCAGAGAAATATCAAATCGATTATGGTGCAAGTCTCAAAAGCAGGTCTTCTACCTTTCATCAAACTGCTGGAAGACCAGCACATCATGTGCAGTATGTGCTGAACAGCAACATTCTAAGGTCTCCAACCACTGGGTTTGCATATGTTTGCATCGTCTCTTTCCACATCTTTGGGTCGAGACCAATCTTCAAGACCACATCTCCAACCCAGGAAGAACCACGCCGTCCTCGAGAAACCCACCACAGCCTGGCAGAAATGGTCAAGAGTTGCGAATTTGATGCGAATTCGGGTGAATGAGATGTGAACGATCACATACGTATGGTGAACGATTGATGTGAACGAACATTCATCCCCCCATGCCGAATCTTTTGACCATCCCTTCCATCGTTCTATCGCAAGATAGCATGACAGACCGCGGCGGGGTCTACGGAATCCGAAAGCATGACGACGTGGACGGCCGACGATTTTGGGCTGGGAAACTGTCGTCATCAGTTCGGCCGTGTGCAGGGAACTGTCCAACCACCCCCGCCAGGTTCAGACGGGGCCTTTAAGAAGATTGGACTGAAGTCTACAGAGTACGGATCAGACTGGAACGAGTCCGGACTACATTTACTACATGATGTGTGACTCAACACCTCAAACTTCTGCGCGGAGGCATGTGCAGGCCACCCCAATCATCCTGCAGCCTTTCATCTCCTTTGTTGGGTCCCAAATCCACGAAGCAAGAGCTAACTAACCTCCCTCCATCTTCCGGAACCCTGCAGCCTCCCACCCTCGCCGTTCCCGGTTCCCGGTTCCAGCCCCCGCTTCCACCCTCCGCGGAAACGCAAGCGCCTCCGACAGGGTGAAGGAGGACTCGAGCGAGACCAGGCCATCGTGGTCGTCTTCCCAACTGTCGAGCCGCACCTCGGCTGCCGTGGGCCGATTCGCCGTCGCCCGCGAGCCGCGCGCGGAGCAGCTCGCCGACCGACTCGCGGACCGACTCGCGTGTCGGGGACGTACGCTTCGGAGGCGGTTCGGAGGCGTCGAAGGATATCATGGTGGAAAGAGCAGTATGTTTGGCGCTTGCAGCTTGGAAAAAAGGTCCCAACTTGGCAAAGCCTTGAACCTATATACCTGGGACCCAGCCTTAGAACTGGACTGGATTTGTTGTTTCCACTATAGTGACCATCCCTCTTGCTGGGGTAGCTTTTGGATTGCAACCCACCGTCGTTGGTGGAGCCAAGAGGGTCGGCCACAGGAACTGGTTGGTCTTCTTGGTTCCTCGGTTGGCCTTGGCCTTTGGACCCTCTCGGTTGGCTTTTTTGAAGCGCAAAGCTGACGGACTTGACATTGAGTCAGAATTTTTTGGCCGGATTGGCAGTGAATCCCGGCTTACATCAAATGATATAAGTGCAACACATCACCCTCACAAAGGGTATATGTGAATCCTGTAGGGTTGCTGGTTGGGGATATACTCGAATCTGTGTTGCAATCTCCTATGCCCATGGCTTGCTGGTGAATGTCTCTCGTGGGCAAGAACCAACGACCTCGCGGCCGGGCTCGGACCTCCAGGGATTGTCAGCACAATGAGGGAGACAACATGAGCAGGAACAGTCCTGGACCATCCTGTCTGGGTGTCCTGGCTGGAGATCCTGGATATGAGTGTAGGGGAGTCCAGCCAGGACACCCAAACAAGATGGTCCTGGGCTGTATCTGAAGACACTGAAACCAACGCAAACGCGCGATCCAGGGACATCAACTTCCGGAACACGGAACTTGCAAAGGCACGAATCCGGAACGCAACTTCCTCCCTTTGGGTGCTGCCAAGTAGAGTACAGTATTTAGTCCAGACTTGTCGGGAACTGCAAAAGGAATGCAAACTTCTTTAACACCTTTCGTTCTGCATACATACCCCAAGGCATCCGTTACCACTATAGCTGGTAACCAGTGGTTCCATTTCAACTCAAACCGACCGAGCAGTTCCCGTTCCGTCCAACACCGACGGAACCAGGGGATCCACTGGAACCCGGTGCACTACCTGGCTTCGCTGCGTCGGCGATGCTCCCAAGACGGCGATCCAACTGCCGTCGTCGCGTGGAACGCGTTCGTCGCCGCGACCCTTTCCACGCCGCCCAGTCGCGAAAGCGGGGCTTCGCTCCTCGGTCGTGTTCCTGCAGCGGCGCTGGTTCCGCACCCGGTGGCGCAGTGGGTGTGCTGCATTTGAGGTGTTTTCTCTCGATATGCATTCACTTTCACTTCCGACAGTGACCATGTCTTGACGCAACTCGTGCCCTCCGAATCAAGAAGGCTTGAAGCTCCGCAGCATCCCAATATCATGCACATGAACTGCTTTCTATATATATGTCCCCTACAAGTCCAAGGGCCAAGTTAAACCTGGTGCTTGACCTCATAGAAATCCTGCTTTCACATGACTGCTTTCGTCAGTCTGAGCTCACGAGTGAGTGTCGACCGTCCCACGTCCCGTCGGCCGACCACGTCCCAGACCGACCCTTCGACGTGTGACCGACCGACCACGTCATCGACCGTGTCGATCCCCAAACACTCCATGGGACTGCCATGTCGGACTGCCTTCAAAACGGCCAGGGGTGGTTGATTTCAGGGGTCTGTCTGGGGCGGCAGTCCTATGCCAGTCCCAGGCAGGTCGTGTCTGGGATCGGTCGAACCGACCGTGTCGACCTCGACCGGTTTGGCTCGACCGGACTCGTCCTGCTCATGGGCTCCGTCGTGGAAGCAGAGAGCTGTCGCTGGCGATCGGTCGCCTGTTGAAAAGGGCGGCAGCAGGCCGCACGGTCGGACGGTGCGAGGAATGGGAGGAAGGCGCCGTGAACGGCGGGGGGGGTTGAAGAGAAGAGGTACAGCCCAGAGTCCAAAGGTAGCATTAACTAGTGTACTAGTTGATGTTGAGTTGCATTTGTTTGCTGGGGGTGGCGGAGGAGTCTTCTGACTTCAATAGTACATCCATATGTTGAGTTGCTTGAGTTGGGGGGGGGAGGTGAGCGGTTCGTTGGTGCCCTTTCAATACTAACTATTAAGTAGCTGGAGTCTCAGTTCGTACCTCAGAAAATGCGAAGCACCAAGGTTTATAGGGTCACGTCCCATTTTCTAAGGTACGAACTGGAGGCTCCAGGTAGCTTCTTGCTACTGTAGATACTATACCCTGGGAGTCAAAGACTATAAAAAAGAATGGTCTTTAAGGGAACTGAAAGGAAACTTCCTTTACTCCAGCCGGTCAAAATATAGTCTTTGGACTTCTAGGGTATAAAGTAGTAAGGCCAGGAGCGGCTCCCTTCGTAGCCCCTCCTCGCTCCCTTCGTCCGCTCCAAATACGAGCGGCTCGGCTCGGCTCCGCCACGGCTCGGCGAAAAGGTCGGTGACCAACGGCCGAACTTCAAACCATTTCGCCAGGCAAGTTAGGCCATGTGAGTTGATGTGTTGAGAGCAGTGTGTGAGTTGATGTGTGTGAGTTAGGCCATGGACAGTGTGTGAGTTGATGTGTGTGAGTTAGGCCATGGACAGTGTGTGAGTTGATGTGTGTGAGTTAGGCCATGGACGTTGAAGGATCCTATGGCAATACCTGGCTCAAAACACCAGCGAGGGCGTGCTTGGCTCTTTGTCCCAGCTGGTTTACTCATGTCACTTTCAACTATCATTAGTCACTGCAATGCGCGATTCCTCTGGTTTTCGGCTGGACACGGACCTCCAACAGCAAGGTGCAGCAGGAACTGCAGGAGACCCAAAGAAGAGTGGCTCATGGTAGCAGCCAAAGCCAATTCCAAACGGGTCTATCTATATGAAGAAGGTTGGTGAGAAGACAGTTGGTGCAAAACGATCTAGCAGCCAATGCCAATTCTCCTGGATTCAGAAGAAGTATCATACAACCATCATCGTAGAACCTATATCCTGCCACGTGAGGGTGGTGTGCTGTCTAAAGCTACCACGAAGCACGAAAACAAGGTTCAACAAACGCTGCGTAGGGAATTCCGGTACAAAAACATCCATTCAATCAGGCTTAAAAAAACTTTACAGCAAGTGACCTCTGGAGATCACTATAAGACCAAGACCATCTAAGACCTTTGGGATTCCCAATACGAGGACTTCCCCCAGCGGCGTTGCGGCTTTCAGCCCTTTGTTTTCGGTGCGTTCCCCTTCCCACGCGGCGGAAACGGCTCAGCTTCGGCCTTCGTCTCCGTTTCGGACATGGGGGAAGCAGACCTCAGCGGACCGCCGAGCCAGTCCGTCCGAGCCGGCCGGTGGCTGGTGACTCGATGAAACGGAATCCAACCGATCGAACTGAATCTGAAATCCCAAACACGGCCCATGGGACTGGCAGCTGCTCCATACATTGACCCCGACTTCAACCACCCCTGGCCTGATCCTATGGCAGTCCCATGAGTCGTGTCTGGAAATGGCACAATTCATTGATCCATCACGTGACGACTTTCAATCTTAACGCCTTTCTCAAGGTTCCTGACTATATAACATTATAAACCTTCTTTCTCCGAATCTGACATCGGCCGTCCATGTCAGTGAACTTCAAATGAGCTTCATTGGCACCCATGGGCCATTAGCTGACCGTTTGGTCGCAGGACGGCGTAAACCTCTTGCAACATCGGTGCTGCTTCCGGCCGGCAAGAATTCTGAGCAGACGTAGACGTAGACCTGGACCCTCCAGTTCGTATCTTGGAAAATGGGACGTGACTCACGTGACCCTATAAAAACAAAATAAAACAAATATATACTTGGAGACTCGGGGTACGAACTGAGACTCCAGGTGTACCTGTTCGTGTCACACGTGAAATCCGGGTTCCAGGCCGTTTCCCGTCGTCTGATTCAACTTCGAAGGTCTACAGAGTGACGAACAGGAGAAGTAACGACTACACTCCGAAGTCACGATCTGCAGGGACCATATCAGCTGAAACATCCTGCAACTTTCGCACAATGCTGAGCCGAAGGGAGTCTTGTTTGGAAGAGATAACTCAGACTCAACGTTAACATGGTCCAGGAAGTAAAAACAACATGGATCCATCTGTTTCAAAGGATTGTGGTCACATGGTCAAGAGGTGTCAAAAAAGAACCACCCTAACTTTGCCATGCTGTTCACTGACCATGGCTACCCCAAAACTCATCAAAACTCCTTCCCGCACGTCCACCAGGGCACGTGTAGCCGCAGCCTTGTGGCCTGTGTCGGAACGGCGGGAACGGCGAAAACGGGGAGAGTCCCGGGTTGCCCAGACACGACCGCCGGACTGTCAAAACGGCCAGGGGTGGTGCCAGGGGGGTCAATTGGCAGTCCAGCAGTCCCATGGGTCGTGTTTGGGTAGTCGGGACTGGAAGATGCCATGCGGACTGGATGGGTGTGACTCTTAAGATGTTTTAAGGGGTCCATGTGGGACAAATCTTCCATGTGATGGATGGTCTAAGGTCGCCCCCTCCGGCCGAAAAAAAACATCTGTCTACTCGGGGGGGTGACCTCCTTTTTTGGCTGTGGCGGGGTTTTGGAGGCAACCTCCTTCCCCAACAGCAGCCGCTTTCTTGAGAGGACTTCCGAAAGCAGCGCCGCCGACCTCGTGTACTTTTTCGCCACGTCCAGCGCGCGGGTCTGCGACGGAGTTTCGCGGACCGCGACCGTTGACTGCCAGGCGGCTTTAGAACAACTGAAGCCAGTCCGACTCCTGTCATCATCCTGCGAGCTCTGTCTGACGGCGGTCTGTCTCTCTTGCGGTGTCGTGGATATGAGTGGAGAACGGCAAGTATAGGATCTATGAGGTTCCGTGATATTTGCATCCATGTTGGAAGCCAACTTTGACTGGGATCTATGAGATCCAAATGAGGACATGCCCTCCGAATCAAGTGGGCTGGAGAATGGGGAAGACCCCTTCGATGTCTACTTCCACGTTCTATCTATACATTGGGTCCCTCGAGAGCGATTCTCAACAAAGAAGAGGACTGGACGTCAGACGAGGACTGGGTGGACCTGCATCTCAATCAACAAAGCGTTCACCTCTATGGGGGGCGATGTTTTCCCTTCAGCATAGCACTGCCAAGGAACAAGGTATACCCCTTGCTTCATAGGCTTGTTTCAGCGTAGCTGTTTCACGTAGCTCTTGAGCGTGTTTTCAAACGCACGATTGGAAGGTTCCAGAGATCGCTGAGTACTCCAAACTTCTTTCATGATCCAGCAGCCACAAAGCGGTGCGATCCATGGAGGTTAGGGGTGCCCAGCTACTCCACTCACTTGGGGACCAAAGGACACCCCACTGTTTGCGGAGACGGAGACAGACCGATTCGAGTCCGCCCGTCCGTTTCCGGTCGACCGAATTAGTCCCTCGAACCGAACTGGACGGTTGATGAACATCACCGTATTAGCCGGGAGTATTATCGTATTCTATATTAAGGATCCAAGTACCGTGATTGGAGACATTGTTATGTAGGTTTGGTTGCTGAAAATCACCTATGCCGCCGACCAGCTCTCGAGCTGGACGGGCTGAAGCAGTGCTAATGCTGCGAACAACCAAAGTGTTACTTCCTGTGTGTAAGTAGGCTGGATGAACGGCCAGTTTTTTCAGGACGAAAACTCACCATTTCCGGGTTGGATGACCATTTGGGACGGAAGAAGTTGAAGATGTGCGAAAGATAATTCGATGAACTTCGGATATAACCAATTGAACAGTTCGGTCTTTCATCCAATAAGTTGAACTTCGGACGAAAGACCTTCAAAAGAAGTTCCACCGAAAGACCTTCAGGATTCCCTCAGTGGATCCCCGGGAAGCCACGAGTAGGAACCACGGAACTAGGGGGGCCCGCCCTTGGGTCTATGGCTTTGGTCGTCGTTGCCTGGAACGGGAATCCAGCGACGGAGCTGCCTGGGATGCCCTGGGTTCTGCATACTCTACAATCAACTGTGGAGACGTCCCTTCTCTTTCTCACCAAGGGGTCCCATCTTGCAAGGGCGGCTTCGAAAGTGCCATCTTGCAAGCACATCAATGTGCGAGGTCTCCCTGATCTTCATTAGTCCAATGTAGGGTGCCCTCCAGTCCCTCTATAGTTTGTTGGCCTGTTGCCCTCTCCCACACTCAAAATCGCATCGGCTGCACCCAACATCGAGAACATCCCGCACAGGATCTACATCGATCCAACAAAAGGCGGGCCCGCATCGATCCACACGACGGTCCCGCGACGATCCCGGCGATGGATGCGTACGATCGCGGCCGGACGCGGGTGAGCGCGGGGTCCTGAATTGATTCGCAACTTTTGGTAGGCAACTCCTATTAGACCCAGAAGTAGACTCGATCAGCTCTTCCGTAACAATCCAAGGATGGACATATATGAACATGATATCCATGCAAATATAATAAGCTAGTTTGTGCATGATACACTATACATTAATTGGAATATATACTCACTACAAACTATGATAGCTAACTACGAAATCAACTCCTTGTTTCGCCTAGCTGGCATAGGTCAATCTCCGAATCTACTCCCGGGTCAAGCATCCATCCGCATGCGCATCCTCGATACAAACTTGAGGACTCAGAGACGGCCGCGGACCCGATGCGGCGGTGTGTCCACACGTCCTGCTTACTCTATCTTACTCTGAGGTCCTCGGTCTCCACACGGTTTTTATCCCCAACACCCTTCGGAGAAGACCAAGCTCCGGGGAGAAGGAATTTGGGATGAAGAACTGGTGGGAGCAAAATGGGTTCTCTTGAGTTTTGATACAAAACGTTTACGCTATAGTTATCTAGATATATTGTCATAGTCATAGTGTCATTGCCCCTAGGCCATGTGTGCAACGCACCATCCTTCGGAGCCGCGGGCACCTCATCTGAAACCCCCTCACCCCCGGGCGTCATCGAAACGCGTCCCAGAACCCGTGGTCGTTGGTTTCTTCATCCGTCCACGGTGTTGGTTCTGAGGAATCAATTCCTCTCAGGTGGACCTCAAGTGCTGGGTAAGAATTTGTGTAACTGCTGAAATGATGTATGGTATCAATACCAACCAGGTGGATCTATTACCTGCAAGTACTCCCTGTGTGGATAAGACGCTTTCTTCGGGGGAAGAAATTATGACGCCAAAATCGGACCCTTTCATCCACACGATCGGAGTATGACAGATCGAGAGCTTGAGGAGTAACATGTCAGCCAGCCGCTTGATTTCCTCACGACGATGGGAAGGTCCAATTACACCCGAGTAAATTAACCCACATGAAACCTGCAACATGGAACTTTGGAAGACTATTATATATTTTGTTTGTTCCTCTACAACTACGGAGTGGTTTTCAGGTTCCATGTTAATTTTCCAGGGTGTAGTGGGTGTAGTTGTTTGAACTGGCCGCGGAACATCCTGCACCCTTCGCTTGAGCGAGAAAACTCTCCACGGACTCCACGCGGGTTCACATCCTGGATCAATCAGTGGCATCTGGATGATCCAGCTCCATAGGACCCAAGGGAAATCCAAAAACACGAAAACCCCTGAGTCATGTGTTTCTCCAGACCCCCAGTCATGCGTTCAAAACTGTTCAGTCACGCGGTGACCAGTCACGCGGCGTGCCAGTGCCAGGCCCAGATCAGTCGCGCGGCCACACCTGTGGACACCGCATCGTCTGGGTTCTCATTCTCCTCGTGCCCCAGCAGCGCTGGGATGTTGTCGACTGGCGCGGGAGGTTCGCGTGGCTTCGCACGCACGGGGCGCGTCGACTGGCCGGAGGCATTGGTGGCCAAAACTCAGGCCTGCAGGGGTTCATGCAGGAGGGGGGGACCAATGGAGGGAGGCCACCTCCAGAGATTTAATCAGTGACCCAAACCCAGTGGTAAAAAGGCCACCTAGGGTTTGACTTTGTTCTCGCTACGGCCATCTGAAAAGGATGCGTTTCAACACGACGGGACTCCCTCAGCCTCCCTCTTTTTTGTTCGGGAGAACCCCATCCTCCAATCAATTCTCTTTTCTGTTTCTCTTCAGCTCGCTTTCTTTGGGGGTCCGTTGTTGCTTTCTTGGGGGCCTTTCTCCGAAAGCCTTGCCCAATACATTGGGTAGAATCTTGGGGTCTATCCTGATTAGTCACATGATGATGGTTCGGTTGCAGGCCTTGAATTACATTGACATGGTGATTTAGCTGTTCTTTTTGTTCTGCCTCTTACTAACAGCTCTAATCGGATCAGGCTTCCTCTGTCCTCCCATCACTTCCACCTGCAAACGCTTCAGCCTCTCATCACTTCCCCACATGGAGGCTTCCGCACCTGGTTGCCTAGGTGTATCGGTCGGCGTACTCCTCACATCGTCCAACCTCGGGCGCTTCGACCGACCGCCGTCCCGAGCGTTGAGCGGAGCGGAGCGGCCATGGAGGCAAGTGGTAGCCCTTCACTTGGGCCTCGTTGTTGGAAGTGATGGCCTGTAATACATGCAATCTTTAGGCTGATATGAAACTGTGGTTGGAAGTGATGTCAAGATTCACATGGACTTCCAAATGTGTATTGGAGCAGGGAGGGAACTACCTTGACTGGTGTTTTGTGAATTCTGTTATATCATATTTGCTAAGTTTTGTCCCATTTGATCAGCATAGCATGTTGTAGAGTTCAATACCTCCAAGCAAACTCCCGGCCAAAAATTGAACGTCCCATCACTACAGTTTGTCATCATAAAAGAACAATTTACATTTACGCCACGATTCCAACCGCCATGATAGTGGTTGCAAAGGGCTGATTGGTTTGATCACAAACAGCACACTGAAACGAACAGTACAGTAATATTCATCACAGAAATGAAAGTACCTAGCACTTCCAACGGGTGCCCTGTCTAGAAACCTGTAAGTAGGGTAGGGTAGTTTATTGGACACCCATTGGATGATCCTGGTATATACAGTGCTACTATTTATACATGAATACTTCATTACAGTACGCAGCACATGCAAGTGTTGGATCGTTGCCCGGAGTCTTGTCCGTTCGACTCTCCATGTCGCCCTTCAAAGGTGGAACCCACGTCCATCAATTCTTGGGAACTGCTGCGAAGCTCACCGGCCCGCTTCTTTGTTCCGCTTGGCAACATCTTCTGTCTCCCTGCAAGCCCACCTTCACCCAAATCAATCCCACCCCACATGTGGCGGAATCGCAGGCATCGAAAAAAAGAACAGAAACCGTCACGTCCGCACCGGTGTGCCGATCGCTCACGGCACCGGAGGTGCCCGGGATGTCCACATCACACCCACGTCACGTCGTGGCGCATCGGCGACGTCTCTCGTCGTCGCACCGCTGAGTGTGGCGCATCTCCACCAGCCGTTCCGAGTCTTCGTGTCTCTGGACCTCGTTGATGCCGGTAAGACGTCGGGAGAAGGTTGGTTTGGGGCGAAGGCCCAGTGAGAAGACGGTGGTCTATACCCTGGAAGTCCAAAGACTATACTTTCCCTGAGTAGTAAAGGAAATTCCCTTTCAGATCCCATAAAGACCATTCTTTGTATAGTCGTTGACTTGCAGGGTAATTATAGTCATTTAGTCAACAAGGACCTTGGAGCTCCTTGAAATCCTGTGTCACAGAGGGGTTCCATGGTTTGGGGGCGCACATGCGGGTTGATTTATATGTCCATTCCAGGTGGGTTTTAAGCTCCGCAGTGGTGCCGTCTACAAACACAGTAGGGAAGCACCCCTATGATATCCTGTGATCACCGGCAAAAGGGAATTTAGATGAATCTAGTAGTGAAATGAGTAGCATGTTTTACATGTTTCTACACAAACTTATACTATACCCATTGGTTGTCAGCCCCTGATCTTGACATAGCAAAATCACCGAGGTCCCCAAAGAATTGGCAAAAAAACTTAGCCGGGTGGATAGACTATATTTTTACTGTTTACTCCCTAGAATTCATCATTGAGTGAGTCGTGAAAACCCACCTGATTTCATGTTTTTCATGGTCATCCGACGCAGTGAGTGATCACTGGAGTGCATGAGTCTCAGTTGCCCAGCTTGGAGAGCGTTCCTCAAAAGGAAAACCATGGCGGCCATGAAGAACATGATGTTTTTAGTATACCAGTTCGACCATGAAAATTAATGGGAAAGACCTGGTTGTGTGGTGCGTACATCCTTAAGAAAACAATGGTTCGGTAGGTAGGTCGACCATTAAATCAATGATGGGCCCAAGAAGCCTAGGGCCATGGTCAGTTATCGCGGTCCAAACTGCGACATCTGTCATGCAGGGTTGGACATCTATAAGGCACAAACTCCTGGAAATCCAGTCCCAACCAGATACACATGGATCTTTCGATATTGGAACAATGGAACAACGCATTTGGTTCTGTTAGGGACCGGAATTCCAGGCTGGACCCCTTGTTTTTTCGTATGTCTGTCCATGGTTTATTGTGTTTTCTTGACACTTTATGTTTAAGTTTCAATATAACGAAAATTTGTTCAAGTTTGTCTCCCCTCATCTGCTGTCGTCACCAGTCCCTCCGATGCTTCCCGCCTCACTTTTAAAGGAAGTCCTGTACAAAAATAATCGTTTTGGAGACTTTGACGCGGGAATTTTGGAGAAAGTCTCATATGAAACGTTCGGTTTCCAGGCTTGGCGCATGATTTTTGGAGGAAGTCTCGTACAAACTGCTTGTTTCTGCCAAACACATTCAGGAGTAAGCCTTCAAATTGCATTTCTTCAACGCATGGCCTTCCCGAAGGAATGAGTTCCACTTCTCGTGACAAAGTTTCTTGAATTCTTCCGGGCTAGGGCATTCTTGAACTGTGGACCATTTTGCGACGCGGTGGGGTAGAACTTGGGCAACCACTTGGATCATCTCCCAGTTGTGTTCATGAAAGCAGCAAGCCAACGATCGTTCATGAGGGCAACATATTTTTCGGGGGTGGTGGACTATAAGCCAAGTCATGTGGTGTTGTTTGACCCCAAGCTCGCAAGCTAAAGACTTTTTTCAAGCATTGCAGGTCTGTTGGCGCCTGTCTGGCAAAGCACAGTAGGCCTGTTCCTCTCACCCTGCAGTTCACCTCCTTCTCTGGCCGTCCCTCACCCTGACTCCTCCCAAATCCCACCGCCCTCCTCATCCTTGCGTGGTGCCGTCTATGCGCCTCCCTGTGCTGGCACTGCAGGTTCCTCACAAGATTGCAGCCCCTCTTGCCATTGATGTGGTGCGAAGACAGTGGTGGAAGTCCTGCAGCATCGGTCGAGGGGAGTACGTGGGACTCTTGCTCCTCAAGCTCTGCTTTAGGCTCGTCCTTTGGCGGACGGAGGAGTGCAAAGGCGTCGAACCCTTGATCAACCTCTTGCGCTTGGGCGTTATTAGGGCCTAACGAACGGGCATTCGCAGAGTCTCTGCACAAAGCAGCGGTTCCCTCTGGGACCTCAGCTGCAATGGAAAACTCGTGGATGGCGTTAATCGAAGGCTCAATTGGATTGGTCTCTGAGGCCGCAACTTCAGGCTGTTGCTCATCCTCCTCCGCGAGGCCAGCGGTTTCTGAACCTGGCGGAGTAAACGTTGGTTGACAGAGGAAGATACACCCGACGGCGCACGGGGGGCCACAGCAGGCGTTGGCTCTGCCTGTGTGGACTCTTGGTCCGTGGCACCCGCGCTGGATCCCATGTCCAATGGGCACCTTCCTTCCATGGTAGTCGCCACCAATCCACCTCCAGGCCCTCTTCCAGGGTGGTATCCTGCGCTTCAAGACTCCAAATCTCGTAGGTGGGCTGCATGCATGTTATCCCGGGGCATGACAAAGTCGATGATCTTACTGATCTCGCAGAGTAAAAACTCCTGACCCGTGTCTGTCTTTTGCAGAAGGTCTTCTGCCGCTTCCAGCAGCTGTTGGACAAGAAGTTCTCGCCCGTAGCGTGCTGCGCCAACAGTTCCAAGAATCCGCGACACAACCCGCAGCGTCGGAAGCTCACTTCAATGGCCAGCTTTTCGATCCACAATCCACCGCCCCCTGCCCAAGCCTGCGCAAAGCCAGCAAACACCGTGTCCTTTGTGAGGGCATAAATCTTCCCTCGCACATTGCGGCCCCAACCAATGTTCTGACGAAACTCTCTCTGGGACAGCCGGCCGACTTCCCTCAGTAAATCCACAGTCGGATCTGCAACAATTTGAAGCCCGTGCCGCTGGCACTTGAAGACGGCAAAAAGACCTCCGTGATTGCAGCCGCCACTGCAGCTACCCAGTTGTTGGCTGCCTATTATGTACAAACCCAACATATTGCACAATACGCTACTGCCTCGCAGTCACTTTGCTCGCCTTCACAAAAAAGCGCGTCGCGCGACGCCAGGTCAGCTGGATGATCGCCCATCTTCGCTGGACAATGGCTGCCTCATCGATTCTGGCGAGAAAGCTTTACAGCATTCAATTTCAACGTAACATTTCTCATCAAACTCAGGTGGACTCATCATGAAGAGATCCTCTATAAAATATACCCCCACGTGGCTCACAAAAGGTATGCTACCTTGGAATGGCTCACAAAAGCTATCCTACCTTGGAATGGCACCTTCCTCCTCTAAAATTTACACTCGCGTGGCTCACCAGCTATGCTACCTTTGGAAGGGCACCTTCCTCTTCTAATTTTAACCCCCGCGTGGCTTACAAAAGGTATGCCACCTTGAATGGCACCTTCCTCCTCTAAAATTAACCCCCATGTGCCTCACAAAAGGCATGCTACCTTGGAATGGCCCTTACAGCTTCAATACCTGCTTCCTCGTCTCCCAACAGCATCTCGGCTGCGGCTCAGAATCTTCGCCTCTTGGAGCGTAGCTTTGATGTAGTTGGGCTTCTGCACAGCAACATATGTAGCGCTGTGAAGCGCTTGCTCAAACACTTCAAGGACTTGCAGCACGCTGAAAATCGTCGATGTCGCGAAACCGAAGCACTTCTCCGTCAGGCGGCTCTGGTGCTGAGCGAGGGGCAAACTGTTCGTCCCACTGCGCCCTTTGCCGGTCGGGCTGAAAATGCCTCTGCCAGCCTGCTCCTCGAACACTAGGCGATCAGAAGGCACACTAGAACTCAGCAACCCCTCCATTGCTTGGGCCTCACTGCATACTGACAACAACAAGTTGAGGGTTGACCTGTCAGACCGCCAAAATATAGGAAGCATTGGTCAAATTCAACTATTTGTCCTTTGACGCCTTTTGCTGAAAACGAGCCAATCCATATTCCTTTGCTCGTCGGAAGCCTTCCTGCTCTAAATTTAACCCCCGCGTGGCTCACAAAAGCTATCCTACCTTGGAATGGCACATTCCTCCTCTAAATTTTACACTTGCGTGGCTCACAAAAGGGTATGCTACCGCGGGATCACAAAAGGTATGCTACCTTGCAATGGCACCTTCCTGCTCTAAATTCGGGTACACTTTTAATTTTGGATTTTCATTTTTTTCGATAGTTTTGCAAAACATTGGAATAGAGCAGGTTTCTTAGTGGTACCTAGCTAATTATACGGCGATTTCGTGTCCTTAGCAGCACACCAGATCCAAAGGTTAGAAAGCAAACAATTGGAAAAGCAAAAAGAGAAAGGAGAACAGCTGCCAAAGCAGAAAAGCAACAAAAGCAAAGAGCAGAAAGACAAAAACACAAAAAACCGAAACGCAACAAAAGCAAAAAAGACAGCAGAAGCAACAAAAGCAGAATCCAAAAAACAAAATAACAATGAAAACAAATCCCCCCCCAAAAAAAACATCCTCTAAATTTTAACCCCGCGTGGCTCACAAATGGTATGCTACCTTGGAATGGCATCTTCTTCCTTTACATTTAACCCCCGCGTGGCTCACAAAAGCTATCCTACCTTGGAATGGCACATCCCTCCTCTAATTAAAATTTACACTCGCGTGGCTCACAAAAGGTATGCTACCTTGGACGAGGTCCCCGAATGGCACATGCCTTCGCACTGATGGAACCCCATCTGGAAACTTCATTTCGATCCGTTCCTTTGACCCGTTCCAGTGTTCCCTTTCCAATTCTGGAGCAACCACGGACGCCACCCACGGTCGCGCGCAGCGCCAAGAAGCTCGGTAGTCGTACCACGCCACCTCCACACTCCACGCCTCGTCGCACCGCGGCGTCCGCGAGGTCCGCCGTCCGCGACGTCGGCGAGGCGAGATGAGTCGCGTCCACGTCGGCGGAGGGAGGGAGAGGCGACTGGGAAAGACTCACGTTCTGAAGCAGAGGGAAGCAGTACCCAAACACTCCATGGGACTGCCATATATGCCTACAATGCCGATCAGTTGGGGTGGTGCCAGGGGGGTCAAATGGGGCGACATATCATCTTCCAGTCCCATGGAGTGTCTGGGGTATAGTAGCAATCGCAGGACTGTTCGCAGGCGATGTCGTGCCCAGCAATCACCGGAGTCACGGCTGAGTTCCGCCTCCCGGCTCCCAGCTGGACGGATGGAACGGCATGGACCAACGATTCCTGTAGGAGAACCAATCCCAGACGATCTAGGGATAGCAAATACCACCTACATTTGATGGTTATTGGTGGTGAATGTAGGCCATATTTACTGTCCCATGGATCCTCTGGGAATGCAATACTGGTGAACCAAAAGCTTCGGAGTTCGTGAACCAAGGCTGGACCTCAATGAACAAAGAGCGTGCCTGGAAAAATGGGATGCCTACTTCATAACAAGACCTCAAAATGTACATGACCAGTTTTGGGGGGGGCTCCATCCCTCAAAAGCTTTGGATTCAACATCCAGCAAATGGTAGCACATCAAGCTCCAACAAATCCTATGTGGAATCTCTCATGAACCTCACTGAATCCATAGGGATCCATTGAGAAATGCCTCCGCCAGAAAAGAGTTTTCAAACACATGGACTACCTAGCACTTCCAACGAGCCCTGTCTGGAGACCTGTTTACGTAGGGTAGGGTACTCCAGCCAGGACACCCAGACAGGATGATCCTGGTACAAATGAACTGGTCTTTACTACTCAATCGGATCAATGAATTTCTGGACGGGCTGGAAAATCATAGCGGAGTCGTTTCCTTGTTAGCAGGCATTCTTCAATAGTAAAGCTTGATGATTCAGCTGGTGCAGTTGCTTCAATTTGCACAAGCGGAGAACCGACTAAAGCCTTAGCGCCCGTCACCAGTTGCCAATGCTAAACTGCTTCAAACAACCGTTTTGCACACAAGATCTGATGGGGCACATGCATGAACATCCCGAAGACAAGTCCTCTAAAGCAACCAAGTCAAAGCTTCGAACTACTCCTGTTGACCACGGTTTTCGGCCGCGGGAATCTCCGCCTCATGCTCACCACTGGGTGCTCGATAGCGTTGCAGCACTTTGGCCACCTGAGGTCAACGAGAGACACCGCTTGGTTGCACCGGTGCAAATGCCGCGCCAATGTCACTGAGGGTCCCAATTTACAAGGCCATCATCTTCAAATAGACAACTAACTCATGTGAACTCATGTGACTCATGTGCATTTCATGGCAGGTTTCTTTTACTTTGGGAAAGCCCATGCGCCACGGTCTGCTTAAGGATGACCAACAAAAAGAGATTGCGCCACGGTTCTCCATTCTCATGCACTAGCAAGATCTAGCAAGTGGATTTCTGAGCTGTACTCAAGTGTTCAACTGAGGGCTTTCCACTCAACTTAATGATATTATCCTTTCCACCTCCCATGGCGTCAATTGGAACGGTGGTCCAGCTCCCATGGCTTTGCAATAATTCCATTCACATAAGACTGACAATAACATGCCGCATTTTCTGGCATGAAGGAAAGCATCTAGGAAAGCAACTGGCCGAGTTGCATGAAATGAAAAATTGCACTGGTCACCAAAGTGTCCCACAACCAAGAGGGTAGCCCATTTAAGAACATCAAACTCTTTGATTCCACCCGTCGACGCTCCGTGAGTTCACAGCCCAACTGGTCCCTGGTCCCTCAAAACCGATCGGGATTGGTTTCGAAACCCCAGACCCCTTCCAGTCCGAATTCGGGTCCGACCCCTTGCCGTCTGGAGGTGATGGACACGCACGCCAAAAAAAAAACGTATCAAGCCTCACAATCAAGGCACGACACATCATTCTAGGCTCCCATTTGGGAGGATCCATGTAACCCAGAGGCTGATTGGACCCTCATAGCTAGGGTTTTGACCCTCACAGCCAGGCTTTTGAACCTCAAACATATAGGAGTTTGAGGGTCCATGAGCCTCTGGGAAGTAAATATGACATAATGACATTCACCACCCGCCCACAAAAAACAGTCATGATAGGCGATCTGGACGCGCCACAATTGCGAATCGTATTTTATCGTATTATTGTGAATCATGACACCCATTACACCCATGAATCAAGCAGAGTTCTGTTTCTTTGCTCGGACTGGAAAGCCACCCCGCGGTCTCTGCTCGGCGGACTCGCCTCTGGAACCGCACACCGAACGCCCCGAGTTCACCCCGAGTTCGCCCTCGGACTCGAGGACACCTCGCCGAGTTCGCCGAGGTGGTCGCTGCGGCCCAGCGCCGCTCCGCTCCAGGTCCCCGCACCCACTTCAATTGCGCTCCCGGGCGGTCGAACCTCGGGCGTCGAGGTCACGCTGACACGTCACACGTCACGGTGGGGCGTGTTGGGCGGTGCGCCACGGTGGTACGGCGCGGTGCGGTGCAACGACACGCCTCGGTGTTTGACACGGAGAGGTTTGGGGTTCTGCTAGAGACCGGTGGGGTTCTGTGGTCTGACCGGTGGGTAAACCGGTGCATGTGCGTCATGATACGTCAGGCGATCTGTCTGATACGTCAGATGTCTTGACACTAACGTTGGGAAGAGAAGCTCAGGGTCAGCAGGTCACTGAGAGTCAGCGACCGTGCACTGGGAAGAGCTTCCGGGGTGAGGCCAAACCACGATTGCTTCGACCAAAACATGCAACGTCATCTCTTCCAAAAGAAACCCTTCGAGGGAGAAGAGGTATCTCCGGATAAAATGCCCTTGCCCCCAGCAACCACCGAAAAAGAAGGAACTCGAGAATTGGTACCCCACACCAGACAAAGGGAGGATGTCAAAAGAGACTTAAACCCCTAAGTGGGAATTCCAGTGCATGCATTCGAAGCGGAAATGAATTGACTCTAAACTCAAGAACTATCAAGAACAAGTTAAGCGGCACACAACCCTTCAACAATTGAACCACCGGGAACGGTTGGTGACCGGCATGGCGGTCCTTGGTGTCTGGAGGTGGGATCTCTCTCCACTTCTTTCTTCCAAAACTACACTCGCAGTCGCGAGAAATTGAAGAATGCATATACCCTAGAAGTCCAAAGACTATATTTTGACCGGCTGGAGTAAAGGAAGTTTCCTTTCAGTTCCCTTAAAGACCATTCTTTTTATAGTCTTTGACTCCCAGGGTATATGATACACTCCCTGAAATCATCAGTGGATGGCACCACCTGTTTGGTGATCGAATTTCAGGGTCATCCGACAATCGGGGGGCAATGCCATCCACGTAATCGGATGCTTGGACCGGGAGTGGCTTCCAAAAGGAACTCTTCCTGCCGATTGGGCGCCGTTTAACAATATCGACTTCTTCGCTTGCAGTGATTCCTCTCCAGTTCGGAAGAAGTTGCAACTATGACTATAACTCTTCGCTTCACTATCCAGCACTAACTCTTCGCCTCCCCTTCATCTGTTCAGGTGTTCCAGCCTTCGCCTCCCCCCTGGGCGTTCCGGCATGTTGGGCGCCAGAGTTGTGATGGGCTTGAACTTCTTGGCAAAGGATTCCTGCGACGTTGGAGCCAGCTCAAAGGATGGGTGTCTGGATGACCTGGAAGTTCCAGTGATGTAAATGATGCCTGGATCTTCCCTAAAACATGTGTGCCTCTTTATCTACCAAAACCAGCCAACAGGCAGAAATGTTGCATAGTTGGAAGATCCAGGTATATTTGGGCCATCCCATCTTCGGCACGGTGTGCGGACCCTGTGGGCCCTGAAGACTTTTGAGGCGGCGCGACGTAGGGATTCCCACCATCAAATGGATCTTCCCCAAGGAATTGTTCCCCCAAGGAAAGTGCCTTTACGTCCTATTAATGGCAGGCCGTAAGACGGGACGTCCGTTTGTCCATGACTTCTTGCGGCCGTCTTTTCGGACGAGACGGACGGTAGCCTTCTCCTTTCGTCCTGACATGCAGTGTGATGTCCGCACGAACGGGAAGAATAGAGATGGTCGATACTAGGTACCAGAGAAACCCGGTGGGTATACTTCACTTGGGGGTATCCCCTCAAGCAACCAACCAACCAACCAACCAACTGTTTTACTGGCCATCTATGACTCGAAGACGGATGTAGCCAGATCAACTACGGCCGACGTCCAACGGAACTCTCGTGGTCTCATGGTCTCGCTTGTTGGGGTGCTCTCCAAGTGTTCCAATCTGGAGACGAGCTCGCTTGTTACAATGGGATACACTCTGGCGAACACAGCACATGCCCAGTGCATGCCAGGCAAACCCCTAGTAGTAAGGAACCAGGGATTCGTTTGGTCTATGGTGTTAGTCGAACTGGAACCACTGGTTAGTGATTTGCCTGGATGCCCTGGGAATGGATACACTCTGGCGAACACATCACATGGAAGTGGAAAATGGATGAACGTGGCCCCCCGTGGTCTTCCGTTTTCCTCTACAACTCCATGCTGCATGTGATGTGTTCGTCAGAGTGCATTCGATGATTGGATCAGAAATCCCATGTTCAGAACAGAATGCCCAGTTGACAGTTGACCCCATTCTCTACGGGGTGACGAACGATGACGTGAGCTGGAAGCACCAATGCACTACGTCGCTGGAAGATGCTGGACGTGTGGCGGTTCAGGTGTCGAACATCACCCCTACGCCGCCTCCAGTCGTCGTTTCGGTGAACTGGGATGGGTGCCAGGGTCTAGTCATACCGAACCTGAGGTACGACTGGAGGTGTATATATAGATCACCAAAGTAGATATAGAAATGCTGTTCAAGACCATGGGATCGACGTGGAGATCTACGTGTCGATCGCTTCGGAGGCCACCACCTCTAACTATATAGTCGGTACGTAGCCTTTCACAGAATTGTGAGCCAGATACCCGCTATATAGCCTGCCTCCTCCGCCCCATCTCTACCGCCTTGGCGGTACAGATCCGAATAACAAGACATGCAAGGTGCTTGCACTCGAGCCTCTCTCGTCCGCCAAAAAGCAGATTTGGGGTGGGACTCTGGCTGGTTGGTGAGGTTCTTCAAGGGGCTCGCCGGCTACTGCTAAAAGCTACGAGCGACAAGGGCGTTTACTACTAGTAGCTCGGTCAGCTCGGTCTCAAATCATTTCAGCCAGTCCATTCGCCTTGGACCGCGTGGCGGACTCCGTGCAGTCTCGGATGGGACACGTGTCACGCACAACCCGGTCTCCCCACGCAAAACCCAAGATCCCGGACCCTGCGACCGACTGTTTTGGGGGTCTCTAACTGAGTGGTGCACTGGTGGCCGACAGGAAACACCTCTTCAATCGCTTTCCCCCCCCAAAAAAAGGACCACCTTCCAAGGCGCGGTGCCCGGCCATTGGTCGACCTCGCCCCGGAAGACCGTTTCACATCGGTCGCCTCGCCGCTCTCTTCGAAGAGGGGCAAGGATTCCACCACGTGACCCGGAACCTTGCTGGATCGTGTCCGTCCGCCGTCCGTGCGTACGTTCGATGGCCCGACGATGGCTCGACGATGGCCCGATGGAATGGAGGCCATCGATGCTCGAACCTGTTCGGGGCCTCTGATGGTCTCTTCGGATCACCAATGCCTATAAGGCTCCTGGCGCACATCCCCAGGTTCGGTGGATGGGCTGGGTGCCAGGGGGAGTCTAACCACCGAACCTGAGGAGATGGGCCAGGAGCCCAAGGAAATTCTCCATGGATGTACACACGATCAACTTGGAACCCTAAGAATGGATCTTTGGAGGAGCTTCCTCCACACACCGGTGTTCAGGGTTGAACTCTTCCAGGGCCCCGCCCGGATCGATCCGGCCCATCTGCCCCACCCCGTGATGTGCACGTGACGTCCAGTTCGAGGAGGCCATTGTGACGCAAGGAACTTGAAAATGTTGGAGAGTGTTTTTGGGGTTGCGCCAGGGGCCCCATGTTCTTGGCTTCAAGAAGAGGTCATGAAGAAGCAAGACCTCAAAACCTTGATGTACTGGTCAAGAACAAAATAGAAGTAGCATCGATGTGAATGGGAAACATATGGAAACATTGAAGGGCAACAATCTGATTCTTTTTTCCTGTATCCTGTTTTTTTCAGATTTTATTGAGGCATGGACACTGTCTGATAGTGCCAAACATTTCTGCCTGTTCCTCTGGAAAGGGTGGACAAACAGCTTAAGAACTCGCGCTTGCTATGAGCAGCACCATGTAAATCAAAAACAAGAAGTCGAAAGAGTCAGGGCAACCAAGGGCCGGGTAGTCCAAGAACAAGTGCTGTTGAATGAGATTGAATTCCTTGGGTGGAAAGCTTAATTAACGGACATGTTGCTTGTCTTAATTCTGGGTGATGGAATGGCTTTTGATGCGGTTCTTTTCTATAGAGGTCTTGCCATCACCTTCCAACAGGTACATGTTGCTGCAACAATACGTACTTCCATAACTTCGCTCTGGGTCCTCGCAAAAAAAAAGAAACGCTCCACCGTCCTCGAAACGAGCTCAGCGGTCACTCGAAACCCACACGAAACTCAAAACCAACACACCAACACGCAACCCACACGGTGCCGCTCTGAAAGGTTTCTGCGCCGGTCGAGCAGCGTAGAAGTCTGGCCAGATGGCACCCCGAGGCGCCTGGCTAACGAGTCGAACACGTTCGAACGCGACGAACGGAGCATGTCGGGCATCGCGACTCGAACGGGGCGACCCTGGCCTTACTACGTACCAAGAACGCTACACGCACGGGGTGGTTCCTGTGTCCATTCTCCGTCGCACTCCGCAGTGATCGCAGTGATCCTGGGTGTCCAGGTTGGACATCTAGTAGACGAAAGGGTAGTCCAACCTGGACACGTAGACAGCTCCTGGAATGAGTCTCCTGAAGCTCCAAAACCCAGACACTTCATGTATGCCATATATGCCGCCCCATTGACCCCCCTGGCACCACCCCAACTGATCGGCATACATGGCAGTCCCATGGAGTGTCTCGGAAATTGGAACAAAAAACGAACGAATCTCTCCAGCATCTCTGCACCTCTTGTGATACGCTCATTAGTCGCAAAAGCCAAACCGCCGCATCTCTCCGCCACCGCACCTGGGCTTCCAGAACCCTTCGGACCTCCATGAGGGTGTTCAAGGAGGGCCACCTTGACCCGACTCCGCCGACCCGACAGGGGCAACGAAGGCGCCTGCTGGTTCGATAGGTTGTGGCTATTGATTTGGTGCACCACTTACACTTGAAACGGTCCACGGATGGCGCCATTTGAGTGCACCAAGCATCAAAAACGGCCCATGCCATCTGCCTACATCATCTGCCATCCCAATCTCGAAGTGGTCAGCTCCTTCTGTTCCACCCTCTGCCGCTTCCCATGACCAGACCCACCAAGACCGTCACCGAAACTGCGCCAACGCCGAACCCGCGGCCTACGCGGGTGGATGAATGAATCCGATGAATCGAAAGAAATCGAATGCCTTTGGCAGTCTTGTGATGAAACTGCAGAAACGTTGCACAGTTGGAAGATCCAGGTTCTTCAACACCAAATCAGCGAATGATTGATTTCATAATGAAACTAAAAGGGGCCAATGGCATGGCTGATCACACTTGTCAATGTCAGTCATCGAGATCCGGTCAGTCATCGCCTGGGTTTTTGTGTGTTTAGCTATCGTGCTTGGGCGAGGAGATTGGCAGCTCACCTAATCCTCTCACACCCATCTCAAAGCAGTATGGGAGTATGAGGCAATCTTCAAAATTGCGCATTTTTTGCTGTGCCACCGGTGATCCCCTTTGTTTTCTTCGGAACATCACGGCGAATGAATGGATTCTCCATTGATAGAACTTCCCACCAATACGTCTACGGCCCCGTATACCCCTCTTCATCTCCCTCTGCCTCAGTCGGTCAGACTTGATGGGAGTCCCGACCCCACGGGGCTGTGGAGAAGCAGCATGTGGAAGAGGAAGTCCACCAGATCGATGCCTTGGTCACGGTTTGTCACGCGATCAGACGACCGCGCGAGCCGCACGGAACGACCGGAGCTCGGCGCGCGAGGCGAGACGGCGCGAGACGCTGACGCTTCCTCGGATGGACGAGGCGCGCCTTCGGCGAGTGAAGTCGCAGAAGCCTTCGCCCTTCGCGTCGGATGGGCACCAGATCGTTGTGGGTGAAACACCGGATTTATTGATGCCAGCACCTTCATGTCGGGGTCACCTGGCTGGTTTCGCCCCAGCGTGCCAGTCGGTCCAGGTATGAACATGTTTAGCAAAACATCGCCCGTGCAGGTCAGCATTCATTCCATCATTCTTGCAGGTCTTCTAACCTTCTCATTCCTTCAGGAGGTGCCCCGTGCTGTCCCAGCCGCAGCTTCCAGAATAGGGATGATCGAAGGCCGCCAGCCTGGAGCCGAGCCCCCAAGAGGCCCCGTTCTTCCGAGAAGTCGAAGAAGATTGGTTGGGGATCCGGGCAACAACTTCACATAGGGTTTACCTTTGGATATTTGTATCTGCTGCACTTTGAATGTGATTTCGACTTTTGTGGGACGCGGCATGGTGCAAAAACGGTCGAACTGTAACGTGCGCCTTTCCCGGGGATTCCAGGGGAATTAGTGTTATTCTTCCTGTGCTTTGCACTTGCTGTAGGCAAATATCTTCTCCCTGCTTCTAAACTGATCAGCTTGTGTTAATTGATGTACGAGAAACCACCCTTTCCCCAGGGTTTCACTGGTGTTCCTCATGGCAAAAGCCACTCACCAACTGGCTTGGAGGAACTTCCACTACTCTTCACTCTCCAAGTAGCCATGTAGGTATAGTACATATGCCATGGTCAAGAACCCCGCACATGCCCAAGCTCTCACGAGACAACTTATATCACTTCGAGTGGTCCTCAGCTGAGACAAGAGGCAGGGCTCCGGAGGCAAGGGCACATGAATGTATTGCCAAACTATCCTGACAGAAGACCAGCTTGGCCTCGGCGGAGGCCTTCCCCCCCCGGCAGGCAGGGCTACGCAATACCTCAAAAAGAGTGCCGACATGGTCTGACATGGTCTGTGCCAGGACTTTGACATCCCTCAGACTGAGCTGGGGCCCTTCAGCTGGCACTCGCTGCTTATCTGGACGAAAGGAGGGAGGCAACGAGGATGAGCTGCACCTTTCATGGAATCTAAAGACCCTCAACTGCGAGATACTGGGACAAATATTGAATAAACCTAAATAAAACATCTATGTTTGCTCGTCCACACGAACAGAATCATCGGCGTTGCAAAGTCAACCAGAAACAATAAAATGTGCAGCCTGGATCGACTTGGAGGAAGACTGAATCAAGTCGACTTCCTCGACTTCCTCAACGTCGTAGCGTTTCAGGTTTGGTAAGCGGCTGAGAAGCACATGGATAGCCAGTACGGTGGCGAGGCAAGGTCACCGAAGATCGCAGAAAGAGTGCGCCCGATCGCAGTGAAACGCCAAGGTGTTGAACGCCAAGGTGTTGTTGCACAGGAAGCGACGAGTGAGCAGAATTCCAGGAAGCACATGAGAGCTTCGAAGCAGCAGCCAAAGGAACCCGACCACCCTGACGCGACGTCTTTGCTTCGCGACGTACTCTCCCTGGAACTCACTTGTTTCGATCCGGGCGTTCCGGATCGTGTAGGACACACCGCACAGGTCGGCCGAAGGATTCTCACCCGGATTGGCATGGTTCTGTATATCACACGGATTAGCAGTGATGACGAACGGTCATCGGGCCATCGGCAGCTCTGGGGATCCCTGACATCTGCTTCAACTTGGCCTCACCACAGTTCCGCCTCACGGTCCCGTGACGACGGAGAAGACGACAGGTCCGACAGGTCCGGAGATGAGAACCAGAGCAGGACTTCATGTTGCAACAGAAATCGACTTCATGTTAAAGAGGAAATTCCTGCAACACGTGGACATGGTCCAACTTAAAATAACCATTCAAATTGATTCCAAACTTCTGACTTCCAACTTGATCACACGTACATGTCCGAAAGTACGTGTAATTTATCGTATAAGATAAGTCTAGCAGATGTGAGGAGTAAAACCCAATCCGGAGGTGAACACAATCGGTGTTGGCATGTGTTGAAACTTGTGCCCCGTGAATCCCGCTGCCATCGCATTTTCTCTGATCGAGCTCGCAATCCCGTTGTGCAAATCAAACAGGTCGAGAAAAAAAGGATTCTGAACCCACCTACACAGCTTCAGTCTGATTTAATGCTCCAGGGGTGGCACATAGATGCCACCCCTTCCAGTGGCTGGGGACCCCAACCAGTTCGCTGGCACCTTCACCGTGCGCTTGTCCCCGCCATCTGCCTGGGCAAATGACACAGTTTGTTGAGGCACTTACTTCCACAGGTCTATACGTAGTGGGTCTCCAAAAATACAACTAAACATCCCCAACCAGTCAGCTGTGAGTTCCAAGCCAACCGGTTGGCTCCAAGAAAGAATCAGGTGACCATGAAGGTAGTAGCTCAAACATGTTCAAACCACCCCCGGATAAGGCAAGGCATCTGGTGGGGCCAGTGGAAAGGCCCCACTGACATACAGATATTGAAAACAGGTCGAGAAAAAACATATGTTATATAGTAACTGCAAAACACGTTGAAATCTAACCAACACTGGTCAAAAAGTTACATTCCAATGCCCGGCTTCGCAGTTAGTTCAACAAAAACTCAGTGAATGCAAAGCATCCCAATCAACCATTTGGGTTACTGTCCGTGTCATTAACTCGGAAGTGGAGTTCACCACCCAGTTTGTAGAGAAAAGCTCCCCAGTAACATACATAGCCATAGATGGATCTTCCAACTGTGACAAATGTCTGCCATTTCATCTATAACAAAACAGCCAAAATGGCAGAAAATTAGAATAGTTGGAAGATCCAGAGGTATGGCCAAAAGACCTAATCGCAAAGGGAAGACCTTGCGAAGTGAGGAACAGGCGATGACTGGGAATGTGTCATCAAAAGGGCGACAACCCAATTCAAAGACAACCCAAAGATACAAAACAACCCGAAAAGGACCCAACCCCTCTCGGGATTGTTCACAGCTGGTCAGAGATAAACAAAGAAAAACCCAGGGCATCCAGTTACCACTATAGCCTATAGCTGGGAGTCCCAGTGGTTCCAGTTCTTCGACGACCAACCCATATACCGACGGACCACCATGGTTCCTTCGGAAGCTCCGTGGCCTCGCGCGGAAAAGCGTTGTCGAGAGTTCGACTCCGGGCGACAGAGGTCAGCTGCTCCAAGATTCGCAAGAGCGTGTAGTTGGGCAACACCCTGATTCGCACGAGCGTGGACCCGCTGTGTCCTTTTGTCCTTTTGGTGTGTGATATGTGGCGAAACCCGCTTTGGTGTGGTCTGCGGTTTCCTCGTGTTTTTGGGTGGGAGTTGTTATATATGTTGGTTCTTTTCTCGGAGGAGGGAGACACATGGAGAAACTGCCACTCGCCCAGTGGTTCCTTCTTCACGGCAACTGACCATGCGTTTCAGGTGATATTTGTCGGTACGGATGCAACATTAACGAGCTGGTCCCTCGGATACATGGAATTCGAACTGTTCGAAAACACACCGAACCTCTTCCCTGACAGGTTCCCATGCGTCTCAGGGGAAAATTGGGCTCGAAGGAGTGCTGGAAAACTCCTCCGAGCCCCCACATCTTGAAGAGTTGCACCACTCTGGGGGGACAACACTCTTCAGTTGAGTTCATACTCTTACATGATAGAGGCGATGTGTATCCAATTCAACTTCGAAAGCCTTCCTCTTCTCTCTCTCTCTCTCTGAATTCTTGGCCCGCAAATCCAATGACCATTCTTGACAAACTTCGTGTAAACCATCACTTACTTTTTTTTGCTTGGAGAGCGGTATCGGCATATGTACTAAATGAATATATGTCATTTGCTTCATGACTTGTTTGACAAGGGAGTCTCTTCTGGTGTACAAATCTCAGTTGAAAGCTTCATCTCCTACATGCACCATGCCCACGAACATACATCCTTGCCTCTTACATCCACATATTCTACATATTCAATACAACATATCATCCATCGCTCCTACCTCTATCTTACCGGCTCATCCCTTATCACTTCACTTAGGAGAGCGTCGCACATGGCCTGCAGCTGGGAGAGATGGCGGCCGCCGCGCTGGCGACCACCTGGCGCAGCCGCCGATTCCACAAAGGCGGAAGCAAAAGGGAGCTCCAGCCGAGGAGGGCGGGGTTTCCGTGTAAACCGTGGAAATAGGATGTCATCTAGATTAGGAATCTCCAAGGCCTGCAACCATTTTGGACGAATGAATCTTCAGAAGCTGGGGACTGGAAGGAAGAGGGCAGGCCATTCCGTTGCAGGCGTCAGGCTGATTTTTTTTTCAGTTATAAAGGCACCCGTAGAGTCAGGGTGCTGGTGCAAGTGGAATTGAGTCCTTTTAGTCTACAAACCAAGTTGAGACTTCACACCCATGTAGAAGTGAGGGTTCATGCAACACCTGATATGATGAATGTCCCAATTTGCAGCTCTGTCTCAGTTCAATATACCTAACGCTTCCGATGGGTGTCAGTTTAGTATGTCTAGTGCATATTAATGTAGTGTAGACACCAGCGTAGACCTTGTCCATCGGTGAACCCGAACAGGAAGCAGCTAAGTAATACCTGGATCTTCCAACTGTGCCTGAATGTGTGCCTTTTTTGCTGGCTTTAGAGATGAACCGTATCCAGAAATGTCTCCTTACAATTGGATACTACAGTGAAGATCCAGGTATTTCAATACACAATGGCCAGCTGCTCCAGATTCAGTCATCACCTGGGCTCTCGGTGAACCGAGCTGCTCGAGCTCCGATCTGATCGATCTTCCGCTGCGTGTGGCGTCCGTGTGTTGCTCCGCCTCGAAGAGCAGGTCCAGCTGTTCCATCGTCCAACGGAAGGGCGCCACACCCTGACCGGCGGTTCGGCAGCGGGAACACCATGGTCCCGACGGTGCGTGTTGAAACGGGCGCCCTCTCCCGGTGTAAGGACGACGGAGAGATGGTGCTCAATGAGAGTTATATAGATTCCACAGTGAGGGGCAGAGTCAGTTTTGGGAGCCAATTAAGAATCTTAAGATGTTAACTAGTAGCTCCACGGATGGTGGGATTCGGATGTCCATGGTTGAGGGAAACAAAGATATTGTGTTCTTGTGTGTTCTTCTCAGTGTTCCCTGATAGAAGCTTGCCCAAGCTTGCTGATGGCTCGGGATGTCCGACATGCTAATTCCAACACGCTGGCTCTGCTTCTTGAGTCTCAAATCTACTCCATGACCATGTCGCCAGTGCTTTTGGGTCACTATCATTGCGGATTCACCATGCTATGACCAGCCACAGTCTGTGAATGTGTTGGGTTTATCCTATTACCAGTAACAATGGATGATGATGATTATTATTGTTGTTATTAATTACTATTATTGTTGTCATTATTATACATATATGGTTTCTAAAGGCCTTTTCAAAACGGCGATGTTCTTGTTTACTGACAGCTCATGAGGTTCTAAGTTCGGACGAACCCAAGGTATGTGTGTGTGTGTTTGTCGGGGATAATAGCAAAACATCTCCCTCATGATTCTGGGCACCTCTTTGCTCATCCCCACGTTGGCAGTTTCACCCCCTGTAACACCAAAGTCGTCGCAAAAAGCTCGGCTCAGCTCGGCTCGGTGTTCTGGCCGATGTGGTCCATCAAGTGATGGTTCTTGAAAGAATGATCCAAAGTCTTAGAGAAAAATGCCTCCTTCAGGGGTCACTGAAGAAGAGAAGACGCGGAAAGGCACGCGTCTATAGAGAAAAGAATTCGGCACGCGAATCTCCTCCCCTTCAGCCTCCCACAGAACCGTCTAGAACTTTTAGAATCTGAAAACCACGTATACTCTGAAATCAGAGGATGCCCCGCAGACGAAGATCCCATGAATCCCTGAGAAGGAAAACCCCGTGCATGGTGCTTTTCGACCATATTCCTCATCACCAACTTGAAGACCGTTTCTTCATCGCTAACAAAAAACACTTTTAGCCCGCCCACGGAACCTGTGTTTTCGGCAGCGGTTTGGCCGCCCCTGTGCTCAGCCTTCGCACCCTTCGCACCCTTCGCAGCCGGCGGCGCCTCCACTTCCGGCGGCACCTTCTCAGGCTTCGGCGCCCGCAGCAGGGTGTTGGGCCTGCGGGCGAGACGGAAGCGGTGAGACCGGAGCTGACCTTAGGAGAAGACCAGGGTGGCCCAAGGAGGCATCCAGGACCATCCCGGAAGAGCGGCGTTTTGATGGGTCATTTTCAGGTTAAATGTGCCTGGATACTCGAAGGGGTGCTCAATAGAGATCCACAAGTTGCAGGGCATCTAGTCTATTGAACCCTTGGAAGGTGCTGGTATGTAAATGTATGTAAGTCTATATAGTTTAGTCCCATGGTGGGGGTTTTGTGACCGCACACTTGAGATAAGCTTACACGACCAAAACCCGGTCTTCGGGGATCGAACATGGTCGGAGGGGGGGGGGAGCTAGCTCGGTGCCTGAGAGGTTCGATGACCCTCGGCTCCTTCTCTCACCTCATCTCACTACCTCAAAGGGATGTTTCCCTATCCTCAGGTTCGGTGGGCGTCCCGCGCTCCCGACCCCCCTTGTCCGATCGAACCGGAACGGAACAGATGGCGGCCGAACGGAGCCCTCAGGTTTTGAGATCCCTCTCTCCAAGGATTTGCCACATTCACTGCGTAGAGGAAAATGGTCTTCCAGTCTGGTCCATGCCATCAGGCTCCATGTGGATGTGGGTCTCTTCCGGGGTATACCCTGTAAGAAGTCCAGGGCAAACGACTCTTGGGCACCACCAACGTACAGGATCGGACATTCATGGACATTCTAGAGACTCAGGGCACCTCCCAGGGTATGCATATTATGCCACAGATCAGACATGGGAGGTTGAATTGAGGCGTGAAGACTCGCATTTTCTTGAGTTCAATGCATTTAAGGCACTGGATCGAAGCCATCTCGATGTTTTCCCCTACACCGACTTCGTCGTACCTGAAGTTCGGTATGACTAGACCCTCCTGGCACCCATCCCACCTTCTCAGCTTCGCGACGAAAACGGAGGGCGTTTCCGCTCCGAGGTGCCGCCGTTTCGCGTCGAACAACGGCCACCGACCGACGCTTCGTCGTGCCGCCGGGACCGTGCAGACAGAACGCCTCGGTCGTTGCGGCGCTAGCAGACCTCGGACCTCCGATCCCAGCCCTCCGATCTCCCGCGGTCGGTGGTCCGAAAACGAAGAAACAGGACGAAACGAACAACAGACCCTGGAAGTGTTTGAGGCGGTAGATCTCTCATTCCAACACGATTCAGACCACTACCCTCCCTGCCAGGTCTTTGGTTGAGCCCTAACAGGTCTCAATTGGTGACCTGTAGAGTCGGGTCCTGTTGTATGGAAAGTATTGGAAAATATTGGAAAGTATGGATCTTCGGATCTTGATCCCAACTTTCTCCTCCTTCTTAGTTTCGGAAGAGGAAAGGCGATCCCCGAAAATCCCCCTTCCTCCCTTCCGACCTCGCGCCCAAACGCAAGCTGTGGCTCCTCCCCCGACCCAAAACCGCTCCCTTCGTCCGGCCTCTGGTGCAAGTGCGCATTCTTCAGGCACAGCTTGGTCTGGCCAAGGGAGAAAGCGCGAAGGGGGGAGAAAACGCGGTCAGGTGTTGCGTCGCACGGGACAAGCCAAGGTGTTTTGGCTTGGCAAAAGCACCTTAAGCCTGAGAGGCTATGGCTCAGGAACACGTGGGTGAGGTAGATCCCCGAATGACCTCCTGGAAGAAGGCACCCCAGACCAACATGTCACGTGTTAATTGGTTGTCAGTGATCTCACACCCATGTACGCTCCCCTCTGACTCAACGTTCGGATGTGGTTGTCTGACTGAACGTTGCGATTCGACGAAGTTGATCGTCCTTCCGCCTCTGTGGGCCGAGTGGGGGGGGCGCTAGCTTCTGTGTCTCAAACTCACATCGGCTGCTGTCAGTTGGTCCAGAGTCACATTCAGACACCTTGCAAACACACCTTGGAGAAGAACAGAATCCCCCAACAGATTTACATGCCAACCACTGACTGCCGCTGACTGACAAAGGACAAAAGGTACCCCAAAAGTGTCAAAAACAAAACATGTGTCGATACTATCCTCATCCGAAAACATGACTGCTGCTTGTGAGCATGTTTAAACATCACTCTGTCTTGCACTCATCACCATCACCAACCAGCGCCGACACGTCATCAAAAACCGGTTACATGAGAGTGCTGCTTCAGGTTCTTGAACCCTCTCTCCTCAAACAAAAAAAAACACAAACCCCAACGCTTCACTGGCTGTCGACCGCTCCGCTGACACTCGTGTCGTCGTGTCGCCCAGATCCGGCAGATCCGTCGCCTTGATGAAGTCTTCGCTCTCGACTTGTTCCTGGGATCGGCGAGACGGAAGCGGCGAGACGGAAGTCGGCCGCTTAGCTTCGTTTCCGACGGTTCCGGAACAGAGACGGTGGACAGCGCGGGGTTCCTGCGCCCGGAAATGAAGTGGTGAAAAAGGAAGGATAAACTCAAAACCAACCAGGACCCGACTCTACAGGTCACCAATTGAGACCTGTTAGGGTCCAACAACCCTCAACTAACAGCCTGTTGGAGGATGCTGGAAGTGAATGAATCTGGTGGCAAGGGTACGACTTGTCAAAACGTTGATTTTTTTACGCGGCCAAAAGTGAGACTCGAAGTGTGTGAGTTTCACATCCCCCAAACATAGAACAAATCTGAAAGCGAACGCGGTGCCTTCAAACACCCAACATGACACCCAAAGAACAGCGTTTGAGGACACCAAACATCACCTAAAGCCTGGCCTGTTCTTTGCTCCAGACGAGCTGAACCGCTCCCACCGAGTGTTCCAAGGCCGTCGGTCGGTCCTTCAAGACATCCACCAGGCTCGCGACGGCTTCCAGGTCTTTGTGCCTGACATTCACGTAGCCAACGGTCAAAGAAACACAACACCCCTTTTTTCGGTTCGCGTCCGATCGCTCCGTTGGTCGGCCAGGCGAGGAGCCCCGTTCGTAGCTTGTGATTCACACTATCAAAAAGAAACACAACAAGCCAACAATGGTAGTTTTAGCCAACCTGGAATACTTCTTAGTCTGTTCTTGCGCAATGGCCAAGTATGCCTTACGAAACGATCACCTTACTTTTCTTAGGAATTCTTCGGGGGTCATCCAGCCCAGCGGTCCACCCGATCGTTCGCTTTGTTCGCCCAGCACTTCTTCGCCCGAGTGTCGAACATGCGTGTCGCGAGCAAACGCACACGTGCCGGACGCACAGCACCAAACGATGTCTGAGTTTCCATACAAATGAGTTGAAAAAGAACCGTTCTAAAATCATTGTCCTAGGTTGAAATCACAGCAATTCCAAGCGGTGGCCATCAAGTACCCAACATGCACTCATGTATATGGTTGTATGTTGTGTATGCCCTTTTAACAGCTGCGTTCTTACTTACCGAGTCCAATTGTTCCAAATGTGAAGCTGAAAGTAGCCATCCTCTTGTACGCAGCAACAAACTGCCAAGACTATACAGCCAGCCAGCCAGCCAGCCATGCCAGCCAGCCAGCCAGCAAGCCAGCAAGCCAGCAAGCAAGCAAGCAAGCAAACACACAAGCAAACACACATTCAAACACACATTCAAACACACATTCAAACACACATTCAAACACACAACCAAACACACAACCAAACACACAACCAAACACACAAACAAACACACAAACACACACACACACAAACAAACAAACAAATAAACTAAGATCTTTGCGCGCACAGATTGATGGAACCAAAGCCCTTGGTACCAGTTCTTGTGCACCAGTAGTGGTGGTGTGCGCCCAAAGCCCTTCTGGTGTACAGTGGTGGTGTTGTGCCAATGGTGGTGTACACTAGTGGTGGTGGGCTGCGCACCCACTCAACCTCACTCACTCAACCCCACTCACTCAACCTCACTCACTCAACCTCACTCACTCAACCTCACTCACTCAACCTCACCCACCCAACCTCACTCATTCAACCTCACTCATTCAACCTCACTCACTCAACCTCACTGACTCAACCTCACCCCTCAATCACCCAACCTCACTCATTCAACCTCACTCACTCAACCTCACTCACTCACTCACTGACTCACTCACTCACTCACTCAACCTGCTTGCAAAGCACTTTTGTTGACCAGAGCTGCTTGCAAAGCACTTTGGTTGACCAGCTGCTTGCAAAGCACTTTGGTTGACCAGAGCTGCAGTTTGGTTGACCTGCTTGCAAGGCACTTTCTTGACAAGACCCGCTTGCAAAACACCTTGATTGACCAGACAAAAGCACCTTGGTGGACCAGTGCTTGAAAGGCATTTGGTTGACCAGATTGCATCCAAAGCACTTTGCTTGACCAGATCTGCTTCCAAGGCACTTTGGTTGACCAGAGCTGCTTGCAAAGCACTTTTGTAGACTAGAGCTGCTTCCAAGCACTTTGGTTGACCAGAGCTGCTTGCAAAGCACTTTGGTTGACCAGATCTGCTTCAGAGCACTTTGGCTGACCAGATCTGCATGCACTTTGGTTGTCAGCAAAGCACTTTGGTTGACCAGATCTGCTGGGAAAGCACTTTGGTTGTCAGATCTGCTTGCAAAGCACTTCGGTTGATCAGATTTGCTTGCCAAGCTCTTGTTGATCTTGAGCAGTGTGGTTGACCAGAGCTGACCAAAGGTGCCTGCAAAGCACTGGTTGACAGAGCTGCTTGAATGCACTTGGTTGACTAGAGCACTTTGGTTGACCAGATCTGTCTGTAAAGCACTAAACCACACCTGCTTGCAAAGCCACTTTGGTTGACCAGATCTGCTTCCAAGGCACTTTGGTTGACCAGACCAAAGCACTTTCGTGGACCAGATGCTTGCAAGGCACTTTAGTTGACCAGATCTGCATTCAAAGCACTTTGGTTGGCCAGATCTCCTTCCAAAGCACTTTGACCAGAGCTGCTTGCAAAGCACTTTGGTTGACCAGCTGCTTGCATAGCACTTTGGGTTGACTAGAGCTGCTTGCAAAGCACTCAAGCACTTTCTTTGACTGGACCTGCTTGCAACATTTGGGTTGACCAGACAAAACTCCTTTTGTGGACCAGATGCTTGCAAAGCACTTTGGTTGACCAGATCTGCACCCAAGGCACTTTGGTTGACCAGATCTTCTTCCAAGGCACTTTGGTTGACCAGAGCTGCTTGCAAAGCACTTTTGTTGACCAGAGCTGCTTCCAAGCGCTCAGTTGACCAGAGCTGCTTGGAAGGCACTTTGGTTGACCAGGTCTGCTTGAACAGCACTTTGGTTGACCTCTGCTGGAAAGCATTTTGGTTGACCAGATCTGCTTGCAAAGCACTTTGATCAGATTTGTTTGCAAAGCACTTTGGTGGAGCTGCTTGCAAAAGCACTTTTAGTTGACCAGATCCTGCTTGCAAAGCTCTTTGCAGAGCTGCTTGAAAAGCACGTTGGTTGACCAAAGCTGCTTGGAACTTGGTTGACCAGAGCTGCTTGCAAAGCACTTTGGTTGACCAGATCTGCCTGTAAAGCACTTTGACCAGACCTGCCTGCAAAGCGACTTTGGTTGACCAGATCTGCTTGCAAAGCACTTTGGTTGACCAGACCTGCTTGCAAAGCACTTTGGTTGACCAGATCTGCTTGCAAAGCATTTTGGTTGACCAGGCCTGCTTGCAAAGCACTTTGGCTTGCAAAGCACTTCAGTTAACCAGAGCTGTTTGCAAAGCACTTTGGTTGACCAGACCTGCTTGCAAAGCACTTTGCTTGACCATATCTGCTTGCAAAGCACTTTTGATACCTGCTTGCAAAGCACTTTTGCTGACCATACCTGCTTGCAAAGCCTTTTGGGTTGACCAGAGCTGCTTCCAAGCACTTTGGTTGACCAGAGCTCTTGTAAAGCTTGGTTGAGTTGACCAGATCTGCCTCCAAGGCGCTTTGGTTGACCAGAGCTGCTTGAAGCACTTTTGTTGACCAGAGCTGCTTCCAAGCGCTTTGGTTGACCAGAGCTGGCTGACCAGATCTGCTTGGAAAGCACTTTGGTTGTCAGATCTGCTTGCACAGCACTTTGGCTGACCTCTGCTTGAAAGCATTTCGGTTGACCAGATCTGCTTGCAAAGCACTTTGATCAGATTTGTTTGCAAAGCACTTTTTTGTTGACCAGAGCTGCTTGCAAAGCACTTTGGTTGACCAGAGCTGCTTGCAAACCCTTGATTTCAGCACTCCCCGCCACCTTTTGCAGGCCGCGCCTCACAAAAAGCATACAGGTGGGGGGTTGGCAACAAGCAACAAAACAACTCACAACCAAATACAAACAAAACAAACACACACAAACGCAAGCAAGCAAGCAAGCAAGCAAGCCAGCCAGCCAGCCAGCCAGCAAGCCAGCAAGCCAGCAAGCCAGCAAGCCAGCAAGCCAGCCAGCCAGCCAGCCAGCAAGCAAGCAAGCAAGCAAGCAAACACACAAGCAAACACACAAGCAAACACACAAGCAAACACACAGCCAAACACACACACACACAAACAAACAAACAAACAAACAAACAAACAAACAAACAATTAAACAAACAAACAAACAAACAAACAAAACAAAAAAACAAACAAACTAAGATCTTTGCGCACACAGATTGATGGAACCAAAGCCCTTGGCACCAGTTCTTGTGCACCAGTAGTGGTGGTGTGCGCCCAAAGCCCTTCTGGTGTACAGTGGTGGTGTTGTGCCAATGGTGGTGTACACTAGTGGTGGTGGGCTGCGCCACCTGGTGCTGGTGGTGGTGGTGGTGGTGGTGGTGGTGGTGGCGCACCAGTGCTTTGTCTCTTCTCTGGGCTGAGATGTTTTTTGCTTTGCCTCCCCTTGTCTCCCATGGTGTGTTTGGACGCTGGGCTGAGATGACTTTGCTTTGTCTCCCTTCGTCTCCCCTTGTCTCCCATGGTGTGTCTGGATGCTGGGCTGGGATCACTCTGCTTTGCCTCCCCTTGTCTCCCCTTGTCCCATGACATGTCTGGATGCTGGGCTGGGCTGTTTGGGGTCGATGCTGGTGTAATATTTTATCGAAACACATGTATGTAAATATAGAGGGTATAATTCACCTATGTTTCATAATTCCAAACAAAAAGGGTGTGCTTCTTTGAATTCAACTTATTTTTATGGGTACACACACTCTCTGCTTGCACTCGTATTCAATATAGTAAATATAACATCTGTATTTATTTTTTCATCTGGCTTTGACAATTTCTGCAAAACTGATTAAATGAGCTTTCTTCGAGCCGGAAAACTTTCACCAATACTTCAGTGGCTTGACCTAGTGCTCCTCCTCTTTGGTCACCAGAGGAAGGGCTTGCAAAGGCTCTGGCTTTGGTGGTGGGAGTGGGAGGGGCTCCATCTCTGGTGGGGGGAGCGCATCGGCCTCTACAAGGGGGAGTGGTGTGGCCTTTGCCAATAATGCCTGGTACAAAACTATGCCATGGAAGGCGCAGTCTCCCCCTGCCCTAGTGCTTGCGTCCCAATGCCACCCGTGGTGTTGGCAGGCTTGTGCAAAAGGGCTTTCCAAGCCCCGCGATTCACATGGGCGGCTCTGGTAAGGGCCATGGAAAGTCGGCGCCCATGGTGGAACAAAGTGGCTGTTGTGGTGAAGTAGGAGGAAGACTTCTTGGCCAGGGCCTTCCTCCAGAAAGGTGGCGACGGTTTTGCAAGCTATGTCAGCTTTTTCCGCGCCAACACCCCCTGGACAGCCACAGGCCCGCCCCACACCACTGGGGTGCCCCAATCATCTTTTTCGCATTGCAAGACTTGGTGCAAAAGATCTTGCAAGGCCACCCCTTCCCCTTGGGCGAAGCTGCTCACCATTCTTGCCAGGTAGTCATCTTCGACCATTTGCCCCAACACCTGGCCTGTCAGGTCCTCCTTGATGTCTTGCAAAACATCAGGGGTAAGAGCATTCTCTAGCCACGTGAGATAGTTCTGTCGAACTTCTCTGATGAGGAGTGTGGCCTGGTCTTCCTCATCTTCTGGGGCAAAAGTCATGGTGGTTTTGATCCGCTGCCACCAGTCTTCCCCTGCCCAAGTGTGGATGGCCCTTGCAGCTGCCTCCATGCTAGAATACCAACGAGAAAGGTTGGATTTGGTGGCAGGGCCCCATCCTTCTTTGTATGTGAACATGACGTACTCCTTTCCTGACCTTGTCACCCTGCGCACAAAATGCGCATGCTGCATGCTTGACAATGTGGAATTCAAGTTGTGTGAGGGGTTGTGTCATGTCAACCTGTTGAGGCAAGGGAGCCTCCAAATCATCTTCCTTCTTCTTGGGGGGCGAAGGAGCCTGTGGGGCAGAGCGCACCACCTTGGAATGCCAATTGTCACCCGCCCTGGCTGCGTGGCTTTTGGAAGGATACCAACAAGAAAAGCTGCCTTTCTTGCCAGTATTGTGGGTGTACTGGAACACCCCAAATTCCTTGCGGCTCTTGCCACTACGGCGCTGGGTCCACTTCACCTGCTGCTGGATCACCGCCTCCTCCTCTGCAGCAGGTTCATCCATTTTGAGAAGATGAGGGGCTGGGGCCACCTGCTCCACCTCTGGTTGCTCTGCCTCTGGTTGCTCCTCCACCTCTGCCTGCCTGCTCCTCCTCCTCCTGGTGTTGGTGTGGTGGGGCTGGGGCTGCCGGCTTTGCCCTTCTTTTGGGTGTGGAGGCAGGAGCTCTCCTTGGGCTCTCGAGGTTTTGGCATGTTGCGCCATTTTTAATGAAGCGCTCAAAGTGGCCAGAAATGAGGCCGCAGTTGTTCAGCAGCCATTGCAGCTGCCGCACCTTGGTGTTGAAAAGTGCTTCTTGGTGTGGTTCTGGCCCGGAGTCCCTCATCCCACTGAAGGTTTGGCCTTGCACTGCGCCCCTCAGCTCGGCTTTCAAGAATTCCTTGTAGAAGGCAACAGGAATCTGTTTGAAGGCAAGCGGTGTGTCAAGATGGGCTGCAAAATCGCACAGTTCTTCCAAAATGTCACCACACTGGGCGATGGCGTCCTCCACTGTGCCACCTTCCTCCCCAGCCCTGACTTCAACCCTGGTTCCTGTGACCTTCCCTAAATTGCAGACGCACCAAACCAGGCTTCCTGGTTCTCAACTGTTTCATCGTGGTAGGGGGGGCCAAAGTGTATTCACCATTGGCCTTGATGAAATGGCTGATGGGTGAGTAGCCCTGCACAAATTTCCCCAGCTCTGAGCCACTTCGGCCACAAATCATGGAGTCGTCAACCTCCCACATCCCACAAACGAGTGGGTGGATGTAGGCTTGAACCCTGCGGCCAAAAAGATCCAAAGTTGCCCTGCCCTTCTCCAAGCCGAACACGCACAGGTTGAGGGGGTCTTCAAGTCTCGCTCCCAAATCAAAGGCAATGGGGTGGGCCATGGGTTTCGGGAGCACTTCACAGAAGGCTTCCTTCCACTGGTCCAGCGGCAGTTTGTTTCCTCTGGTAGCGCGGATCTAGCGCGCTTCCCTGCCAGTGCATGAGGCCACCAAACGTCTGTGATCAAGAACTCGCTTTCTCGTCTCTCAAACAGTTACTCCCTTTCAAACAGCTGCTGCCTTTTCCAGCGCGCGCTGCCTTTCAAACAGTTGCTGCTCTTGTGCCTGTGCGGGTGTGTGCGTGTGTATGTGCACCAGTGAGTGACCGTTACAATCAGCTCTTGTTTGTTAATCTTTTCTAAGTTACTTACTAAGTACTTGATCCTAGCGCCAAACCTAGCGCGAACCTAGCGTAACCCTGCGTTTTGCTAGCGCGACGAGGTAACATACCCACTTTAAACACCAGAATACCAAGCGGTGGCCAAGCGATTTCTGAACCTCTGGGAACATTCCTTACTTAATACATATTCCCGGTTTTTTTTTTTCGACTCAAATGGGACACGACTAATGGGACTGCCATATATGCCGATCAGTTGGGGTGGTTTCGGGGGTCAATGTAGGCATATATGGCAGTCTCAATTTCTGAGCTTCCTTGAATGGCAATGTCCAAAAGAACAGGACAAACAAACTCCTTGTGCTAGGATCTTGAGCTAACGCGCTAAAACATTCCATAGAGTCGGACCGGTTGGCCAAAATATAGTGTGATTTCATGTGTTCAATCTATGAATGACACGTCATCGTAGTAGATCAATGTAGGACATCTATAGCTCTCCACGACCAAGTCCATAGTGCCATAGTCAATTTTGTTTAAAAACCTCTGCCTTCATGTCACCGCTGTCTTCGGCACCTCCGCAGCAAGATCCAGTCGTTCAAGTCACGGAAGGTGCTCTTCGTGGAGCTCGCAGCCTCGCACATGCAAGCGTGCGGGCGGGCCAAAAATCTTGTGAATCATGGACCACTGCAGGGCGCCGCAGTAAGGGCGCCGCATCGAATGGGTCAGCCCCTGATGAACATGCACCTCCAAAACGGTAACCGTTTTCCACTACAGGTCAATTCTCCGGGTCCATAGGATCGCCCTCCAGCAGGGTACACCACGTTTCGTGCCAGCTTTTGGGAATGGCCAAGGATGGTGAAGGATGGTGAAGGAGATGTAGAAAGAGAAAGACGGCGTTGGGAAAGTTCAACGGGGTATGCCAAGCAACAAAAACAGTTGGACCCCACACTGAATGGAAGATCTCACCAAGTCGAACGCCCAACGCCCAACGAACGCTGCGGCATCCAGGGCCGCAGCGTAAAGCGCCCGGAGGTCGGGCGCCCTCTTTAGCAGGATCCCCTTCCACCAAGCGAACGGTCCGCTGATGAGACGGCCGGGGGTGAAGGTGTCGACCTCCGGATCCAATGACTGGTCTCGGGCTGTTCTTGGAGACGTCGGGGCGGTGAACTCGAACGTCGCCGTCGGAGTTCCGCTTCGAACGTCGGACCGACGTCCGGACCACCTTCCTCCCGGCAGCCCAGCGTTCACGGCACGGCACGGTCGCGGAGGTCACGGCACAGGCGCCGCGCGCGTGGCCCCGCCCACGCCTGGTGCAGCCGTCGGATGGCCCAGCCCTGAATCATCTGCAGCCGCTGCCGGAAGGTCACGCGCTCCGCCAGCAGCGCCTGTGAAAACCCGGTGAAAACCGACGCCGACAGAGCCCCAACGTGGCTAAATGGCTCCAAAGCAACACAGAAGTACAGCCCCGGACCAAGGAACACCACTCAGTATACAGAAACCAAACACTTGGTCCACAGGACATCGTGGTGGGGTGGGCCCTGAGCGGCTGGTGCCGGGGGGCAGCCTTCAAATACAAACAAACTACACTCCCTGAAACCAACATGGAAGTGGAAAATCCCCCTGTTTGTAGAGGGGAAAAATATGTTCCAGGAGGCCAGGACGTCCACTTCCATGATTGTTGGAGGGAGGGTATAGAATCATTAGAACATTCTCTGGACATCTGAGTGTTGTAACATGTGTTCAAGATGTTTTCAACCTTCTTTTTGACGCATGCGCATGCCAGCCTGCTGCAAGTCCACGAAGAGGGCGGGCGCCGGCTGCGGGGGGGGGCTTCTCTGCCTGGTGCCAAAGAGGGAGATGGGCCAAAAGGAGGGCTTGACCCAACCATATTTAAGCACTGCCCCCAAAGCAAATTGTGGTGAAGATGTAGTAGCCCGAATACAAACATGCACCAAAACCTCGGACACCCTTGTGCTGGCAGTGATTGGCAGTGATTGGAAGTTGGGATCTTCAATGGTTCAATATGGATTTCATTATACCAGGAGTCACAAAGGGGTGCTCAATGGAAGTCTATAGGTAGTGTGGGGTACTTCATTGGACACCCCTTTGTGACTCCTGGTATACTCAAACGCTCCGTGAAAACAGCCCGACAGGTCTCCTAAAACCCTGGGATTGGTTCAACTCCAGTGACTCCAGACTTCGTCAAAGGATTTGGGGCCCGGTCCCCAGTCGCGTGTGGGTACTCGCAACCTTCTGAGAAAGCAGTCAAATCAACGATGAAAGTCTCAACTCTCGGCGGCCTGGGGTAGAAAGGACTTAAGTCCATGGGTGGCACGGCAATCGAAATCACCGCTCTTTCCAACCAACGGCTCCTCCGATCCATGTCCTGCACCCCAAAACTCTGGGATAGGTCTCAAAGGAACATTACGAGACGGTCGCCTCCAACGAATGTCCTCCCAAGAAAACGAACCAAACAAGAAAGATCCGCCGAGCCCTTCCAAGGTTCCCAACCTCTTCCTCCTTCTTCGGCTTCTCTTTGGCTTTGGCCTTCCCCTTGGCCTGGAGCAAAGCAGATCTAAGCGCCAGGATCTTCGATTCCATTGGACATCCTCACATACACCCTGAGGGTCGAAGGATGTCGAAGGACGTTGCGGAAAAAAAAAAAACGACTATAATTGGAATCTTCGGGTATATGCAGCTTATATATGCATGTGATCCATTCTCACCACAGAAAGAAACGGATCCGCAGATCTCTGAGATCAGCTCGACGGATTCAGCGAATCGCTCCCTGACACGGGCAGGGCCCTCTTCAACACACATTCGGCCCCAATGAGGCCGAAACGGAAAAAAACGAAACAAGGCTCTACTAGGTGGGGGGGGGTGCTGTCAAGAAGCGTCAAGATGTCAAGCATCGTTCGCATCTCATTGCCAGCTCACCATGGGATTTCAGCACCCGGACCGACCATGGAAGGCCCTCATCCTTCCCTCACGTGAAGACATCCTTCCCCATCCATGGGGTGTGTCATCATTTCCCCGTGGACGGAACGACAAAAGAATTCATGTTGGAGCAGTCAGGTCTAAGCATCTGCCTCTGTTGGGAATAGGGACACACCTTCCTACACGAGAAACTGTCACCAGATCAAAGGACTACAATCCTTGAGAGATCAAACCCTGAATTGACTGCATACGTCCTGCTTTCACTCTGACCAATTCCATGGATTTGACCCCACATCCGATCCCACCTTGGCTTTCGCCTTGGGATCTTCCTTCTCCTCTTCCTCTGGCACCTGCCATCGCTTGGTCATCGCCCTCGCCCGCGTCTTCGGTCGCTTCTTCGAGAAAGACCCAGAGAACTGGAGGAAAGGATCTCACTCCAGACATGGGGGAACCGGAAAAGCCATGTCCATGCCTGGCATGAGGAGCGACACACCGGCGACCATGGCATGGGGAGCGAGCCAGTGTAGAACATGGAGACCTCTACACTCTTGGAGGTCGAGGCCCTACACTTTGAGAGAGCTAGCAAAAAAACTCGAGGGGAAGCATTGGAAATGCTTAGAATTCTTACATCATTACATCATTTAAGAATTGTAGAATATAGGCTACTCTTCTGACAAGTTAGTATATGATCCTACAAGTATCAGTTTAACAACTCTTGGAAGACTATCTCATTGTATTCCGGGGATCATCCTCCAATGCTCTCTGTTCCACAAGGACACCCCGTGCAGCTACTCCTGGCACCTTACAAGAATGACTGGCCGCCAACGGGAGCAGTCGTGCTCGTTGACCCGTTCACGTGCGGTTGAGATCGAAGCCCTCGCTTTCTTAGATCGCAGCTGAGGTTTGGTGTAGCTTGGTCCGCTGTCGGGAGAAAAAGAGGACTTTCGATGGCTTGGTGCTCGCTTCTCCCGGCTACTTTCATCTGCTCTCCATGCAGAAATCGCACCTCGCGATATGGGGATGCTGATCATCTCCCTTCGCTGAAGCCGAACTCTGTTCACCTGCCCTGTAGCGAAGTCCAGCACTGGGACAATGCTAGTACCCACCGGAGGCTGCTGTCGGACAGCTGTCCACCTTCACGAAGTCCTGTCTGTTGACCTGAATGTTCGGATTCGAAGAGGTTCAGCAAACCAGCCGGAGAGTCATCCACAAATGTTTCAAGATATTCCACTGGTGTGGCTGATGACTCCGCAACACTCTGCAAGCCAATCGAGCACCAGGAGTGCCAGGAGTACCGGTCTCTCCGCTTCTTTGGATGCCAAGTGCATCGCTGCTAGTAACAAGAGCATCACAACTAGTAACAAGAAGCTACTAGTAGCTAAGTCGCTGCTACTAACTTCTTGTTACTATAGTTGTAACGCATGTGTTACTAGTAGCAATGCACTTGTTACTAGTAAGTCAATGTCACGGCCATGCCTTTGGATGCCAAGAGGTGTCACTTCAACTCGCTCAAGCAGCTGACTCGCGGAAACGACACGACGTCGACGATGTCAGGCAGACAGGCAAGGCAAATGAAATCGGCCTTCCAAAGATGGCCAAACCAACAAGTGCCTTCTTTAAAAGGAACCAACACTTGCATGCCTTCTAGGGAACCATTTCTTTAACTGTCAGAACACCAACGTTGAAACATGGAACCAACTTAAGGGCCTTCTTCATCTTCCAAAAAGGATCAACAAAAACGCTCATGTTCATCACCACCTTTCTGTCCTTTCTGTCCTTCGCCCTTTCCCTCCCGGCTGGAGTCGTTCACAAGTCTGCGCGCCTCGATGGATGGTGGCGTGAAATCCTCCAACCTCGGTGGCTTCAAACTATAGGAACAAGATGGAACAAGAAGCTACCAAGAAGCATGAACCAGGTGATCCACAAATTATTCGGTTGCATCAGAACCTAAGGCGTTGACCACTGCCGTCCCTCGGCGTTCTTTCCGAAGCGGAACCCGAGGCAAGGCGGCTCGGCTGCCCGAACGAACACTGCGTCGGTGCGGTAGTTTCAACGAAAGAGCCCGAACGAAACATATATTCGTCAGTCAATCATCCCAAATGCCAGGTGAAAGGTTGAACATATATTCGTCAGTCTCAAACCACCCCCCAACCCCCAGTCACATGTCCCACATCGGCTGTGGGATGAAGACGCTGATGAACCCGGATGTGTGTTTCTACATCGGCCCGGTCCACACGGCCGTCCTCGGATAAGAGGGGTCGACGATGAGATTTGGGTACTGTCTGCTTTCGAAGTGGAAGAGAACCACCCAAGTAATATCAAGCAATCCTCCCAAGACCTTTCCTCGTCGGGGAAAAGCACTCAGCACCCCCTTGAAGGCTCCGGCTACAGAGTGGCTGCACACATCCTCCACGACGTTCAAAGCTTCTAGCTGCTAGCTTCTCTTGCTACGCTACTATATATCAGCACCACCCAAAGGGTGGTTGTTAGATGGAAAATAGAAACCACCCGAAACGGGTGGTGCTGGTATAGTGGCTTCTTGTTACTAGTAATTATAGTATTGGCCTCCAACCCACGAGCGATGGCCTCCAATAGTGTCATGTCCATCAACAACTTACTCTTCCCATCTCATCACCCCTGGTCGACCGGTCGTGTTGTGAACCGGGAGCGGTCTGGATCTTCGATGCTGTGGACCCGGACTCCCCAACCGGTTGAAGGGCGGGGGTCAGGGTTCTCCCCTGAACCCCCTTTTCAGGCGTATTTGGCGCAAGCAAGCAACCACAGCATTCCAAACATGTGGTCAGGGAAACCATTCTCTTCATGTTATGAGTCTTCGGGGGGGGTCAATTCATCTTGGTGTAGTTAGAATGTTGCCGAAGTGCCATGCGCAGAGATAGTTCATCCGGCTACATCCGGCTTCATCAGGCGACTCTTTTTGACCGCAGCAGCCTGGAGAGATCTGGAGAGACTCTCCTAATAATCTGATATCAATTTCTATACTTGCTCGCCACAGGAAAAGGGCGCAGGCTATATATCAGAATTTCATATCACAGCAACTCAGGCACAGCTTCTAAACAAAACATGTCTACCAAAGGAGAGTGATGATTGCCATTAGGGTGATAAGCCACTTCCAAGACTACTCGGAGCTCCAAGTTGCCGCCTGGGTCATTATACCTACTGTGATACCTTAATTAGACAAAAATCCCGAGCACCCCGTTGCAAGTCTTCTACTGACAAGTGCCCATGCGTTAGTGGTCTACCGCCGGCGGCGAGTGTGACATGTGCCCATCCGTCGTCGGCGGCTGCAATCATCGCAATAGCCATAGTGGTTGCAATTTCCATCTCGCCGGCGGCGCGGACAAGGGCTTTGGAAGCAAACGCCATCTGTTAGCGCTGCGTCATCGTGATCAAACTCGTCATCCAACTCGTCATCGACATCGGCTCCATGATCGTGTCCCGGCTTCTGCAGGAGGGCGGTCCTCTCTTCGCTGTCTGTCGCGGAAGTGCAAGCTGCTGTGGCCTGAGCGCTGCAACATGCTGCAACTGCGCCCCAAAACCCTTTGAAACGCTGAGTGTGACTGGGTTCCGCACGTCCACTGGCATCGCAAGCAGCAACAGGAGAACCTGCGCAAGAAAAATGGCTTCCATAGTCGGGAAAGGCAAAGATTGATTCATCCAAGCTTCATGCTTCAATGGGTGTGTAGCTCAAGACATGGGAGATCTTCCAGAGCTTCCGACCCCCTAGTTTCACGACATCGACGATTTCGGTGGCCAAGTGGCAGAGCGCTCTGGGAAGCAGTGCATCCAAGGCACTGAGCAGAGCTTCATAGAGCGGGTCAGGGGGGTCGCGAGGTGAGCAGTTCAAGGTTTTGGACCAAATAGCACTGCGGGTGGGCACATCCAACCGTTTCCAACAGATCTTCGTTCTTTTGTTCAATGGACTGGAAAACAACTTTCCCTACCACCCACCTGGCTAAAGTGCAGTAGGCAAGGAAGCAGAACAGTGGTGATGGATTTGGCGGGGCACAAACCAAGTTCAAGTTCATGTTTGGCGTTGACCTGTCCGAATTGGGCAACCAGTCACTTGTGCGGAGACTCTCATCTATATAGGCTGGGTTCTGCTTGTAGAAGAACACAGAATCATGTTTGTTTTGTGCCGTCTTTGAATATTTACACCAGCTCATCTTCGTGGAGTGTATCCGATGTCACCTGGAGCTGTAGCTTGTTCGAACTCTGTGGCTTCCTGAGACTCCTGAGACCGAACCCAGAATTCCAGCAAAAAACCCAAGGCCTTGTGCTAAGCCAAGCAGCTACAACAGTCTGAGTCATTCCTTTTCGATCCGAACCCACAGAGACTAGGCTTCCCCGACCTCGCCCATCCCACCCGCGCCCACCCGGCCGACCATTTGAGTAGCGACCACTTCCCGACCGAGCGAGGGAACCTCCAACCGACAGTAGCGTTGAGTCTCCCCGCTTCCACACCGCTTTGCTGGCTTGTTCCATCAACTCCTCAAACGACGCGCGCTCGTTTCTCGTTCGTTTCACGACGAAGCGGAACAGATGTTAAAGAAAGAGTCTTGAACAGTCTGGGTCCGGTCCTGTACCTCATTGAGTGTGGTTTTTTTGCATCGATACAACTCCAGTAGTCTTTGACCGACCGAGGGACTATTTCTTCGCTTTGAATGGATTCATGATCAACGACAAGCGATTGTAGGCATCCGTTTCCCGTTCTGTGTGCTACACAGTTTGACTTAGCTTATTGGTGCGAATAGTAGGCCAAAAAAATACGGAAGAAAAAAAACTGATTGAGTACCAACATTCTGTGGTTTCTTTCTGCTTTCTGCCTGTGCTCATGATCCGATCCGATTCCGATCTTCCAGATTGTCAGTCGGGTCGACCGCAAGGGTCCCGGGATATGACAGTCGGGCCGCCGAAGGAAGCAGTTGGAGGCGCCGGATCATGGGCGGCCGGAGAACATATTCACGGGGCTGTAAGTTAGTGGAGAGATGAAGTGAATATTGTCGGCTGGAGAAGTGAATCGTGTTTTTTGTTAGTGGATGTTAGTGGACACAATTCGTGGGCTGGAGAATATGTTCACACATCTGTGTTTTCACACTATACAGACTTCATCGTGTGAGGAGATGAATTGAAGAAGTAGCGTCAAGCAACTACGATAGTACTGCTACAAGATGTCTACAACCCAACGCCTGGAATGAAAGACAACTTGTCCAAGCCCTACTTAGAGGTCAAACACCAAGAAAGTTGCGAAAACCAACTCCTTTGTCTTCTAATTGTTGAAAGCTAACTGGAGCTCTTAACAACATGGTTAAGCACTGACATGCATGACTCATGACAGATTAACAGATTAACTATGCCGTTTTCTTTCACCCCTCTACTTACAAACCTCATCAAAAGGTCCCTTCGTTTCCGTGGCACTGGACGACCAGATGTACCACCACATGGGTGAACGACATCCACCCGGCCCGGGTACCGTTCCGCGGCCACCGCGCGCGGGTTCCGCGGACGCCCGCCGCTCCGCGAGGAAAGGGAATTCCCAGCGGCCCTCGCCGCCCCTGGAGGACGCGAGGACCGCGGCGGGCTGGGTGGCATGGCAGGTGTGGGCGTGTTTTTTTAGTGGTTTGGGGGCGGTTCATGGCTATTTCTCCTCCAAATTCACCATGTGTTTGATGCCGGAGCCCCCCCAAATGAGCATTCATCCTTCCACTTATTAAAGTCAAACGGAGGAAATGTATGTCAGGAAAGGGTAAATCAAATCATCTGGGCTATACAGGCATAGGTTGGGTCTATCATGGTCTATCCTGTAACAGTGGATGATGATGGTTAGGTTGCAGGCCTTGTTGACAAATATTCAAAAAAAGTGAAGAATCACCCCTTGGAAGACCATGAAATCCTCTACAAACAGGGGGATTGTCCACGTAACCACCATGTTAGTTGCAGGGGGTTGTCCACATGACTCATCGTTGACTGACGACTGACGGCTAGCTCCTCGGGTTTCAGTTCGCACAGACCCCACCAACCCAAGGCATCGGACCGTCCGAGACTTCCGGCGACGTCTGGCGGACCGGCGCCGTGGGTCTCATGGTCTCATGGGTCTCCGCACGGGTTTTTGCCTGAGTCTTCCTATAGATGACCTTAGCAGTCTTAGTCTTCTATCCATTCTGTAGGATTTGCCATTCTGCCCACTCTGCGCAGTTGATGTCTGCCTTAGCAACATCCCCTCTCTGCAGGTGGAGATGAGTCTCCACCATCTCTGCTGTCTCATCTGCAGATCTGAGGAATGCACGACTCCTCGTCTGGAATGTACTTGCAAAGCCGTGCTGCCGCCTGCGTGGTCGCTGGGCCGCGCGCGCGCGCGCGAGTGACTTTGGCGCGACGAAGTGCCGTGATGAGCGGGGCCTTTTCCACCGACGCAGCCGCCGCGGAATCAGCAGAAGATGAGCGGGGCGTGTATTGAAATAGGGAAACCTCTCAAAGAACACCCTGGAAGAAGGAATATAGACCAGTCCACCCATTGTTTGGGTGTCTCCCTATCAAAGAAACACAGCCAGCTGGTGAGGCCACTGAAGTCTGGGTGAAGAGCCCTCAAAGAGGCCGAATTGAAAAAGAATGCTCCCTTGGGCAAACCATATCTTGTATCGATTGAACTGCTTTGTCCCCTCTACTCCCGTCCCCCGCCCTGCACATCACCAACCACATACAAAAAAAAGAGCTATGGCCCCGCAGTGCCGCTCAATACACACAGAAAAAGATGAGTAAGGTCCAAACCAAGGTATTTGCACACGTTCGATGGGTCAAAAACGCTCGCAGTGTTCCATTGGGTAGCTCTTCAAGAAGTACCCTTGACAGGTGTCCTTTTCAAGCCTACCACTGAAGGCCTGTCACCCCTCCAGCGCGCGGTTCTCTCATCCCCCAAAAAATCCAAGCTCAATGGGTATGTATGTTGCTCGAACCTCTGATCATATATAGGTATAAAGCCCAAAGGGCCAGAAACTTTGGGGCACCTTTGAAGGTGGCGGGTATCGAAAAACAAAACAAAAAACTTGCTGATCACTGATCGCCATCAAACCAAGCTAGGCTGAAGCACTTGAAGCACCAGAAAAAGAACCACCGAGCTGAACCACCCTACCCGCCGCCCCCCCCCTCCTCACCACTCCCAACACCCATCCCCGAGTCCAGCATCGATTCCGACCCGAGCCTTCTCCTCCGGACTGATCTCCGGCTCCTGAGGCGCCCAGCAGGACGGGGCGTTGAAGAAACCGCGCCTGTGGCTCACCACCACCACCTGAAGCCCATGACGGGATCGAGGGTCCAATCCCAAACACTCCATGTGTGGAAAAGAATGCCTACTTCATGGACCCTCAAAACCACCTGGCAAAGAATGTACGGCAAATATGGCATAAGTACCTGGCAGTGTACAGTGTATGGGTAAGTTCTCATGAGTGCCATGGTAAGAATGTTTGAAGAAGTAGGGGCTTTTGTCAGCCATGTCCAAGTTCAGGGCGTCCAAGTTAGTGGTGCCAGTGCCATCGAAGTACTTCTGGTCCCCACTGCTGCGATGTGCTGCGCCGGGTGCTGCGTATTGATTGGCCCTAACAAAGGGCTCGGGTGCTGCTCGTGGAAGTCAACCATTTGAAGATGAAGCAGGCGTTGCAATCCGATTGTTCTGTGGTGTCTGCGGGGTTGAACAGGTAGAGTGATGTGGAGTGGTAGAGGAAGTCGTCATCTTCCGCCTACAAAGTGCTGCGTGAGGACCAGTCCAGCTGAGATGATTGTCTGGGCCGCCCCAATTACTAATCACTAATAGTCACTATATAATCACTGATCACCAATAACACCACTAAATACCTAGAACCTGAGTCCTGAGTGACCTCTATTGTTGACGATCAACCACCCAAACTATCCCAAACTATGGTATGTTCATATCAAAACAACTGTCATGTCTGAGTTCTAGGCAACCATTTCCAATTGCAATCGTCCATAGTCCATCCATTTGGGGCTGAAAAAAGAAGTACCACAAGTATGCCGTATGCGCATCTCTCTCGCTCCAAACAGAGAGAAGCGCTATCGTCCAGTCCTCTGGTGCATCCCCCGGCTTCTTCTTCTTGTCATCTTTCTGGCCGTTGGTGTTGCGTGACGAAGAACGCCGAGGGAAGGAACGCCGTGCGTGCGAACAGCCGTCTGCGACCGGTGCACCTAGTGGTGTTGGGAAGGGGCAAACGGCTGGACATCTTGGCGAAGTGGTCCAAACGGGGAGACCGTCAAGGGTGTTTTCCCGAACATGAACGGAATAGAATAGACTAAGTGACTACTAGAAATGGTCAACCTACCAGGGAGAAACGGTTTCGAGGAATTTCCCTTTGGTGGTCACCCAAAATCGTCGAAGTGCACTGCGGTTTTTCGATGCACTGCTGAACCCTTGGGGGTGGGGCAAGGTCGGATCTCCGCAAGGTCACTGAGGTGCCGACAGAAAAGTCGAACACATGTCCGAAAACGAAACGAGGATGCTTTCATGGTGGAAGTCTGGATTAGTCTGAGAATCGCCGGGATTTGGGCCTACCAAGGAAGAGCGGCCCGGGGGGCAACCAGACTCCTATCAAGACTCGACTTGAGGTTGTTATACCAGGTGATCTTCCTAAGCCTTATAGGAACCAACAAATAGGCAGTGGCAGTAGTCGTGCACTCTTTCCTACCACACAACAAGCACTACAAAAATTGAACCATCATTAAACCATAGGTGCGAATCCCCTGAGCGCAAAAGCTTTGTGTAACGAACATTCTCCATGAGACTTTTCTTGGAAAACCTTTGAGGTTACCATACTTTCTGGCCTTTTCCCAAAAAGAACAGCACCGCGGATGAAGCCAAAAACCACCGAACCGACATCCAACAAATACAATTGCTGGTCACCTTCCAAAACCAACCTCACAAAACGAGCGACCAGCTGTGGGACTACCTGAATAAACCTCCGCTCCTCCACCCCGCGTTGGGTGGAACCGACACGGAACAAACGCGTCGCCTTTTTCTTGGGATCCGGAACTTCTTCCGGCTCCTGCGACGACGCCATTCGCTTGCGCGGACGTCGCGTCGGTGCCTTTTCCGAACGACCAGGCGTTCGAAACGTGCAGGACAGGGCCCTTTCATGGCCGGCTGCAAGAGTCCAACTGGTTCACAAAAAAGGTCACTCAAAAGGGACCAAATCCGTCCGTTAACCGGTGTTTTGTTCGTTGATCAAACTGATCAACTGGTGTTTTGTTCTTTATCCGCGTCATCCGTTGACCCTCGAGGATTCCGATGGAGCGAACAGCCCTGGAGCCACACAGTGAGAAGACCCACCCTGCTTCGTACTTCCACCTCCAGGGTGGGACTCAACACACGGGGCATCAAGTCAGTTGGGTGAAAACAGCCTGTCTATCTTCTCATGTGAAAACAGCCCGTGAAGGGCAGGAGACTATGCCGATCGCGGGAGCTTGCCTTGTGTTTCCTCGTCTTTGGGAGTTGTTCTTTCCTCTTTGCTCGAACGAACAGCTCCGTAAAAACAGCCCTTTCCCAGGTCAAACCTGGTGATTGCTGAGATTTCACCTCAGACGTCCTGGTCCTGCCTCCGGTTCGGGTCCAGGGGGGCTCTCTGCCGTCGGTGGTTGGTGTCCGGTCTTTCCGTCGCGTCAAGTGCCTCGTTCCTTCGCGTCAACCCGATGCCATGCGAGACGTGCATCGATGGCGGCGTCTCACGCGGCGTGTCGAACACGACACGGTGATGTGAGAAGAACACGGATGTAGGCGCCATGGCTTGGTCCAAATGCCATGGCTTCGATTTGGGTCCTTGGATCCCTAAAATTTTTGGGATTATAAGGGTGACCCGCCAGTTCGCCATGGCTGACAGCATGGGTATTTGGATCCCAACCTCTGTAGTGCCGTCCCAACCGCTTGAACTGGCCGGGTGAAACCCAGAGTCCGACCGAATCACCTCGAAGCGGGAAGCGGTCGGGTTTGACGTTCTAAACCGGATGGCCGGCCGGTGTTGTGCTTGATTCTTTGGCTCCATGCACAAATCTAGATCCCTTTAGGTTGGCCTCACGAGGATGCTTTTTTGGAGCTTTCGACTCGGGGCCCTGCCAAACCGGCTCTCTCAGGGCCCGGACCACCCATTTCTACAAAATACCTATACACCGCCGCCCCAAAAAATGACCGTCGCAAGAACGCGCACCGAAAAACAAAACACCGGAAAAAAAACCACCGGAAAACCGGCGTGGCGCACGACCGCGGCGTGGTTCGCTCGCGTGGTCGTGCGGCGGTTCGCTCCGGAGGGGCGAAGATATCCACCTTCGGCGGGGCCTCGTGCTCCTGGGATCGGTCGGTGGAGGTGGATGAGGGAGCAGGGAGTGGCCCGACGGGTGCGAGACGTACGCAAGAGAAAGGTGATGAACGGAACCGGAACACAAAAGATGTTGCGATACGATGAACTATACCAGCACCCGACTCTACAGGTCTCCGAAATGGTGGCTTTTGGAGACTTAAAAGTCGCGGGTGGTGACCTGTTGGAGGGTGCTGGTAGTGATGATATATGATGCCCTGGAGCCCTCTATAGTCATACGATTGGGTTTGAAGGCGTCTCATTCGAATGAATTGAAGAAATGGAAGGAACAGGTGAAGCGAGGTGATCTGTTTTGCCAACTGTCACCGTAGTCTACAGGCTCTGATTCCTCTGAGACTTGTGGTCTTAAAAAACTAGTTTTCATTCTCACGTCTGTGATGCTTTGTAACTCCACAAAATGTTGAACCATGTTGAACCCAATAACTCTCAAAGCTTCCGATCCTGACCCGTTTTGAACTGCAGATCTCAGCATGATCTCAGATTGCCGCAAAGAACAATTGACAAACCCAAACTCAACAGTTTCGGGTTTTGTCCACGAGTGCCCTGGCTCTCCTCCGGCAAACCCAGACATAACGCGGAGTAGTAGAAGTCCGAAAGCAGCTGACAACATGCATGGTATCTCCTTAGTGTTTCGGTCAGGGGCAATGAGGGAAGGAGTGCAGGTGTTTGGCAACCCTGGTGAGGAAAAATACTGCTTGAGAAAATCCAAAGGCCCATAGGCAACTGGTCACATTAACTAATTGGTTCATATTCCAAAAAACTCCAGGATGGTTGGGCATCCAATGTTTTGAAGGATCTGCGGGCTCTTCTGCCCAGCCTAAGTCTTCTCCAGCTGTGTTTCCTGCCACTTCTCAACTCGACCGCTTTCTTCTTCGCCCAGTCAGACTGTCTCCTTCGACCAGACAGTCTGGTCGCGACCCTGGTCGAACCATGGGACTCGAACACGTGACCGTCATGACGACCCCGTTACCGTCGCATCTGAACAAACATGAACAAACCACCCATATGGCTCGGTTCTTACATGGGTGGAAATACATGGCTGGGTTCGGGTTCTCGGTTCAAAGGTTTCAGGAGTGTACTTGCTGGTGGTCCATGATTTTCCTGAGCTCTCGACTTCACCTCCAACTGCACTGCATGCTGCACCTGCATGCGGCAGCTGTGGAGTCTAGTTCTGGTTTCATGGTTTGGAGCATTTAAAGGATGGCGACCTTTCATGCAGTGTAAAATATATTACATCTACACCCACTCACCATACTCTAGAAATTGGACCAATCGCCTTCGTGTTTGGGTCATGAGTCATGGTCTATTACTGTTCCAGAGTCGGAGTCCAGAGTTGGAGAGCTGGAATTGGTTGATAGAATGGTCCAAGACATTCCTGGAACCCCAGTCCCAACCAGAAACACATGGTTGTTCCAATATGGAAATTGAAATCCTTTACATAGGAAATGGTTGGGACTGGGGAAACATCCATTTCTTTCTGGTTGGGACTGGGGTTCCAGGTCGTCCAGATCTCGCGGGCCGCTGCCCCAGATGTCCAACCCCTCCGAGTCCGTCCGGGTGGTCCGGAGCCTGTGAAGTCTCGTCCGGGTGGTCGGGCGTTCGGATCCAAGGTAGAAAGAGCCTGTGAAGCTTCAGTCTATCGAGCCGAGCCTGTGAAATCTGTGAAACCCTGACGCAAAACATTCACCTGTAGAAGATGTCGCCAGCGGATACCAACAGGTTGTATGCATCCACCTAGCACCCAGTGTTCACTGGGTGAACATATCCATCTAACCACCCAAACTGGGCTCACGCGACCTGGCGCACCGCTTTTTCGGAAGCGCTCGGTCTGTCGGTCCAGGTGTCGGCTTCCAGGGCTCGCTTGCGGGTCTCCGCCTGAAGGCGTGCATGCGCGGTGGGCGTTCGGAGTGGTTCGGAGTTCAGCGACTCGAACGGTGATTGATGTCCACGCGGTGTTGTTCTCAGCATGTCACTTTTTAGTGACTACCCCCAAGAAAAAAGAAAAACACTGGAGGGTGTGAATTGAATTTGGAGCGGAGCCGCATACCAGTTCTAGGGGCAGGACAAACTTCGGGGCATGAACGCCCGACAAGAAGGGTCAACCTCTCACCATCTCTCACCTTGTGTGTTCAATGAACAGTAAAGAATCAACAGAATAACAGCAAACTTTGGTTTGCGCATGATTCTGTTCTTCTCGTGGATCCCACACGAAGGCGCCCTCAGAGAACCACCACAATTCCAAAAAACTGCCGACAACGTGGGGAGGTGCAGCAAGGAGGAGCTTTGTGGTGTTTCAACGAAAAAAATTCCAGAACTTCAACCCTGACACCCTTGCCCTAGGGATCCAGTCGTACCTTCTCAGCAGGTGATTGGAGACACTGTTATGTAGGTTTGGAGGGTCCAGTCGTACCTTCTGAGGTTCGGTACGACTGGATCCCTAGGGTTGGGACACCCTTGGGTCTGGGTCATCCTCTCCCATCAGTGTACTGGGACCGTGCGGGATCCGTGTGCTGTCCTTCTTCCTTCTCTCAATCTCCTTGTCCCTGAGCTTCTGCTTCTTCGCTTCCTGCCCAGTCCCGATCACATCAACAGCTGCTTCAACAAAGCCATTCGTACCACTTCATGTGTGTACCAGCTCCTGCTTTGCCCTGGTGAACACTGAAAGTGGGTCCCTCTGGATGTGGGAGGTTCATCTTCCATGTTCCCACGATATCCTTCCAACGCATCCTCCGCATCCTCGCTGCATCCCCTATAATTAAGTGTGAGCGGCCCACGACTCGCCCATCGACTCGCCAGCGAAAACGCTCGCCCCACCCCACCAGCAACGCGTGCGAAGCAACCCACCAGTGCCGTCGACGGCGAGGTCCTTCCGATTGGTGGCAACCGGGGGGGGGAAGCCCGGTGCTCTTCGTCTTCGTTTCCGTCTTCCTTTGCATTTTCGCCTGCTTCAGCTGCCATTCGTGCTGCGCCATCGACCAATCGTGACAGCTCTCGGGCACGGTGAGGCCATGCTGCCAGAACTCTTTCCCTCGGAAGCGAGGACGGCCCTGGGTGTTTGCGAAACCTGGGTGTTTGCATGGGCCACATGGGCCAGAGGGAGTGAGACAAAAACTGGAGGGAGATCAAGGTGAGCAGCAGCGAAAACCTTGAGCAGCCCACTTACGAACTGGAGTTGTAGCCCATCTTGTAACGAATTGTGGGTTCCTTCCTCTCTCTTCCGGCACCCGGCACCCAAGGCTGCTCCCTAGCTCCCAGCTAGTCCTGCTGAGAGGCCGCTGCCATACATCTCAGCCATGGTGACGAACCAGTCCTCTTGGACCTCCCCGAATGATTCGGAAACGAGAAGCTACTAGTAGCTAAGTGCATCGCTACTAGTAACAAATGCCTTACTACTAGTAACAAGAAGCTACTAGGAACAAGTGCATCGCTACTAGTAACAAGTGCCTTACTAGTAGTAACAATTTTCTAATTTAGTTTAATTATATTAGCTTCTTGTTACTACTAGTAAGGCACTTGTTACTAGTAGCGATGCACTTGTTCCTAGTAGCTTCTTGTTTCTTGTTCGAGACGTCTTTGGACAAACGGCTTCGCGGGGTCGCGCAGGTTCCTTTGTGGACAAGCTGGTCTTCCATCAAAACGAGATGGTTCCCCGCATCTCTGTGTGGGGCTTTTGTTTTTCCTGCGGCACCCCGGCTTCCTTTCCTTCCTTCCTTCCTTCCTTCCTCCCTCCCTCCCTGCCTCCCTCCCTTCCTCCTTCCTCCTCCTCCACCTCCTCCTCGTCCTCCTCCTCCTCCTTCCAACTCCTCCCTCCTCAACTCACACATCTCAACTCACATCGTCTTCAACTCAACTCGCTCAACTCAACTCGCTCAACTGAACTTAAAAAACTCAACTCACACAATGCAACCGCGCCAGTCTTCGTGGCTCTTAGAGGCTGCTCATGGCGGTGATGGTGGTGATGGTGGTGGTGGTGGTGATGGTGGTGGTGATGGTGGTGGTGGTGATGGAGGCGGTGGTGATAGTCTTGATGATGGTATCACAGATGGTGGTGGCGGTGGTGGTGGTGACGGTGGTGGTGATGGTTCGCAATTTCTAAGCAAGTCGAGAGAGATGTCTGGAATCTAGAGATCTAGGGCTGGAGGTCAAAGGCACACACATGAGAGCACACACAGCACATTTGGTCCACAAAGTACTGTGCCTGCCCCGAAATGGAAGCCCCGAAACGATCGCATCCATTTTGGGACCATTATGTTTCACTTCATTCTGAAGCTTATCAGCAGTAGTTGGCCCAAGTTCTCCATTCAAACTTTGCTGTCCGGAAAAAAAATGGAGCAGTAGTTGGCCCAAGTGTTCTATTCAACCTTCAAGCCTTTGCTGCCTGAAGATAAGAAGCAATAGCTTGCCCAAGTGTTCTATCCAACCTGTGCTATCCGACAAAAACAGTGGGGCAGTGGATTGCCCAAGTGGTCGATCCAACCTTTGCTGCTTGATGACCTTACCTCTTTTCAAAAAAAAAAACGCGGAAATGCGCGCACCTTACCTTTGGTCGATGTTTCTTCGTTCTTGAACTCCTTTCCGCCTCGTTCTTCGATTTGTCCGCCCCGCCCCCTTCCCGCTCGACGAGCAGGACTGCACTGGACGTGGTGCGCGTGAACCCAACCCGCGAAACTTCTGCGCGCCGCTGGCAATGTCCCGGCGTTTGCTTTGCACCCAATGCACATTCGCAGAAAAAAGGGGCGGCGCGCACGTAATTATGTTGATTAAAATAGCGCATGTTCATGATGTTGTTCTTCCACTAACAATTACAGTCATCCCACCTGCACCATTCACTGTATCCATCAAATTTGCGTGCCATTCAACCAAAGATATGCTTTGCTAGAAGCCATTCTTACACACCCAAGTGCCAAAAAAAGTCTTACTTGCGCGCACTATTTCCTCATAGCAATACACACACCTAATACATAAAAAGAAGTTCAATGGACCCATCAAAGGTGCAAGTGTGCCACATTCCTGCGCCGGCCGGATCTTCCAACCGTCGGACGAACCCGCCCAAACCGCCTTCGGGAAGATCTCCCTTCGTCCCTTCGTCTTTCCTCGTCCCCAAAACGGAAGATCTCCCTAAGGCGATGGTGGACACGACGGAGCAAAAGCGCGAGGCATTCCAAAAGGGGCTGACCGACCATGGCACCACCAGACCGGCCCGGAAAACGAGGATACTTGCAGACTCGGAGTCTCGGATCCGGATGGATGGAAACCCAGTGAGGGCGCCTGGAATCCGATACCCTCAGCAATCCACCACGGATCTTCGCTTCTTCATTCCCGGCCTTGCACTCGGTCTGCAGGAGGGTCATGGCGATCTTCCAGGACATGTAAGCGTCCTGCGCGGAAAAGCGCGTCCTGTTTTGAGACGGACCAGTGGGAGAGGGAAGTGGGAGACAAATAACTGTAGTATAGTATAATATACAGTACACCTATAGTCTATATACTCATTGTAATTATATACTTAATAACTTCATAACAAAAAAACGCATGAACCCCAATAAAAAGAAACTCTCCTTCGCTAACAAAGACCCACAAAAAACAAAACGGCGACCCGCGCTCCGAGCGTCGGAAACCCGCTTCTACCAGACTGACAAAGCTTGGGGGTCTGAAGACCTGAAGCGAGGAAACCATCCAGCCGCCCGATGGCCAGATGAGTCTGAGGTCGAATTCGAGATCCATTTCGACACGGAGAAGAGGAAGGAGAAGAAAGGAAAGAAAGGTCTAAAGGTGAGTCTAAAGGTGAGGGGTGATGATCACATCCTTTTAAGTCCAAAAACTTTTTTTTGATACGTCCATCGATACTGTTTGGATCACTTCTAACATGTCTGACGGGAAGTCATTTTGGGGATTTCATCTGAATCAGAGTGTTTCTGATGGCTGCCATCTGCCGTCGAAACCAGAGCCAAGGAGAAACTTGGCTTCGCCGATGCGCTACGACGGTGGAAGGAATTGCTTGGCACCAACACGGCGTAAGCTTCGGAGCCGGGCGGTCTGTTTGGCCAGATTTCTCTCTCAGTCAACCCAGGAAAACACCCAAGATATCTCAAGATAAACAGTTGATCAGTTGATCACATTGTCGCGGCTTCTATAGGTAATTATGCTCACAAACCGGAAAAGCCCGAACCCTATAGGTGGTAGATGTGGATACACTCCGATGCAGGCAACCCAACAAGCACCTTCGGGTTCACCTTCCCTGTTTCATTCTTCTGCACACTCAATTTTCATACAAGTGACTTCACCGGTTCTTTCACCGAAGGCTCTTTAAACTATGTTCGCTACTAGGAGCAAAGGGCATCGCTACTAGGAGCAAGGACGCTACTAGGGGCTCCTGGCCTTACTACTAGGAGCAAGAACGCTACTAGGAACCGATGCTGTTTCTACGTTCGCTTCTTGTTACTACTAGTAAGGCACTTGTTACTAGTAGCGATGCACTTGTTCCATACAAATATTCCATACAATGTGACTTCACCGGTTCTTTCACCCAAGGCTTCCTGTCCCGCTTTTTCCCAAACGAGCACCTCAGCAATGTACAGCATCTGAATCTCCGAGAGCGGCCGCAGGTTCCAGTTCGACCTCAGCGGTCGCGGCTTGGCTTCGGTGGTGAGGCCTCCGGTTCGGCGTCGGGAAAGGCGAGGGCCAATGCTGGGCGGCTGATGCAGATTTACTGGAATCAAAGCCAACAACTTGATTCAGATTATGCAGGCTTACTGAATATGAATATGCGGGCAGGGCAGAACCGTGAAAAAGAAGGAGTTTCAATCTTCTGCTTTGATCCCGGCCACCTCCCTGTCTGCGATCCACAAGTCCCCACCGCCCGGCTCCCCACCTGGTCACCGCTTTGCTCTGTTCCACGGAGGTTCCCAGCACACGATTGGCCAAGCCTCGCCGTGGCTACACCGAACGCCGAAAGCACGGACGAACGACGCACCTGCCGGCGACGGTGCTTTCCCGGCCCAACACGGACGAAAACGGTGACCGCGGTGTGGCACGACGAAGGGGAAAAGAACGGGGCCTGTTAGACCGCCGCTGAGGGGTTGCAGGCTGCTCCAGCCCCTCAGGTTGAAGTCCACCTGGAGCGAGGCAGCCGAGACTTCCGGCACAAGAAGAGCTGAGACCACGAAGCAAAGGCGGAGGACCACGGGAAACTCGAATGGCGACGTGCTTGGACCCTATCATATCGGACGTACTATATGTATACCAGGATCTTCCAACTATGCAAAAGTTCTGCCTGTATCTAAAAGGCACAAACTCTACAATAGTTGGAAAGATCCTGGTACCTATAGAACCATATTGTAATGATGTGACAGGAAAAGCATGGAAAAAAAAGCATGAAAAGGCCATATGTTGGGTGGTTGATCGTCCAAAAATCGGGCGCATGTTCCAAGTATGGGTCGGTTTTCCGGGTTCGTCGACATGGCTGACCGCTCAGTTGGCCAATCTGTTCATCTTCGGTGGTCAACAGTAGAGCTACACACCCACATCACTTTGACGTGGTGCCACGACCCCGCGACCCACCGTAGTGCCCCCCTCAACACCGCCCGCGTGTGGCACGTCGTTGCTTCGCGGCTGCGAGCGACACGCTTCGAGGCACTCCGTCGCAAACGCAGTCGAACTCAAAGGCCAAGCCTCAGCCACCAATTCTTATGCAATTAAATCGGTTTGCCTTCCAACATCTACATATGGAAGTGCATTCAAGGGACTTGCAGGTCAACTCCCTGGAAGAAGGAGAATAGACCAACACCATCACAAACACCAAGTGGCCAGGGGGTCTCTGCAGTCTCCCTATTGTACTACACCCCCACCATGGCAGCGTTTCAGGCGCCTCTCTGCCAGTGTGGGTGCCGCGGAGTGGGGGGGCGCGTTGTGAAAAACCGGCAGGTGGTGTTCTGCCCTTGACAAAGAGATATCTAAATAGCAATGGCCTCCAACCTAGAAGCAATGGCAGCCAACCAAGATGTGAATTCTTGTGGGCCCCTCTATATCATCTTTGTTGTGGGCCTCTAAGCAAGATGTGAGCCAATTCGAAGGATTTGGGGCATCGTGAAGACGACGTGCTCGCTAGACAACTGCCAATGCACCAAGCAAGCAAGTCACCAAGACATACCAAGACCAGCAAGACCCACATCTTCTTGCTCTAGGCCTGGCCCACATCCCCAGGTAAGGTGGTTGAGGTGGGTGCCAGGGGGGTCTGTTCCCACCGAACCTGAGGAGATGGGGGAGCCCTAGGGTTGAATCGAGAAACCAAGACAAGGGCGCCACCGAAGACGTCCCCCTCCCCTGCCAAGCTGCGAGCCAGATCCCCCACCAAGCCCATACCGTAGAAGGTATTCTGCTCGTTCCTCAGGCAGGTCGGCAACCTGACCAATCACCGGACCATGTGTCCGAAGACATGGGGAGTAACTGTCTCCAGATCCTGGACAGGCGACCCGAATAGCCAAACCGGCCAAATCTTCCAGTTCAAGTGGTTTCACAGTGCCGACTTACAGTGCTTTCACAGTGGCTTGCCACAAAACCCTAAAGATGCATTTTAAAATACTGTAATGGCTGTGGGTCAAAACCTGGAGCCCCAAAAAAATCCTGGTGAGAGGAATTCGGACTTGGTTGTTCCTTTTTGGTGGTCAATCAGAGTTACAGGGTTAGGGGGGTCCATAGGGTCCATGCAAACCACTGTGCCATATCGACTCTGAAGCCACCTGTAGATCGGTCTCACAAGCCAAGCATCTCCAAGAAGCTCCACAGTCCCTCGCACAAGGGCTCCTCAGCCGGCCGGGCGACTCAGATGCCCCTCAAAATCCCGATTTCACCCCCAGGCACTTCCCACAAATCCACCTTGCTTTTCGGCTTGGTTGCGGTCGCCCCCCTCTGTTTGCGATCGTCTCTGTAGACTCTGTTTAGTGTCGCCAGCTAAAGCCAAAGCGCACAGGTCTGTTTCCTCCAGGGGAGCAAGTCCACAGCCAAGATCCAGGGCCCTGCACAGATGCCTCGCCAACAAACTCTTCATGTCGAGCGTCGCGCGAGCCGCATTTCTGCACGGTCGTGCGGTTTGGGGTAGAAAATGGGTTTTCACAACCAAAAAATACAAAAAGCTGAGAAACGGTCGACTCACTTCAAATGATTTGTCCAAGAAGATTGTATCCAACCGGTATCCAAGTGTTGCAAGAAAAGAAGGATTTTCATCTTGCAAAGCCGGCAACGTTGCCTTGCTGTGTTTTTGAGGCGTGGCGGGTCTTGTGGCGTTCAAGCTGAAACTCACTAACTAGTGACGCCATCACAGGAATGATCTCAAAAACCATCATGAACGTCCACCGAACCGAACCTTGCAGAATCGTATGCCAGCAGCGTGTCTTGTTCTTTTTCGGGAACACATATCCGCCAAAAGAAAAAAGAAAAAACGAACCTCGCAAAAAGAATCCGGGAACGAAAAGAACCACCCACCAGCCGTTCACCACCTCGTCCCTGCTCGGAATCCCCTGCTCGTCGTCCCCTCACCGGACCTGACTCACTCCGCCGGACTCAGCTGCGGTCCGAGGGGCTGAGCACCGCAGAACGGCTGGGTGGCTGACCCTTTTGGAAGCTGGGTTTCCACTCCTGGGGCGTCCGAACTGGCCGGGGAGGGCAAAGGAATGGAGGAGGGTTTGGGTGTTCGAACAGGAGGGACACGACTGGCGTGGCGCCTGGGAGATCCGGTAGAAACCGGGTGGGAGATGAGTTTCAGGGTACTTCAAGATTGAAGTTGCTTCTTCTTTTTTCAGCCAAAGAGAGACCAAGAGAGAGACACCAGAGCTGCAGCGAGACACCGCCCTCCGACCTCCGGACCGAGGCGATTCTGTGACGTTCATACCGTGACTTGAGTCACAGGATCTCCTCAGGTCTCAGAAGAAACCAATGGTGACTGGTGACGTTGGGATTGCCCTTCCCTGCTATAAAGCAATGGGATGTTGATTGATGGATGGATAGACCTCTGGCACCTGGGCTACATGGGATTGCCCTTCCCTTGACGGGTGATGTTGAATTCTTGAGGGGTCTTCCAGGGCGTCCAAGGCTGGACTCTCTGGAAACTCCAGGTATGGCCAGGGCCGATAGAGGTAACCTCCTGGAGGAATGGTGCCCTCCGGCACGGCAACAAGCACTGAAACTCTTCGTCTTCCAGGACAAGGGTGTTCCAACTCTGCAAGACGAATCTCTTCGAGGGATGGTCTTTCTACAGACACTCAGAACGCGTCCGGAGTAGTTGCCCCAAAAGCATGATGCAGCCAATGATGAAAAGATACAAAAAGAGATGTCATTCAACTTGGGCTGTAGCCAAATGCTCGGAACACGGTCCTCCCCTTATCCAATGGGTCTCTATATTTGGCATACAGCCACATGCACGCAGGGGGTCCCTCTTGTGAGCACACCCTTCTTCCCCCACACCCTCCTACCGAAGAAACAATTCACTCAGCCAACAGCCACGGAGCCAAATCCAGACCAAAGTGATATTTCGATTTCCAAGAATACAAGAAATCCTCGATTTCTCCTGTCCAGCTTGCGGAGAAGGAGAGTTTCATCGCCGTCGCCGATTTTCACGTTTCTCGATCACGTCCTTGAAAAAGACACAAGAAAAGGGGGTCAGCTCGTTCTTGTAGATCCATTGAAAGCACTCATGCATCGTTGTCGATGCCTAATTCATTCCATGTCTTTTGGCGATGCCAGCATGAGCAAGTTCATTCTCCGAAGCAACTGCTGGACATCTCGATCGTCAACCCGAGCAGTTTGTGGGGTCAAAACCTGAGCCGTTTGTGGGGTCAAAACCTGAGCCTTAGGGAAAGTGGATTTGGCCACTGAGACATGACTGCGCGTGACGAAACAGAACACCTGCTGGAAGCCCGTCACCCCCCACATCGTTCCAGAAACGCCACATCAACAGAAGTCCGGTCTGTACTTGTACCCTGAAAACCGCTAGTCTTTGAGGGCCCAAGGAAACGCATGCATAGGGCCGCCCTGGGAATTGAACGCCCAGAAAGACTATTGTGACTATTCCCGAGAAAGATTCTTGGGGTTGTTCAGGGCCTTGAATTCGAAGTATTTGGAAGTGGTGCAGGTACTGCGAGTACAACCAGGCCTTCCCAAACACCCTTGGATGACTACGAACTTCTCTGCGAAAACAGGGGTGTTTCTTCCCAGTGTCTTCAAGTGACGGCTAGGTCCAACATCTGAAGGTGCATGTGCATGAATGTGCATCACCGCGTTCCCTGGTTGGATTCGTAAGGTCTCATCCATTCACATCCATTCCATCAGCTGAACATCTCCCATGTTCCAAACATCTTCTCGATCCCCAGCTGCACAGCTACAACCGACATGGGTCGCTCGGCCAGGCCTGGGTCGCTAGTCAGCAAGAGATGAAGCTCTGGCAGCCCACTATGCGCTTCGAAGCTTCGCCAAATGCCCATGGCTTTGGGGCAGCGTCAAAACGACGCAGTGAAACCGGCTTCGATTCGTTTGTCTTCTCAGGGGCTTCGCCATGATCTGTCGCTGCATGTCTAAAGGGGATCTTCTTTCCTATCTGGCGGGCACTATAGTGCACTTGCCAGTCACTGTCATTTGTCGGAAAGGAAACGCGTTCCAAACTGTTGCATGTAGAGGAGAGTGTAGACTTGGTGGACACAGCTCTACCGCATTTGCAGCTGGGCAAACGCGTTTGCCTCGGCTTCCCAAGCTGAAGGAAAATGGATACTCGCATCTGCGTCCCGAAAGCCGGCCTTGCAATGAATGATCTCTTCATCTCTTCTTCGAAGCCCACAACAACCCGTCCGAACTGGTTGGTTGGAGCCCAGCTGCGGAAGAAAGAACGTCCACTCTTTCGATATCTTCACCACTTTCCCCACCTGTCAGGTGTTTCTTTCCTCCCAACCACTCCCACCCACAGATCCTGTCTTCTCCCCCCCAAAAAATGGGGTGCTACAACTGGTGTGTAGCTCGGCCTCCCAGTTCACCACATCGACCCGTCTACCTCTCGCCTCGGAACCCGGGTTAGCCTGGGCTTCGAGGAGTGTCGGGTGCTTGGTTTTTCCGAGAGATCAAGCACATGATCGCACGTCTGATATAGGCAAGGTTACCTGGGCCAGCCCCTGGATCAAATGAACAGATTCTGTCAGGAAGGTCAACCCGAAACCATGGTTTGATGGGGAAGGTGGGGAGAGGTGTCATGACTGCAGATCCATTTCATGCAGCCCAACACCTCGCGCCACCCCGAACGGCTTCATCCCGGCCTGGGACGCCAGAACTTCCGTCTGCGACTCCAACCAACGGCTGGTCTGCATCACCTGCCGTGGTCGGTTCCTGGTTGAAATCACGCCAGGTGGTCCATACCCTGGGAGTCAAAGACTATCAACATTTGAAGGGTCTTTAGCTGTCTTTAGGTGACCCGAGTTCAAGAATATCCTTTACTTCAGTCAGTCAAAATATCGTCTTTGGATGTCTTTGGACCTCTAGGGCATACGGTTTAATGATCCAATTGTCCTTATAGGTTCCAGCTATTTTCAAATCTCTTCTGGTGCGATCTATCACTTCCGCGACGACTTCGCGACGCCCATCATCGATGCGACGACTTCGTCGGGCGCGATGAAAGCGAGGGCGATGGTCGAAAGAGATCGATGGTGAGCACGTTGGCGAGATCCAGTTTTAGCAGGTCCTGACTGTTTTAATGCGCAAGACACAAGCAAACTGGGCACCAAGCACTCCCTTCAGCAAACAGGGCACTCCCTTCGTTGGTGGCTTTGGATGGAGTTATACTCTGCGACTCGTGTTCACTTCGCAGTTCGCCTCCACTCGCCGCTCACCCCCTTTTGCCGCTTCTCGGGTCCGCCTGGGGCGGACCGGGGCGGACCGGGCTCGCCGCGTGCGCGACACGGAACGCACGAAACGGGCGAATCGCCGACCTCGAGTTGCTCCAGGTTTTCGCTCGACTGCTTCTCCACCTCGACTCGACTCGACTCCCAACCACCCGCATCGCTGCGTGAAACGGCAGGAGTCGACGACGGACGGGCAGCGATCGGGCGGGGAAGACCCGGTCCCGGCACGTTTTTTCGGTCGGTGCTCGATCTTCCGAATGGACGAACCATTCCGTCGATTCTGCGGACAAGAAAAAACCGGAATCTGTGCGGTCTTTTAGGGTACTTGCTTGGCTTCTTTGTGGGGTTATATTCCATTGAAGGACTTGAAAGCTCTGAAGCTTCGACCAGCAATTTGTGCTGGTGCAAGTGTTTCCATTTTAATCCTTCCAACCACCACAATTGATGTTATATGATGTTATAGTCGACTTTACCGAACCACCATTGCTGTACTAAGGATTTTACACTACACAACCAGGTCTTTCCCGCGTAGGAAGGTTTGTTCTCCCTCCATGTTGGCAGGTGTTGTTCCTTGAGAGGCATGGACGCACACACTTCAATCTTCGAGAGCGCCATCCGCTTCAGCCCAAAGGGGTGCCCATTGGCAGCCAGTGAAAACCCAAACAGGGAGATCGCCCCGACAAAAACTCCTATTGCAGTCCACCAAAAATGGGCAGGCCCCTTTTAACAGCCCCTAATCATAACGGAATCCTAACTGGCCCCTCACGAGCGGGGAGGTGACGTTGGGCCTCTATTCAGGTCGTTCCACACTTTCTTGGGATGGCCATTTCTTTCAGGGCTCTGTGGAGGCTGGAGGCCATCTTTCAACGGAATCCAACAAAAAGTTCCCCCCCCACCGGTGTTGGACCTCCCCTCTCCGTTACTACTAGTAGCTTCTTGTTCCTATAGTATAGTAATGGCCTCCCTACTAGCGGCCTCCAACCAGCTTCTATAGCTACTAGTAGCTTCTTGTCGAATGCTTTTCGCCTTTGGGATGGGCCATCGACAGAGATGGCCACGCCTCGGCCTTGAGCCGCTGATGCAACTCCTCGGCCCTCAGGTGCAGCTCAGCCTTCGTTGGCTCCTGCGTCGAAACAAAACGAACCGCGCGGCGGTGAAAAGCGGAAAGGCCGAACAAAGAGCGAAAAGGCCGACACGACGTGTGAACCAAGACTTGGATTAATTAGCTTAATTAAGGAACCTGGAAAATAGCGAAAGATATTCTCCATGCCATCGGGGAAGAAAGACCATGAAAGTCAAAGAAGCAAAACCAGCAAAACCAGGAGTAGATGGCCGGACGTGTGATGGGTGCGTCTTGGTGATGGGCAGATTTCGGGGACGTGTGTACCGGCCGCAGTGTTCGGTCGCTGCACCGTTGACGGTGCAGCGGAACGTGCTCCGCTGGGACACTCGAGCGATTGGGAGACTCGGCGTGATTCATAAGCCAAAGGACGGGGGTTGAGTCATTCATCCGAGGATTGTGGATGAAACCTCGGATTTTACAACAATCCCAGGTTTCATCAACCTCAGCCCACATGAAGATCCGAGGTTTTACAACATCCAAACGAGGGGTTGAGTCATTGAGGATCAACACGTGCCGGGTATTTTGAAAAGGGGTGTGTCAACAGAGATCCACCAATTCCTGTAGGATGGTATTGGAGACCCCAGATTCACAAGGTGCTGCTTCATCCAGGTTTGCGTTGGCGCACTCTCTACTGCCCTAAGAGTCCGCACCCTCAAACACATCGGGTTTTCGATGGTCCGCACCCCTGCCATGGAGGGGCCCCCAAACATCCCATCGAACCTGCACCGCAGACAGCGTCGTGGACCGCCAGCTACGCACCGCGATGACGCAGAAGCCTCAGAGCGCCTCACCCGGGTTCGCTCCCGCATCTTCCCGCATCTTCCCCCCCCCCCTTCGTTGCGTCCGCCCCCCGTGGCTCCTGCTTCCGCATCTCGGGATACTCCTCGGTGAACAAATTGAAGCGCTCCACCTCGGACCGTCCGAGGCGGTGACGGCCCTGGGTTCGGGAGATCCGAAGTAACACGGGCCGCAATGGGGTGACTGGTCGATGTTCCTTCTGAACTGGGAGTCGAACTGGGAGGTCTCCCAAGTTTGACCATCTGGAAGTGCTTGAATGAACTAAGTATACATCTCCTGGCAGGAAAGAGCCCAACTCCACAAGGTCTTTTTTCATGTGAACTGGAAAGGGACACTCTCAGTTTGCAGTCATGGGAATCCTTTGAAGGTATCATGAACCACCTGTGGATCTGAATGAATAGCATCCTGTCTCATCTCAAATTGCACCAGTTCCTTCTGAGTACAAGTTTTCACCTCCGGATGAGAGTGGTTGGTCATTGGATGAAGCATTCTGGTTGCTTCACCAACACCTAGTCTTCGCTGCTGATTACATGGACAAGCACGACCTGAGAGGCCTAGGTGTATGGACAATGGATGTGTTGCGGTTTCCCACATGGAACAACAGGCCAAACACTCGCCTGGAAACCCCAACAACCAAAAACACGATTGATGTTTCCCCAGTCCGAACCACTTGTTATGTAGCGGATCTCAATTGCCATATTGCAACAACCATTTGTTTCTGGTTTGGGACTGAATTTCGCAGGCACTGCTGCAGTGAATCTTGGAACTAATCTTGGAGTTCTGGGTGTGCCAAGAGCAAAAAGAAACCATCAAGCTTCGCTATCTTCGCTCTTTTAAAGCAAGTATGATGGACGACATGACCAATTCTATCCAGAAGTAATTCGCTTGCTTGGGAGCTCACCACATCAATCGACTGTCTTGTTCCACGTCTTTTCCGCACCTCTTCGACCAGCCATCGACCACCATCTCCCCGCCCGAACGGAACCGGATCCTCCGTCCTCCCCGCTCGCTCCGTCATCCGACCGCGCCACGAAGTCATCCACCATGTCCTGCTTCCCGTCGCTGCGCTGCACGAACTCCGAGAAGCGCTGCTTCATCTCGGGTTTTGCGCGGCGGGGGTTTTCGGGCCGCGGTGTCAGGGCCGAGGAGGGCGGTTTCGTGGCGGTGGCGCGGCGACGGAAGCAACGGCTGTTTCGTGTCTGTGGCCCTCCAAATGGGGAGAACCTCGGGGGTCTCCTGCAAGTTTCGTGGAAAAGTCACGCTAGAAATTTCAGGGAAGAATCATCCATCAAAATCCAACAGTTTGGAGAGATCTGCCCATCGGTTCTTGAAAACCTTGGAATCTTTGGGAGGATGGACAACACTGACCGGTGGCAGTCAACAGAGGTGTGACATAAGTTTAGTTTATAATTTATATACAGCATATACTTGCATACTGATCCCTTTTTTCCTGGGTCCTCTGTATCTCCAGCCCTGTTCGATCCTTTTAGGGGAACACTCACGCGACACTCAAGCTCCCCCACATCCCTCAGCTCCGGTCGACACCGGCGACCCCTCCGGTCGCGATGCGCCCGAGGAGCTCCGAAGAGGCCGCTCTTGAAATCCGCCAGATGACTCCGGTGCCTTGGTGGACATTCAACACCCCCAAGTCGTGGGGGTGTCCCGAGGTGGTGGAAGTCGTGGTGGTCAGGTCATCCCGAACAACTAATTGAATTCTACGGTTTTACACGACAAAACCTGATCAACCATGCGAAAAATGGTCGACTTGACTTCGGATTCTTGTCCGCTCAAATAAGATTTCAAACCAAAGGCTCACAAAGCTGGAAGAGCTTGGGAAGCTCGGGCAGGGTTTTGGGGGTTTGGGAAGCTCGCGTGGTGGGGGGGTGGATTGCCAAGGCTGTATTCCGGTGGCTTGGTGGCTCAAACCTGGAGTGAAGTTCTACAGAGGGTGCCGGAACATGCTCAAATGGACTTTTGAGATGATCGTTCAACATGGGTACCATATTGAGAACTTTGAAAAAGTTATATATATTATATATGGAAATATGTCACTGATAGTTCAAAGTTCTCAAAATGTGACATATTTTTGAGAACTTTGAAACTCCCAGTTGTACTGCCCAGTGCGAGGTAGCCGTAGCGTGGGGTGGGACGCTGGGATTCGTGTTAGTCGACCTTGGCACTGGTGACCAGTGGTAACTGGATGGGTTGGGTTTAGTGCATTTTGTGTGTTACCACTGATAAGTGGGCATCCAGTAACAAGTCATTTCATTTATACTCTTTAGTTCATTTCTGTGATTTGTTGTGTGTTTGCTTCACCACAAACCTCTCCGCCACTGCACCAAGAACAGTGGACGACTTGGGCGATCTGATCGATGGCGGGATCTCGTTTCAGGATCGATCTGGTCGTATGATCTCAAGCATTCTCGATCGAGCCGCTTGCGTCAGTCTTTTGATATTGGAATACGGTTTAAAAATCGTCTAACACATGCATAAAATACATTGTAAAAAAAGAGACAAGGAGTAAATAATAGAGACTAGAGACAATAGGTTCAATCTCCAAGGATAAAGGCACATGGCATTTCTCTTTTGCATGGATTTTAGGCTTGCGCGAACCAACTGGCAACCCGACGTACGACGTACTCTATCTTCCATAGGAGTTTGGAGCACTTCCGCACCCCTCAGCTTCGCATCAAGTCTCTCGAGCCCCCAGGCTCCCAGCTGCCCCACGACCGTCGCCTTTTGCCATGTCGTCCCGCCGTCCCCGCATGTGACCGGCGCCGAGCTGAGACCGGGCGTGTTTCAACCGGGCGAAACAGCGCCGGGAGGAGACCAAGGCTTCCGGCCAAGCGTTGTCCTCGAAGCTCTTCCACCTTTTGCAGCATGTGTCTGTCGGACGGCCATGCAGCCTGCAAAGGCATAGGAACCAAGGAAGGGCACGGACTGGGGGAGCACTAAGCTCAGCGACCTGCAGTGTTGGAAGGCAGCATCTCCAATCAAGGTCACGGAGGAAGGGATGGTCAAAGTCGTCAAAGAACTGCAACCACTGAAAGCACCATCGTGAATTTCAGTCACAGAGCCTGGAATTGTCAAGTTCGCCATTGCGCTGCAGTTCTGGAACGCAAAGTCTGCAATGACGATCACCGACTCAGGGATTGTCACGCTGGCCAAAGAGCTGCAATCTTTCAAGGTGTCCATTTCGATCACTGTTATGTTCCGTGAGAATGTGAAACTCTTCAACTTATTACAGCCTTCAAAGGCGCCCTTCCCTATGATTGTCAGAGAGTCCGGGAGTGTCAAGTTTCTCAACGACTCACAATTGCTGAATACAAAGTGTCCAATGGCAGTCGTTGAGTCAGGAACAGTCACAGTCGTCAAAGAAGTGCAATCACGAAAGGCAGCATCTCCAATCAAGGTCACGGAGGAAGGGATGGTCAAAGTCGTCAAAGAACTGCAACCACTGAAAGCACCATCGTGAATTTCAGTCACAAAGCCTGGTATTGTCAAGTTCACCATTGCGCTGCAGTTCCGGAACGCAAAGTCTGCAATGACGATCACCGACTCAGGAACTGTCACGCTGACCAAAGAGCTGCAATCTTGGAAGGTCCCGGCTTCAATACGCGTCACGCTCTCTGAGAGCTTGCAACTCCTCAGCGACTTACAGTGTCCAAAGGCACCCTTCCCTATCTTTGTCACAGAGTCCGGGAGCGTCAAGTGTCTCAACAAGTGGCAGTCTTGAAAGGCAAAGTCTCCGATGTGGGTCACTGAATCAGGAATCGTCAACTGCAGCAATGCTCGACAGGATTGGAAGGCCCTGTCTTCAATGCGGGTGAACTCTTCTGGGATTGACACCGCATAGAGGTCTAGAGAATGAATTCCAGAGTGTTTTTTGCTGCAACACTCCACGGTGTGAATGGTGAACAGCACATGAACCTCGACATCTGGAGAAATCCCAGCCTGAATCAAGGTCAGATCTTCATCCTTTTCAAACTTCTCGCCGTTCACAACCACCTGTGCTGTGACCACATTGCGCATGATGGCATCTTCAGGGAACTCCAAGAATTCCATCTTCTTCTTGAAGCTGCGCACGGTCCTCGGCTTCAAGGAACAGGCTGAGGAGCATGGAACAGGGAAGACATGTCTCACGGTCCTCAGATCGATTCACCACTGAGGGCCATGATTTCGCCAACCTTGGGAAGACTCCAGTCGGACCAACGTCAGATGATGCTTCATGCAACAAATGGACGTTTTTGCTAACATGGTGAGTCAGAGAGAGTAATCCATGTAGTAATGGGCGGTATGTGTCTCCCTACTCAACGGTTGAAGTTGGCTCACGTCGATCTGGTTCTGGAAATCGACATCGTTGACTTCTGTAGACCCTTGGTCTATCATTTCAAAGTGCAAAGCCACTCACGATGGCCAAAACTCATTTGGGCGTGTATGTTAATAGGGAGACACCCAACCAATAGCTTTTAGTCTATGTTCTTTCTTCCTGGGAGGTCTCCCTATTTTGATACAGACCCATTTGGAATCAGTTCCTGGAAAGTGCGCTTCAGTCTCGACCCCGTCCTGTAGCAACGCGTGTTTTTTGGCGGCAACGCATGGCCCAAATCCGCCAGTTCCTCACCCCTTAGTGAAGAAGAATCAACATGTGCCAGCACCACTGCACCACCGATTTCGGGTGGTTTTTCTTTCTTCCCCCTGATTATGTATATCTTGTCCTTCCAACCATCCACACTGAGTGGTGCGCACGTGTAATTACATCAGTTTGTTCAAGCGAATTTTGAACAGGATGGTGCAGCACGATGGCGAAGTAAAGGAAATTCCGTCCTTCATCGGATCACCTAAAGAGAAATATACCTGGACCTTCTTTCGGGGTGTCCTGTCTGGAGGGTCCCTTAGTAGTGGGCTGGGGCGCAACCAGCCAGGTGACCCCGACATGAAGGTGCTGGTAGGAAATATAGTCTCTGATTCCCGAAGTGAAAAGAAAAGATCAAAAAAGTCCCAATGCTTTTGGAAGAACATACTACCAGGAGTCACAAAGGGGTGCTCAATGGAAGTCTATAGGTAGTGTGGGGTACTTCATTGGACACCCCTTTGTGACTCCTGGTATGAAGAAATAGTGTTTCGATACCCATACCCAAACGCTCCATGCATGGAACAAATGCCAACATTGACCCCAAACAACCCCAATGTAGGCAAATATGGCATTCTCATGGAGGGTCGTTTGTGCGGTTTGGATTCCATGTGTGATCAACTAGCCTTCGTCAAAGGGTCGTGTCCTCTTTCGCTTCGACCAGCCTTCGCTGGCCACTGATGAAAGACACTGGGATCTCCATCGCCATGAGAGCCCTGTACCCATGCGGAACGCCGGACTTCTTCCAGTGCTGTTGTGGACTTAGTGATTTCTCGAGCCAACCATGAAGTCCCTGGAGCTGGTCAGACGCCCCCTGAATCTCTGGGGAATCATTCGCACCGTCCCAAGCGTGGCGTCCTCGTCGCGTCCTGAAAAATGCTTCCGATCATTGAGATACAGCATCTTGGGTATAACGGTTCGCCCTGATTGCGAAAACATGTGCACATACCAATCCACCAGTTGATTGAACATCTGTGCCTTTCGGATTTGTTGAGGCTGGTTCATGAATGTTACACACGTTCCATGCATGAAGACCGATATGTTCTGTATTCTCTGCATTCTCCGATGGGGGCGTCAAAGGCATAGATCCTCACGCTATGGACACAAGGACCCAAGGCGTGCTTTTTCCGTTCGTTGGAACAACGATGCATGATCTTTCCTCCTCTAGCTGTTTAAGAATCATGTCATCTTCAAACCCACTTCAGTTCGCTGTGTGAAGTCCTGAGAACTGCTAATGTTAGCTTCCAGCAGACCCCTGCGGTCCGGACGCCGGACCCCCACCACCGGAATCCACCGGACCATCACCACGCGTCCGAGGAGCCAATTGAAGAGCTGCTGCAGCGAACTCACCAAGTCGCCCTGCAACTCCGACCACTCCTGGGAAGAACCGACCAACTCGGACGGCCGACGTACTCGCCGGGGAGCCCGGGCGCGGGGTACTCGACGGAGAGACCGGGAGACCGGCGGAACTGGAAGTCCAAGACGGGTTAAAAGAGGTTAAAATGGTTGCTTTTGGTCGTTTATACTAATTGTTGTTTATAAAACAATTGGTGGTTCAGTTGGACATGAATGGCCAGGACTGGGTAGGTGGGATGTTTTCAGGACTTCCTGGTGCCTCCGGTTGGAACTGGGTGTTGGAGAACGGTTTTCCCCAGTTTTGGGGTGGTTTTCGGCCGCGGTGTGACCGGAAAACGGTGTGACTCGACGGTGGTCACCAGATGTGACTCGACGAAAAGTGACCTTCGAAGGTGTCCAAACGTTGGGCCCTGCATCACGTATGTGTTCAAGGGCTCGGCAGATGACATACCTGATAAAAGAGAGCAAGAAATATCAACACACATCGACTTGAGGATACTCTAGGGCGTCGAACATAAAAGAAAACACTGGTAGGGAAGTCCAGTCAGCTATAGTGACTCTGATCAGATCCCGGCCCTGCCAGTCCACACGGCAAGTCCGAAGAATGATGTGCATGTGCCCAATGGGAGTCGGCTCCTCCATGAGGAGATTGAAGACTTCATCTTCAATCTTCCCGACATAGCTGGGCCTCATCGACGAGAGACGGGAGACTCGTCGGGAGACGTCTCGGCGTCGTGTCGTGACGAGAAGGACGAGCCGGGCCTCATGGATGGCCCATGTGTCAAGACTGAGACGAGGAGGAACGCCATACCCTTGGAGTCCAAGACAATCAATGGTATTAGACCCAGACGCTCCGTGAACGACGCCCAACTGGTCCCTCAAAACCCCAAACGATTCGGGTCCAGGGTCGCGTCTGGGTAGGAGGCCATTCTTAGGGACGGGCTTCTACAGGAAAAGCATAGTCTTTGGATGTCTTTGGACTTCTACAGGGCATATAGAAACCTCGTCATGTCCAAAGGTCACCACAAAGAAGCAGGAGCTACCCTAGCTAGGTAGCGCCATTGCTTCCGTGTTTGGAATTCGCATGGATGGTTCCAAGCACGTTCGTCCGAAAGCCACACGAAACAGAGGCCCAGAACTGAAGATTAATAAAGTAATCGTGAGTCTGATAATGAGCAACCCCTGCAATTCAACACGAAGTGGTCTTCAAACGTCTTAAGGTTCCAGGGTGCATCATGGTGCATCATGGTGCATCATGGTGCATGGCCTTGACCTTTTTGAGTGTATCAGACTTAGGCAGACCCCCTGACCAAATTACTTCATTTTTGGTCTACATACCTGTCCCTGTACCTGAGGATACCTGAGGTCTATAGGGTGTCTCCACTGGTGTCTCCCTAGTCACAGTAAGCCCAATATGGCTATATATGCCCTATGGCGCTTGGCTCACCACTTCCTTTCGGAACCCCTGTTATACAGTACCCCGGTACCCCCCCCCCCGCCATGACCTCCTCCCTGGTCGCTCCCTTCCGCGCCCCGGTCGAGCTCGGCCGCGTTTGGCCCCGCTTCAGGGGCGCCCGGCAACTCGCTCAACTGCACCGCTTGGAACGGGGGCTCGGGCGGTGGATCCGTGTTCTGCCGGCGGTTCCAATGCGGCGCCGAACAGGGCGGTGAGGACCGGGGAAGGGAAGCGAACTCCGAAACGGCTTCGCAAGACGTTGCCAGGTGGGTCAGTCTGAAAACGCGGCTGTTCTGGCGGCTGAAAAGGGGTTGAGTCATGGATAGCAGTGCGGCTGGAGAGACTCCACAAAATGGATCATGTGTTGTTGACAAGTTGCTTCCCTGTTCCATCCTGTTCCAGTTCTATGCCCCCAATTCAATTAGTGTCTTCATTGTTCATGACGATTTTGCAGAATTTTCGTGGAAATTCATGTGTTTCCTCACGTGCCGGCTCTTCCATTCCGCCCATCTTCTCCATCTGCCTCGGCCGCATCCGCATCCGCCGCCGCATCTGCCGGCGCCGCATCCGCAGCCGCTGCAGCTGCATCGGCGTGGTCGGCGTCGGCCGTCTCGGGCTCCACTGGGGCAGCCGCCTAGCACCAGCATGAGGGAGTCCCGTTAATCATTTGAACCGGGTCTGACGACAGGCCCGAGTCCCGGAAGTTCTTGTTGCTTTGAGGTGGTCACATAAATTGAACTGAACTGGGCTTCTAGGGCAAAGGATGGCTAATGGCAAAGGCAAGGTTCGTGAGGTTGAAAATGAAGAGGGTGACTGGGACAAAGAGCCCAACTCACCCGCAAGCAAGCGAGTCTTTCTGAGTCCAGCCTGATCCGCTTTCTTTTCCGCTGTTCTTTGTTTCGAAGGTTGGCTGTTTTGTCCTGACCTTTCGTACTATATGCATTCGATTTCAGTTCTAAACCAGGAAAAAAGGAGAGAATGCATACAGCCACAAATGGGCAAAACCGAGCAGCACGCCAAAACGCACCTGGTTTTTGCAATTCTATATATCTTTTTAGCCCGCTCCTTCTTGATTAATCAAGTAGGCGCCTACTTAATTATAAGTACTAGCAATCTAGGAAGCTACTACACACTGGACCCAGGATAGCTCACGCTTCTTCAAGGAAGCTCCCCCGCCTAAGGGCGGGAAGGAGATTCCCTTAAGAAGCGCTCGCACTAATGATTTGGTGTCTAGATTCTTGGGGAAACTTAACTCATGCACTGATAACCCTCACTCGCTGGCAAATCAAGTTCCAAGGTTGCTCAGTACAGTTTTTTGGATTAGTCCTGAGCATCCCTGGGGTTGCTGGGGTTGCTGGTAGCATCCCTGGGATTGGAGCCATGCACGGGTTTTATCGAGTATAGTGTAGTCATAGCACTTTCAAGTTCATGGTCACCTTGTTCCAGCCGTTCTTGGTTCCATCCGATCTCACCTGCCACACGGCGGGACATCAAGCAAACACACCAACGTTGTGCAGTTCATTGCAAACAGGTCGAGCACGACCTTCTGATCTTAAATCACAACAAGTTCATTGCAAACTGGACCCCCAGTCAAAACCCCCTTGGAAGAAGGAAAATAGACCACCCATTGGTGCCGGATGGATCCACTGCCACCTTTCAGCAGGTCATTGGACCCTCCTGGCGCCTACATAAATCGTCTCCAATCACCTTCTCAGGTTCGCTATGTGGATCCATACAGGTGGGAGGGTTCCCTATTTAGAAAGCACACCCACATGACATGTGACATGCCCAAAACCAACCGCTGGAACAGCACATGACATGCCAACGGCACCCTTGACCAACGGGCGCGGTTCGACTGGGCAAGATCTTCCAACTCCGCCTCCTCCTCAGTGGCCTGTGCAGCCCGAGCTGCCTGCCACGTCGATGAACGACGTTTGCCGATTGGACGGACGTTTGGATTTGCGGCTCCGAACTTGGAAGAAATGCAGCCCATCTTCTTCCCGGTGGTTTGGGGATTGAACCATAGGGACAATAGAAAACTCACCTGATCCGGTAAGAAAGGGATTCAAGTACAAGGACCCTCCTGTCCAAATGCCCTGTCTGGAAGCCACACTAGGTAGTGTGGGGTAGTCCAGCCAGGACACCCCGAGGGTCGGAGGGTCCTGGTATGGTCTTTCTATTCTTTGATCTATGTTATGGCGGGCGAACTGATGCTTGCCCATGTTCACCCGTCTTCAGGGAGCCTCTGGGTCACGGGAGCACGGCCTTGGGGACCCAAACAAATGAACCGATTCCTCGAGGTTCGAGGTCAACCGATTCCATGGTTTGGGGGGTAGAGAGGTGCCATGACTCGCGAGGTGTAGCGCTGGTGGCATGGCCGCCATGGCCGTTTCCACCAATCCTTCACCGGGTCGATGTCCACGGACAACGGTGCGCGTCCGAAGGACCCAAACGCAGCACCTTGGGACCCAACACCGAAGGGCAGATGTCCTCAAAACCCTTTCCATTGGCCCCACATGTTTGTTGAATAATTATAGGAACATGAAGATCAATTATACTAATCTGTCTTGATTCATACACTTCCCCATTTGGATTGTTTTCGCCTCTCTTCAGGCGAAATCCAGATTCGTCGCTCTGATCTCGCGCCGTTCGTCTTCGACGTGAAGAAGACGACTGGCCCGCCTCCTCAGCCTGTGCGATCTCCGCCCGCTTGCGCTGAAGCAGGAGCGCGACCTGGATGCTGGGAGACACGTCGCGTAAGTGTCGTTGGAAGGTTTGGAGAAGAACCGTTTGGAAGGTTTGGAAGGTTTGGTTGTTTCGGAGACTTCCGAGTACCTTCTCAGAAGGTCCGTGAATCCCTCGTTCGAACAGTGCTTGGTTTGGCTTTCCGGGTTCTGGTTCGGTCGAGCTTCACGGCCACCTATCGCCACGACACCTCTGTTCACCGTCCACCGCTGTTCGGTCCTGTTCGGTCCCACGAGGGGAACACCCACTTTGACCTGACCTCCCAACCCGTTTTCCTCAAAAGATCGAGCGAGTCGGGGGTTGATTCATCTCGGTCGGATGGGTCAACTCCAACGGGATCCAGTCGCATTTTGGCCTCCCAATTCGGGGAAAAGACGGATCCAAAACGGATCCTCACCTTCTCCTCCACCGCTTCGAAGGTCTCATCTGAGGAGCTCATGGCATTGACCTGCCGACACCCGTCTTTCTCCGCGAGGCCGCGATGGACCCGAAACCGGTCGGTCTTTCAAAAGCGCCAGGGACGTGCGTGAGGTTCTTCCATCTGAATCCTCCAGGGTGGGACATTCGGAAAAAGTCACGCCTGCGCCCCTCGTGAGCGGGGAGTCCGCCTGCTTTTGGAGGGGGTCAGGCGAGAAAAGCCTAAACAAATCGCCCGGTCCTTTGAGCTTCAGGTGTAGAAAGTCATTCTAAGCAGCCGGGGCGACAGAAAAAACAGTGCAGCCACCAAGTCCATGTGTCAGTTAGTCTTCTTGAACCAGCTTGCTTTCTCCCTCTCACATCTTCCCTTGTCCCCGGCTGGAAGCACCACCACCCCGAACTCCCCCAACAATCACTCCACGACTCCGACCGAATTCGGCCTCTCTTTCCGCGTCGGCCTCCTTCCCGCCCTCCCGGCCTCGACCAAACGAGGCACATCCGGGAAGGGTCCAAAGTGCTCCAAGATCTCTTCCACCTGAACAGGCTTGTCCGCTCCCCTCCGGAAAAGCTCTCGCTGCGTGCGCCAGCGTGCGCCAGCGTGCGCCAGCACCAGCACGTGCTGGCGCGCGCAGGTGAAGTGCGAGGTGTGATGAGCACATGGTGTAGGGGGCGGGAAGAAGCCCATGGTGTAGGGGACCTCCTTCCGGGGCTAGTGAGGGCAACTGACTCAGTTGCGGCAGTCGCTGGTGGAAGAGAGGGATCCCAATTCGGACCTGACTTTGTGGTTACGGAATCAGGGGTGTCAAACGACTGGGTAGAGAAATACAGAGAACTGCTAAAGTCGTGCCTGAATGTTGGAAATCGTAGCAAATAGCTTGGGGAAAGGGTTTTTCAGAAGTCGTGCCTTTTTGCTCAACGCATTGTAAATGCAATCCGAAATGGTGGTTTTGAAGCTGAAAGGATTCAGAGATCGCACGGCTCCAAAAACTGTTGCGTTTAGCTTGGGGGAAGCATGAAAGGCATGAGATAGGCATGACTTTCCTAAAACTGCGTTTACATGCTGGAACACATAGATTTCAGGACGCAGGCGTGAGTTAGGCATGAGTTTCGCGCTTGCCTGTATATGGTTGGGGAATCCACCAACCTGCAAAGAATTCTAGGGGTGGTTACGGAATCAAATTGACCATACAACATCATACCAACCAAACCAACAACCATGACTCATGACCATATTCACATTGGTGTTTGATCGATTTCGATTCCACCCACCAGACCTTTGCCAACTCGCCTCCGGCTGCGCCACGTCGAAGCAATGGATGCGCTCCGTGAGCGTTCCCGTGGACCTTAGGAAAGAGAAGGTTCTTGAGGGCTGGAGAGGGAGTTGTTGGTGGATTTGGTGTGATCTCACGGATTTGGAAAGCCAAATTGAAAGCATCCGATATACAGTATACAGTATGTGCACATATGTCCAAGAGTCAAATCAAGTCTTCTGGATGGAAACATGAATAGTGCGGAGGGTCAAAGTTGAGTATTCAACTTCATCACGTGGCGCGCATTTCGCGCGCCCCCCCCGGCGGCGAAACTGTGCGGATACACTGGGGCCGTGGACTTCTCTAGTGAATCAGCGGGCACCAGCCTCGCGCGGATGAGCCAACACCGATGTTTCCAGCTGTGTCATGGCGAAGATCTCGCCCTCATGGCCCGTCTTGGTTGATGACCGCTGTGTCGAGATCAATGAGACACGGAGACAGGCGTCCCGAGTGCTCCATCAAAACGGGATGGGCCAGGTCCCAGGGCCGGGTTGGCAGCTTCTATCCAACGGTAAGGCCCGAGGGTTGGTATATTTTGAGGATCAAGCTACCGGACCTCTGTGGCATGTTTCTGTCATCCAACGGACGTTGAAGGAGACATCTCTCTGCCAGGAGGCCCCTTTCAGTCAGGGAGAACCATTGCGGCGGCCGCAGCACCCGCCTTTCGTAGATCACAGCCTTCTTGTTAGGTGGCGGCATGTCCTGCCAAGTCTGAGTCTGAGCAAAGGCGATGTGTTCTATTACTCAGTAGTACAATCCACAGCCCTTGCTGATCCTGTTGAATGCCAGGGCTTGCAAGTACTGCTTGCAGGAACAAGAGTGGGAAACCCATCCAAGATCCGGCTGGCACCAGTAGACCCACCGGGCGACCTCCACCAGGAGAGAGACGCTCGCGTCATGAGGTCGGTCGTTATCGGTCGGACGTTAGACGGACGCTTCGGGGCCTGCACCATGTGTGGGGTTCAACGACCCATCCCCCGGAGCCGGTCATCCCGGGATGAGCCCTTTTGAGATCCAAGGACCTTCTCAGGTGATTGGAGAGAGGGGAAGTGATCGGAAAAACGACCAATCCAAGTATCTACCCATCTCAACTGTGGAGACACCAAGGTAAAGATCTTCTCACCAGTAAGACCTTCTCAGGTACGGTGATGTGTTCGACACTGTTATGTAGGTGCCAGGAGGGTCCTGTCGTACCGAACCTGAGAAAGTAGGACTGGTCGGCTGAGGTGAAAGAAGGATCCACTTCATCATACCCAACACATACCCAAACTTGTAGGATTCCTGGCCCTTGTTTTACTGGTCAACCTACCAACCAACAGAGCTGGTTTACGCTTTTTGTCAGGTGAAGTCACCACCCATGAAACGGAGAAGTACGGGTGCTGGTACAGATACGTAGCAGATACATTCAAATGACCATCGCGTAGGGTGAGGTGTTGTGTCTGGTGTCGACTCACAGCCACCTCCCCCAACTCCCCCCCTTCTCGCATCCCGACCGGCCCCCACGCTCACCGGGAGCGTCGCTCGGACGCCTCGATGTGATACTCCAAGTTGGTGGCCGGGTCGATGCCTCGGTCTTCTGCCCGGGTCTTCGGTCGGCCCGTGGGCATCGGTCGGCATCGGTCGGCATCGGTCGGAGGGTGGAAGCACTGGACCGGGCCAAGTCGACCGGGCCAAAACGGGCGATGACTCAAAAGCCAAGGAGCAGAGGTCTTCTGTGATTGTGTGGTGGGTTCTGGCCATCCGAGCGGGAGTGTCTTGGTGTCACCACATGGAAAAACATGATCTCATGAAGAGAATGCTAGAAAGTCCTTTCTGATCATAAATACATCATAATGTAAGTGTTCGTGATGCCACCAGCTATAGTGCCTTCAGCCACCAGCTGGTGGATTCAAGAAATCCGACAGGAAGAAACTTCAAGAGTCGAAATCCAGCTCCAGCTCCATGGAGTTGAGTGCCAGCTCCTTGAAGGAAGGAAGTCGGGATGCCCCTGACACCATCCACTCACTGGATGGGACGAGTCACACCATTCTGAAATGGAACTGCTGAGGAACTCTTCCGTCGATTTCAGCCCATGAGCCCGGCTTCCGTGGAATTGAAGCTGGCAGGATCCAATTCTGGAGCTAGACCCCTGCCGTTGTCGACATCACCAAATCCCTGAGCCTGTCCCTGAAGAAATCGGCCGGCCACCGAACTGACCGTTTCACGTGCATCGCTGCGCACGACGTCATGTGCCCTCCTTCAGAAGGTCCCTTCGCTGTCCCTGAGGGCGGCATTCAGAGACACGAAGAGCTGTCTCATTCCTTTCAGAGCACCAAGATCTGTCCGGAGTGACTGTTCATCTCCGGTGGACCCCGTCTGTGACCACGATGACTCTGGACTCTCGCCTGGCCGGCCCATGTTCCGTTCGGTCGTGTGGTTTCTCCACCGTGCGGTCCGCGCGTGCAATCATGCGATGGGGACATTCCAGAGTGTAGCAATTTTGATGGTGCAAGGATGGTGGATGCGCAACCTTTAGCATTGACGTGGACCCACCAAAGTGGCGATGTGCGGTTCACTAATCGCCAATCCCCACAATACAATCGGTGCTCAATTCTACTCGCACAACACACCGAACACACATGTCTGGCAAGAAGTCGATATTTCCTGCAACCACTTGTAACAAGTCACATCCAAGCTATTATCGCCTCTATAGACTCTAGCCTATAGCTGGTGATTAGTCAAAGTCAAAGTTGACACCAAAAACCGAAGACAACGGATACCGTTGGTCATCTCCTGGAATGATCACGGTAGGCTTGCTGATCTTGCTGTGCATGTCCCGCACCAGAATAGACTCGATAGGCTCGCAAGCCGTTCGGACACAACATCCGCACAAAACTCCATTAAGACTCCCAGAAGACTAGGCATTCTTAAAAGTTCCTGCTCGAATCCAGACCCGTTCGCCTTCCGTTCGACCATTTTGCCAGAGTTCGGTTGACCTGGTGTAGTGTCCAATCCGCAACAAAACAGTATGGGAATATCAAACCCTTCAAATCCATGGTGGGGCCAGTAACCCTGCTAGAAGGACTGAGAGGATTTGCCTCGAACATGTCTCCCATGTGGCCGAAAACTGCCATTACGTCCTCCGCCCGGATCCGCCCCGCCATTACGCCCCGCCCGCGGAAACGCTCTCGAGGGGCGACGGCCACAGGCGCGGCGGATGGACTCATCGAGGGTCAAGTTGAGGCGGAAGTGGAGGTCATAACCTCCCGTGTTCGTCATGGCACCGCGGTGTTCGTCATGGCATGGCCCACGGTTTCGGTATATAGACACGTCGAACCATAGAAGAATCGGTACATGTTTGGTGGTCAACCAGGATCCCGTTTTGACCCACAGCCATGTCACCGAGGTTGTTGTCGTGTGGCGGGTTTGGAGCAAGGCAAGGAGTCTAAGGAGTCCCGGTTCGTTCATTTTCCGGAGACTTTTGGCGATATGAAGCATTTTTGTAAAGGAAGAGGTCATCCAGTTCAATTCGGGAAAGGTGAATGAGGTATATCTGGATTGGATTCATGTACCCAGGGCATCCAGGCAGCTCCCACGATGTCGCTGGAGTCCCAGTGATTCCAGGCAACGACTAACACCAGTTCGACCAAACGAGGGCCCCTGGTTCCTTATATAGGTTTGCCCTGGGATGCACTGAGGTATACCCTGGGAGTCCAGTCGACTATAAAAAGAATGGTCAAAATAAGGGGAACTGAGTTCGGAAACTTCCCTGTTCTCCAGCCGGTCCAAATATAGTCGAACTGGACTTCTAGGGTATACATGAACAGTAGTACTCAGGGGAATGGGGCTCGCTGGTTCCTACGAAGCCCTTGACCTACCGAGGTGCTGGCTACAGCCCGGCCAAGGCCGGCGCTGCGGACCTACCTCGTGCCATCTGCACCTGCCCATCCCGGTCTGTGTTCTTCTCAGCACCTGAAATGGCCCATGAAATATGACGTCGTGGGTTCTAGGAGACAGAAATGGATCATATCAAGGATAAACATACCAAGAGTCAAACCCAGTGATGTCAAGATTGATGTACTTTTGATGCTACTTCTAATGGTCGTCCAAAACTGGAAGCTCCATTTCAACCACAGCTGACGTCGAACATATACATACCGGATCGATGTCCTGGTTCGTTCCTTCCGGGGGGATCTCGGCCGTTTCAACCTGACCTAACCATCATCATCCACTGATCATCCCATGGGGGCACCCGCAATCCGATCCAACCCAGTTCCCATGGACCACTGAAACCACTGTTCCACCACCCCCAATGATGGGTATCCCGATCACGATTCCATGGGTATTCGCAAATACCGCCGAGACATTTGGATGGGTTTTGGGTGGTGAATGTACAGCCATATTTACTGTCCCATGGATCCTTTGGGTATGCCATCCCCATTGGGATCGAACCAAAAAGCCCTGCAACGATCGGTGGGACACGTTCCGATCGCGCCAACCCATCGGTTCCGCGACCTCCAGGCTGGCGCACCAGTGGCTCCACTTCCTGAAACGGACCCCACCCCAAAATAAAGAAATGGCCAAGAGCGGATGGGTCAAGGTGCGTTTTCTCGCGGGTGTGGTGCAAGCGAAATCCAGTTGGAGGATGACTTTCACGAATTCCTATCATTTGGCTACCATGATTCGTAGAACTCTTTTATACTTACCCTCTGACTCACTAACATGGAAGTGGAAAACCTCCTGTTTGTAGTGGATTTCATGGTCTTCCCTGGGGCCAGAGCGTCCATTCCCATGTTGCACTTTCCAGCGTGGCTGTGGTACATCAATTTAATATGTGCATCCACAGCTATCTAGGCCCTTAGTCCCTTAGATGTTTCTGACCTCCTCTCGATCCGTGGTGCTTCACCGTCTTGAGAAAAGGGAGGCTGTACTTGCGGGACGAGTTGGTTCCTACATGGTAGCGGAGCTCTTCACGGACTACGATCTTTGAGCAGGTGATCCTCGAGAATCTCGAGACTATAGGAACCGACTATGTCGTCTTCTTTGACAAGGACCAAAGATGGGGTACCAGGTTGGAATGGGGATCCTTCAACCTGGTTAGAGTTCAAGCAGGCAGCCAGACTGTATGTCGCATCGACCAAGATCGAGTCTCGCTACACCTGTGGACCAAAAATAGCAGCAGAATTGAGCGGGGCTGCCAAGACCGCCATCATGGGGAAAAAGTCGCACTGGCTTAGTGAGGCCTCAGGGGTTGAGACATTGCTGAAACACCTCCAAGAGACCATCGGCGAACCAGCACTACCAGAGGTGGGCAACTTCCTCCGGCTCTACTTCAAGACCCTTCGCCGACAACGAGGAGAAAGCATGACCGCATTTTGCGTGAGGCATCGAGAGGAGTATGAGAAGATGTGTCGCTCCTTGGCACGAATGATGAAGGAACAAAAGAAAGACACCAAGTGGAGGCCTTCAGCAATGCCAAGTTCCTCACAAGCCACGGACAACGGCAGCATACAAGGGGGACAAGAGGGCCTAGGAGATCACACTGGGCATGAAGTGACCAATCAACAATGGGGAAACAGTGAACCCTGGTCCAGTTGGCAAGACTGGAGCTGGTCCACTGGAGGGGGTTGGTGGTCACACACCAGTGGTATCAGCAGAACTACCAGCACTCCAACTGGGGAACAACCTCGGGACTACAAGAACAAGACGAAGATGAACCAGTGGAAATCCTACCAGATGCAGTACTTGGTTGGATGCTGCTGGAGAAGTCGGGGTTAGATGGATTGGAGAAAAGCATCATCCAGGGGGAGATCAAAGGGAACTTCACTCTGGCAGGGATTGAAAATGCTCTTCGAGCTCATTGGGGAGACGATGCCATCAAAAAGAGAGATGGAGAAGCCAAACACGCCCTATTTCATGAAGATCAACAAGAGGATGAACCATCACCTCAGGAAGAAGAAGAAGCCTACTTTGAAGGATGGGCGGAACACGAAATCGCCTGGTACCAAGAAGCCAAGAATGAAGAACAAAAAGCATGGATTCAATTTCAAGGAGCAAAGAGGACTCTCCGTGAAGCCAGAGCCCGACAGCACGAAGTCAAGATGTCCCGGAAGTTCTACAAGACCTCCTATCCCATCGGGGCAGGAAAGAGCTTCCAAAACCGAGGCGCACCACCGACAAAAGGTCCCTGCTTCCTATGCGGGGAACGAGGGCATGTGAAAAGTGAGTGTCCGAAGCGACAAAGTGCCCAGTACACCGAGGACAATGAAGAGGAACATGTACACTACACCTTCCACACGACCGAAGAGACACAGGAAGGGGAAGACCCGGACTTTGAACAGGGCAACAACTATGAGATTGACTCCGAGCAGGGTGACAACTACTTCCTCGAAGAGACCTATGGTGAAGGATCTTCAGAGCTTGAGCCAGGGGAAATCTTCCATGCGGCTAAAGTCTACATTAGTACTGAAGCCGCAGTCGACCAAGGCAAGGCCATCTTGGACGGTGGAGCCACCCGAACTATGGGATCTCTCTACGCTCTGGAACGCTACATGCAAAACATGCAAGAGGCTCATGGCACGGACGGGGTCAAGGAGATCCGTACTTCAGAAGCTGACCGACCCATCTTCGGGTTCGGCAATTCACAAAAGTCCAAGTGCCTGTCGACTTGCCAGGTACAGCTGCCCAGCGAAGACAGATCAATGTCACTGCAGGTACACGTGTTGGAAGAAGGTCGAGCCCCAGTCCTACTTTCAGTGGACTCACTACGGAAGATGGGAGCCATCATTGACTTCCGAAACGACAAGGCAGTGTTCACCACAGTGGCACCACGATCGCTCGTCTCACTGGAACGTTCATCATCCGGACATCAGCTGCTCCCTCTGACGAGAGACTTTTTGAAGGAGGGAAAAGGCCTCCGGTTTCCTGTACGTAGCTTAGAGGATTTGATTTTCCGGCGATCTCAAACCGCCGCCACCGAAGAATAGGAAACCAAACTCAGCTCGGGAAAGCCTGTACCTGAGTGTGAGGAAAAGTTCAAAACAGGCAGGGAAGGTTTCTGCGTTCCTAATTCAGAGCAGTTAGAAGTTGGAAAGGTAGAGAATGGTGCGGTAGATCAGTCATTTCTGTCAAGCGTTGCTGAGCATTTTCCTTTTTATCACGCGGCATGGAGCCGCTGCTCAAGAGAGAGCCAACACCCACTGGAACAGGTGAAGCAGAACAAACAAGAACAGGACTCTCACGACCCGGTCGAACAAGCCGTCGCCAGCCTCGCTCACCCCGCAGCCATTTCTGTTGAACCGGATCTCTCGTGTGACCCAACTCGTGTGACTTCTCACCATGGCGCCCAAGAAGTACATCCAAACGGCGGCCGACATCGAGATGAAGCCTCACTACCAATGCAGCGCAGCCGAATGCAGGAAGGAGATGTCAGCAGCCGGGACCCCTCCTCACCAGGACCTCTCCATCTCGGAACTGCGGGTCATGTTGAGGGAGTCTCGCATCCGTCGAGGCCTACTCCAAGTAAAGGAACCGGGCCAAGACCAAATGGCACGGATCAAGAAAGCCAACAAGAGCGAACTCCAGGAGCTCATCAAGGCCTACCAGCTACCCTCCATGGAGAAGGCCACGGTGGGGGAAATGAAGTTGGCACTCCGTCAGGCCGTGATCGACGACTGCGATGGGGACACCAAGATCAGCTTCGGGAAACACCAGGGAGCGACTTTCATGGAGGTGATGAGCACAGACCATCAGTACGCCATGTGGGCAACCAGGGAGGTGAAACACTCAGAGAGCCCCGACTGGAAGCTGATCCAGTTTGCTCGTTGGGTGAACAAGATGGAGAATGTGGAGGAACCTGCGGGCGACACTCCCTTCATGTCATCCGGAGCTCCCATGGCATATCAGACACCTCAATCGGGTGCCACCGGGGAAGCTCCATTGGCATGGGCGGGTTTGGTAGTGCCACCAGGTCAGAATCGTCATCTGACCATGCCAAGTCGCAACAAAGCGAATGCATCCATGCAGGTCGATCAGAAGGCGGAACCCGTCAAGCTGCCGCAGTCCGAAGCCGCGGAAATCAAGGACGCCATGAACCAAATGATGCTCAAGATTCACACCTTGGAATCCGAGCTGAAAGAAGCCAAGGAGGAAGCAGCTTCAGCATCCTCCAAGACTCGCAAGACCAGCACCAGCTTCGAGAAAGTCTCAGCTCACGGGGAGCCTCAGTGAGAGAGGATAGAAGCGGCTCGGCTAGCCAAATCTATGAAGAACCGGCCTGTTTAATTCAAACACTTCAGCCAGAAGCCGCTTTGAGGCTTGGGAGGACTCTCGAAGAAGGGTTTTTCCACGGGCTGGATCAACTTTTGGATCAAGGCCGATTGTTTCTTTTGGAAGTTGCTTGTGCACCCGACTCCGTACTAACCAATGAAGCACTGGCAAAAGGACTCACAGCCGAACGGGCATCACTCTTCAACGGTTGCGATCTCACCTCACCTGAAGGACTTAGGAAAACCTTGGAACTGGTCAAGAAAAAGAGGCCCAAAAACATTTGGATTTCTACTGAATGTGGCCCCTTCAGTCCTATCCAGAATTTCAACCAACGAACTGAGGCCCAACAACAAGACCTCCAGAGGAAACAACACGAGGCCCGAAAACAACATATCGGAGGACTCGTCGTCGCGTACTTCGGTCGGTCGATCGGCAGCGAAATTCATTGGGAATGGAGTCGAAGGTGTCGGGCGTGGAAATGGGACCCCATAGAACAATACCGCAATAACCTCCAGACCGAAACGTCGATCGTGAGTGGATGTAGGGTTGGACTGACGGACGACAAAGGAGGGGGACTGTTGGGAAAAGAGTGGAGAGTGGAAACGACCGATCATGATTTTGCGAAGGACCTCCAAATCAAATGTGAAGGTTCCGAATGCAGTTGTCATCATGTGAAGTGTGAAGGTAGGCTCACTAGGAAATCAGCCTTTTACACGCAAACCATGGCCAAACGGATCATTCACTACATGAAACAGTCGTCGAGCAAACACATTCGGAAGTGCATGCAAAACGAACAAACGAAGGACCACCAAGAAGTGAAGATGGGACAATACAAAAAGAAGACTTGTAACTGCAGGCTTTTTAGGTGGAAAGGACAGGTTCAGTTGTGTTCGTCGTGCATCCTTTCGGAACGTGCGTTCGTCGGGGAAGGAAACGTGGGGGAGCAATGGGGAGAGGAAGACATGTTGGATGAGGACCCGGATGTTTCCCCCCAAGAAGGTGATGGTGAGTGGGACCCCCAAGAGAAGAAAGAGTGGAGGAGAAAAATTAAGCTGGTTCATTGTGCCACCGGTCACGGTAGTGTCGAGGGTTTGGTTCACACCCTCAAACAGAAAGGATTGGGACAAAAAGTTATTGATTTGGCGAAGGATTTCAAGTGTGAAGTTTGTGAAGAGAGAAAAAGACCTGCCCCTAGAAGAGTGGCCACTTTGGAAGTGGTCCCAAAAAGATGGACTGTTGCCCTTGCCGACTACGCCGTGTGGAGACACCCCATCTCGAAAGAAAGAATCACGGTTGGCTTGATCATGGATCAAGGGAGTAGGTTTTTGGTGGGAAAGATTTTAGGCAAGGGGGAATCGTCGAATGTCAAGTCCTCTCAATACATTGAGTTTTACCAAAGTCATTGGCTTCAATATTTTGGGCACCCTGATTTTCTCAGATTTGATGCCGAAGGGACTTGGCGCTCCCGTGAAATTGACTCATATTTTTCCAAGAACCAGGTCATGTTGGACCCGATTCCCGGAGACGCACACTGGCACCTTTCACCACTGGAGCGAAGCATAGCATGGCTCAAAGAGCTTCTGTCCCGCCTCGCACAGGAGACGTCAAGCATCTCCACCCATGAAGCGGTGCACCAAGCTCTCAACATCTGGAACAGGAGGGAAATGGTGAGGGGCTTTTCCCCCCACCAACATGCCCTAGGACAGGCTCCCGACCTTGACGGTCGCTTCTTTCGAGATGATGTTCGTGGCCTACCAGTGGAGATCATGGAGACTCCAATAGGTGAGCTCGAGAGACATCAAGGCCTCCGACTACAAGCCGAAGAAACGTTCTTGAAGTGGCAAGCCAAAGAGCGGCTTGCTCGAGCCATGAATTCCAAGTCCAAACCGATCCCGGTCTACACTCCAGGTGAACTGGTTTTCTACTGGCGGCACTTGGGTCGCAAAGAGGCTGGCCAAAGATACCAAACAGGGCATTTCCATGGATACGCAGGACCAGCTCGTGTATTGGCCCTGGAAACAAGATTCGATGAAGATGGAAATGTGAGACCCAGCTCAGTAGTATGGTTGGTACGCAACAACCGGCTGCTCAAGGCCTCAGTGGAACAACTCCGCAAAGCGTCCAACCGTGAAACCATCTTGGCTGAACTAGACAAAGACCTTCGGCTACCTTGGACGATCTCGGAGATTGTCGCGCCCTTGGGAAAGAATGAATATGACGACATCACCGTGGAAGCCAAGGACATGCCTTCGGAAGAGGACAAAGAAAGGGTAGCCAGATTTTGGGAACCACCCACCAAGAGGCACAGAACAAAGAGACCTGTGGAGCTTCCAGGAGAAGAAGAAGAAGTACAAGAACAAAACCCCTCGTTGCCTTCAAGACCAACACCGATGGACATAGACCCAGAGGAAGACCCACTTCTCTACGCCAAAGGTGTCGAAGAAGAACACCAAGCCTTTTGGAATGATGAAAAGGCCTACGTAGAGATGGAAATACCACTGCCTCAAAGCAGGCATGGGTGGATGCAAATGTCCAAAGATGTGAAGGCCTACATCGTGAACACCCTCAAGAAAAAGAGTGTGGAAGTCTTTGAAAGACACATGGACGAGGACACCAAAGTGAAATTCCAGGGAGCAAAGAAAACAGAAATCTCAAAGTTTCTGGCGTCCGAAGCCCTTGAAGCACTTCCAGCACGCCTACAACCGCCCAAAACTCAGGCGATGTCCATGAGGTGGCTCTTGAGTTGGAAAGTAGATGGGGACGGGAAAACTGTACCCAAAGCCAGACTAGTAGTACTGGGGTACCAAGACCCCAAGTACGAGCATCGTATCACCTACGCACCTACCACTACAAGACACACTAGGCAACTGATGCTACAATACGCTGCCTCCAGGGGATGGCATTGCTGGAAGGGCGACGTGGCGGCCGCGTTTTTGCAGGGTAGAATCTGTGAAGAGGAACTATACTGCATCCCAACCCCTGATCTTTGCAAAGAGATGAACATCCCTCCAGAGTCCATCACTCGACTCCGGAAATCATGTTATGGCTTAGTTCAGGCTCCCTATGAGTGGTACGAGACCGTGAAGACCCACTTTCACGAGTTGGGATACAGACAGTGTTTCTCAGATCCTTGCTGCTGGGTGCTCAAACAAGAAGGTGAAGTCCGCTCCATCATTTCCGGCCACGTGGATGACTTTGTCTTCATTGGAAACCCCCAAGACGAATACTGGCAGAGAGCAAAAAAGAGCATCCAAGAAGCGTTTAGGTGGGGGGAGTTCGAAGAAGACAAATTCACCCAGTGCGGCGTTCAAATCAGTAGACAACCTGATGGAGGGTACACTCTCAACCAGGAAAGATACATGAGTCATTCCCTTCCGGTTCCCCTCAACAGTGAACGTAGGAAACAACGAAAGGAACCAGCCACTGAAAAAGAAAAGAGTGCTATGAGGGGAGTGCTTGGAGCCATGTCTTGGCATTGCAGTCAAGTTGGGTTTAGGTATGCGGCCTATGTTTCCCTCCTTTTGAGCCAAGTTCCTCAAGCCACGGTTGAGACCATTTTGGAAACGAACACTTTGCTGCACAAAATGAAAGACGCTTCTAAGGAACCCATGAGGATTTTCCCCATTCCTTTGAATGAGATAGGTATGTATGCCTGGTCGGACGCCTCCAACCAGAACAGACCTTCTGGACACTCTACAAAAGGGATCTTCATAGGAGC